TTATTATTTTTATTATTTATTAAAATAATATTTTAATTATATTTTTATTATTTTAATATATTTTTTTTTTATTTATTTTAATGGTTTATTTATTATTAAACGCGTTATTATTACGGTTCGAATTTATTTCGATTAAATTAATAATGTTATTTATTAACGCGTTAATTATTATATTTTTTATTTATATATTAATAATAATATTAATAAAAAACGTTTTATTATTAAATTTAATTAATAATTATATAATGTTTTTATATTAAATACGTTATAATTTTATTATAAATATTTTTTTTTTATAAGTTTTTTAATTTTTAAATTAAAATTTTATAAATAAAAATAATCCGATAAAATAAAAAAAAAAAATTTTTTATTAATAAAAAAATATTATTATTATTATATAATATAATATATATAAATTAATAATGCTTTTTTTAAGTTTTAAAAATATTTAAAATTTAATAAAGCGTTATTTAATGTTAATAATATATTAAGGTACATGTATTAAAATACGACGTCATGTAACACATATTAACCCTACAAATCATACACGCAATTTCTATACGAAATATAAAATAATCTATTATACTAATAAAAACTTAAATAAGCACATGCTATCAAAGAAGCTCGGCACTTTTCTAGATAAAGTTAAAGAAGTTCATATTACTTAGGTACCTACTACCTAATACTTGATAATTGTTCGATATGGCATACCTATCTTAAGAATGTTCCATATTCGATGCTATTATTTCGACCTTATATATGCAGGTATAGGGTATAATGAATCAATCACTTTTTACGTTGTTTCATCGATTAAACACGTTCGTGTCTTGGATTGTCTTAAATCCAATGAGCCGCATCCACTTGGTGATCTCCCTTCTCTGAAAGCTGCAGCTAAGACAGATAGTGTGTCTTTAGATCATTTATTTGACGCTTGAGAGCAATACCTAATAACACATAAGATTGATAATTTAGCAGTGCTGTTCATATGAAGATTCAATTTCGGTCCAGGGATGGTTCCGTAATATTCGTAATCGATGTTAACTCTAGTAGTTGAAGCAAGGCTACGATACACGATACTTACAGTGCATTGACGTCGTCGGGCAGGTCGGATAACTTACAATTATCCTGTAAGACTACAGCGAAGCACGTCCATGGCTAGCAAGATGCTTACTTCGTGCCGAGAAGACTTCGGAGTCATGAAACTTGTCAAGACGTTGGAATGTGTTCAACCTAAGCCTACGCGCGCCACGATGCCATCCATCCCCCTAATCCCTGCACCCGCGTGGCCAGAATCCAATCGCGAGTTCGTCACTCGAATCTTGTCTTGTCCTTCGATTTGAAACTTCGAATCTGCACGTTCTTGATGTCGGCACATTTCCAACTCCTCTATTTTCCTACTCTATTTTCCTATTAAATATCTGAACGCTTCACTTATATTCCCATTGTACCATGATTATACCACGAGACTGGCCAAGAGTTATCACTTTCTTGTTCTTGTTGATGAACTTGCTACTTGCTCTTTACTAACATATGCCCGTTAAAGGAGAAGATTGTTTTTAGCCAATCCCGGGTGATCGAATAGTTTCACCTGCCAAGTTGAGTGCTTCCACCCGTATCATGCACTTAGAAGAGTGGAATAAACTTGGATAGCATACTATCGACACCTGTGCACCATTAAAAATATCAGGGGCCTCAAATATCATGACAAGAAAACACGCAAAACGCACCATCGTCACTTCCAATGCGCTTCCTCTTGATCAGCACCCAGAAACGATGACAACTCGATGGCAGGGGATGAACAGTAATAACGAGAATTGTCACATCCCCATCAATCATTAATTTTTGTCACTTAATAGTTGACAAGTGTCGTGGTAAGAAGAGCATCGTGCCCAATCGACCGACGGATACGTCGGGTATGTGTCGCACAACCTAAGGCGCCTTCCATGCGTGGCCGTTATCTGCAGATGTAGTGAATGCCGATACGCCAGCCAATACGCCAAGTCGACTCAACTCGTAGATTCGGCCACTAGGCGCAAAGACTTAGGTACACCGGGCGCCACGGAGCTTCTCCAACTTTGATCACGGTTAATATATACCTATATATATATATAGCTAAACGCAATCGGATGATTCTGACCTACGTTTTGTAGAATCGCAACCCCTATTTTTCATTTTCCGATTTTGCTCTAGATTGCAGCTGGGAATTAGGCACCATGTTATTTGCCGCGCAGACTACTACATCCAGCCGCGCGCTCTGTGTTGAGATTTCAATATTGCGCTTAGATGCGTGATGTCGGCGGCTAAGATAGATTGACCGGTCTAGCACCGACCTAGCCGCTTAAAACGTCACCACTCACAATTCGAGCGTATCGCGTGTCGATGTAGATCCGTTCTTGAATGAGTTGTTTGCATGTGACGTAAAAGCAACCGTACATGTAGCACTTGCAGATATTTGTACGTAGACGGCAAACTAAGGCCACCTTCGCTAATCTCGTCTGATTTATCGATCAGTTTAACGACCTGGCGACCTGAGTGGCCCAGCAAGACCGGAAAGCCAACCTGATGAGCGGCCAGAACGGCAACCCGTAAGCTTGTGTGACGATGTCTCGGTAACTATTCCGATGATGCTCCGGTAGGACGTATGGGAAATTAACGGGATCAGCCGAAACATAAGCTCTTCCTTCATTGCTGATCTTACCGTCTAGAGGGATCGAAGTAGACATGATGAATGACGCTGGTTGCCGTGCTTATGTTCTTTGAAGGGATAAGTAATGAGCTTACGCGGATTGCCCATGTATCCTGTTCAGGTACTATTGTGCTATAACGAAGAAGCTTAAGTGCATGCTTACATACATATCGTATCATGTCTTAGAAAAAAATACCTACGTAGGCAAAATCTAGTTGAGTTATTCGAGTGATATGGCCATATTTAGTCTGGAGTCACAGTCCACGTTACAGTAGAAATTCAGAAGGAGATCGAGATGATAGTGTTCTCCGCCACTGACGTATGTAATATAAACGGCGGGTTAAAGCCGTCTGTGATATGTTGAGATTTGAACACTAGAATGACCTACGTATCCCTTGAATCGACATTTACGAAGTGGGATTACCACCGCTACTATTACCACCAATTGCGTTCGACTGGTCATGTCCAACAGCAAACTGCCTGAAGGTGTCCAAATCAACCATACTCAACGCGCTATCTTCGGTGGCGTCCAGGTCGACCCGCGGAACGCCCAACGCGGTGACCTTGCCGGTGCGGTATGCCTGGTAGGCCTCGAGCCACCGGGCCGTGCACAGACACCACTTGCAGCCGCCCTTGAGGCCGACAGACCTCAGGTCGTTGCCCCGGGAGGCCGAATAGTCGAGGAACTCGTCCGTGACCACCCCGGCCACGGCGTGGTTCCCCGGATCGATACCGCCTCCGGTACGACAGTAGCCGTCGCGGAAGAAGCCGGTCACGGGCTGGCGAGAGAATAGCCTAAGGGGTTGCTTGAAGACTAGATTACACCATATTTTGCAAGTTAGTATCATTCTTTGAGTGCGACTGTGTAATAAGCACTACTGTACCTAGCCTCGTAATTGTGGGGAGGCTAGATGCGCTGTACTGTTGTAATATGCGGGTGTTCTGGCTTCCCGTACCATTCAGAGGGCTAGATGCCATAGTTCTTTCTATTGAAGGGACGTGCGGCTCGTATGACACTTGCGCTATCCCGGATTGTGTAACTAAAGAAATACGATCGGGTTGTAAGGGATGCCGATTTAATGTGGTTATTTTACTTGGTGTTCTTTGTTGCCTTCACGAGAAGATTTTTCAAGATGGACCGAATTCACTTTAGGAGTTTTTGATAATTGGTGGCTTAAGAATAAAAATTGGAATAAAGAGGCCCTAATCCCGCATAACTACGGCTAATGCAAACTAAAAGGCGAAACACGATACCCAAAATTGTGACGTCACGAAAGTAAATATTACAGGAAAGAACTCGGAAATAATTGCTAAAGCAGTATTAGGGAGCTGCTAGTCCGACACAATCGTCATTCGATCGTCGTTGTTCTTTTAAGCTTCACCCTTCGCATTTCCTTACTTCTTCCAATTGCTAAATGTACAGATACATACACAGCCTGACAAAGCAGCCAAAGACACAAAGACAAGTCCACCTTGCTGGACATCTTCTCCAGCGATGGTTATTCGTCAATTACTTGCTTACCATAGCAAGGTATAATTTCCGACGTTTAGCGGAATCGATGGCCGATGGAGGATGATCGAGCCAATATTACTCACGCATATCCTTACTGAGCCACATTTTCATCTTTTTCCTCGTTTCGATGGTAAATAAGTACTTCGTAATAGCCTATTCACCACTATTCCCAGCTGTACGAGCATTGCTTAGCACGACCTATTCACTTGGCTACAGTAACTATCATAATATACACTATGTAGCACAGGTAAAGAAGAGAGAAAAAAAAAGAAGAAACAAAAGGAAGTAGGGGAAAAGCGGCGAGGCATTTTACACGCGTCGTTATACTGGTTGCATGTAGTGGCTTGATATTACCTACCATAGCGGCAAAATGTGTTTCGAAGAAATCATTCTATTTTAAGAATTATTTTAGTTTTAGAATGATTTTGATAATTCGATGTATCTTTCCCTATTAATTTATTTGGGAAGGTATATATACAGGCTTAAACGATTTTATAAGTTAAGAATTATTTTAAATCTTAGAACCATTATATACCTTTATAGCTAAAAGGTACGTATTTTGAGGTTATAAGGGCTTTAAAGGCAGCTTTCCTACATTATTTTTAACGTTCCTGGCGACCTTGCTAGGATTTTGTACACACCAGGCTATAGCAACACCACTTTTAACTTAGAAGATTTTTTCCCCCTCTCCATCACTTTTATCACTTCTTAAAATTTTAGAAAAAATTTCCAGGTTTTTTTTTTTTATTTTATTTACAATCACACGCACACCACCTACGCATCAACATTAATACCTACTATACCTAAAAAACTTAGGGTTTTTTTCCTCTTTACACACATACATACACATACATACATTAACGCTAATATCGATTGTGAAATACTTGCTATACTGATACTTTGAGCAGTAGTAGTAGGCTAGTAGACTGCTAGTAGGCGCGGAGATGCGTAGATGCGTAGACACGTAGATTAGTAGAACTATAGACCCGCAAATCTGTAGACTGTAGACTGTAGACTGTAGAATTGTAGATGTAGCTTGTCTCTTGCTATGCTACTTAGTAAGTAGCATGGCAGGGGACGAGTAGAGTACTAAAAGAAATAAAAAAACATTGCTGCCTACACCCCGAAAATGATTCTTAAGTCACAAAATGATTTTTAATTTTAAAATGATATAGATTTTATTCAACGTTAGTTATCGGTCCGGGGCATTCTAAACTTCAAGAATGATTGTTTGGTTATGCCTTTTGCCGCTATGGTACATATCACGACAACCAACTTCCCGTCCTTCCCAACCACTCTTTTGGCATACGTTTAGAAGACCTTTCACTAACAACTTGGAAGGAGACTATAAGGATTCGGCAATCAAACAGAATAAACAAAAAAAGAAGGTTCAGATTTATCCGAGGACTTGTTGGCTTCTAAAATACGTACAACGAGTCTTAGGATTCGAGACTCCCCTGGAGTAACCAGCAGTTCGACCTGCGTCAATTTTATGTATGATGCAAGTAAGCAAACATGGCATGTACAGCCACCGCGATCTTGGCCAGCCAAGCAGCCAGGCTACGGTACTGCGACTGTATAGAACAAGTTTTCCAAAGACTCAACCGGTGGGATATAGTCCGAGAAGATGTGTAGGTGTGTATGATGGCAAGAGAGCTAACCATTAGTGCCGTCTCTTTACGAGAAGAAAAACACAACACCACTTGTTCTAGAGGATTCTGGTGGCTTTTTATCTTTATTCCAAGATGGGACGAACATCTACAGAATATCCGGGATCGGCTGGCCAACCGAGATCTCGCTTCATCTGCTACGTAGCATCTCGAGGACTGTAAGGAGATTGTTCAACAGAATAAGATTCTCGGGACTGTCACGGGAACTACTGTACGGGTCGCATGGAAGACCGTGAACGCTATCGGCTGGGTTCTCTTTGTGAGTTCCACACTTTTAAAAGAATATCACCGCTGTTTGGCTATTGAAATTTCTAATGAACCCCGTATTATGTGTACTAATGTGTACATAGTATATCCTAATATCGTATTCCAAGGGAAATTAGGGGGTTCTAATTTTGGTCACTTTTACTGCGCTAACGCCGTTCTGGAAAGTCTGCATGGGCTTCTCTAATAGCCAATCATTCTCAACACCATTCCGACTTGGGCAGTTGGGTAACAGTACATTCGGCGTTACGACCAACTTACCAGCGGTTGGGACAATTGGTAGACGGCAAAGTCTGCAAGTTGGCATGCAACCCCTCGCATGATCTGCACCAATGCTAGTCGAGCATTAGAGCATCGGTCTTCGGTAGCGTTCGGTACCTCGTGTCCCTGTCGTATTGGATTCATGAGAACTAAGAACCTTGCGCCAGCCTCAACGTCAGCCTACTTCACCGTCCGTGTGGAGTCGATAGGTGATGGATCGAGCTTAACGGAATTTACGGGGCTGGCTATGCCCATGGAACGTTGAGATTGACTGGTATCGACGCCCCAGCTGAGATGTACCCCTTACGGTCCACCGCAGCGCGATGTCACTCTGCCCTAAGTCTGTACATAAAGAGACGCTCCCAGCCGAAATGCTTTTCTACTTCATCAGCTTCTAGGCAGCTTAACCGTATAAACAGTTGCTCAAGTCACTCGTTTCGCTTGTGCAGCATCAGCTCGCCCTGATTCTCGATCGCTTCTCGTCGTTCGCTAACATAAATTTCTAATTTAATAATTATTTCCTTGGATCGTACCGGTCGTCGAAAATGCGTGGATTATTCCTGAGCCTGGGGGCTCTCACTCTCGCTGGCGCTGCCAGTGCAGAGGAGAAGCGTAACTACCCCGTATCCGAAGGGTCTTACCCGACCTACCCCGAGTATCCGTCGTATCCTTCTCAGCCGGAGCAATCGACCTCAACCGCTCAGGCGAGCACTCCTCCGGCGTACCCTACGCAAGCCGAGAGCTCGTCTACCTTCGTCGCCAGCTCCAGCACTCTTCCCGTCTCTTCCGAGACCGCGAGTGTTCCGTCTTACCCTACTTACCCGGTTGGCGGCTCTAGCTCCGAGTCTACCAGCTCTACTTTGGCTGTGAGCTCCAGCACCGTCTCCATCCCGTCGTACCCGACGTACCCCGCGGGCGGCGAATCTAGCAGCACCATTATCATCAGCACTTCCACCAGTGCCGCTGTCAGCTCCAGCACCGCCAGTGTCCCGGGTTACCCGACCTACCCTGTCGGTGGTTCTAGCTCAGCTTCGACTTCCGCTGCTACCTCAAGCCACCCTCACCCTCACTCGTCGTACCCCGCGAGCTCTGAGTCCAGCAGCAGCATCTTCTCAACTTCAACCACTGCTGCCGTTAGCTCTAGCTCGACCGTTCCCGGTTACCCGTCTTACTCTGAGAGCTCCAGCAGCGTCGCCTCGTCTTCATCTGCATTGAGCTCCAGCTCGGCTACATTCTCTGTCCCGTCGTACCCCACGTACCCGGCCGGATCTTCTAGCTTCGGAACCAGCAGCACTCTCGCTGTTTCTTCGACTTCCTCGAAGCCGGTCGTCCCCAGCAGCTCCGCACCGAGCTACTCAGTTGGAACCCCTTCGGTTTCTTCTGCTACTTCGGTCTCGTCCGCTATTGAGAGCAGCTCGTTCTCCGTGCCAGGATACCCTACTGGCCCTGTCAGCTCCTTCTCATCTGCCTCTACTACGGCGTTCACGACCTCGACTATCTACACCACGTCTGAGATTACCGTCACCTCTTGCCACCCTACCGTGACAAACTGCCCTGGTACTCCCCACGTTACCACTGTGACGGTTCCTCTCACTACGACTGTATGCCCTGTGACCGAAACCGAGACGGCGTCGACGTCTGCTCCTACTAAGCCCTCTCACACCAAGTCTGTCCCTGGTGTGCCCAGCTACTCAGCTTCGATCCCTTCTGGTCCTAGTTCTGTGTCTGTTCCTACTGCCTCTACCTCCCTCCCCGTTGGTTCCAGCTCCACGCTTGCTACTGGCTCTACCAGTGTCCCTGGGTACCCCACTGGCCCTGCCTCCATCCCCTCAGTCAGCTCCAGCACCGTTATCTCTAGCTCTGCTACTCTGCCCGTGAGCTCCAGCACTGCTAGTGTTCCCGGTTACCCCACTGGTCCCGCTTCTATCCCTTCGATTAGCTCCAGCACTGTCATCTCTAGCTCTGCTACCGTTCCCGTCAGCTCTAGCACTGCCAGCGTGCCCGGATACCCTACCGGCCCTGCCTCTGTCCCGTCTGTCAGCTCTAGCACTGTCGTCTCCAGCTCTGCTACTCTCCCCGTGAGCTCCAGCAGCGTTAGCGTACCTGGATACCCTACTGGACCTGCCACTGTTTCTACTATCGTGTCCAGCCAATCGACTGAGGCTCCTACTCCCTCTACTAGCGTTCCCGGTTATCCCACTGGTCCCGTCCCTGAGGCCTCGAGCTCGACCACTGCCCAGCTCACCACCTCTACTATTTACACGACCACTGAGCGCACTGTTACCTCCTGCGCTCCTACGGTGACCAACTGCCCTGGTGTTCCTCATGTCACAACCGAGACTATTCCTCTTACTACCACTGTCTGCCCTGTGACTGAGACTGAGACTACTCCCGCTACTGTCCCAACTGGATACCCGGCGTCCAGCTCTAGCGTTGTTATCTCTAGCACTAGCGAGCAGCAGCCCACCACCAGCGCTCCTGGATACCCTGTCTCTTCTCCCAGCACTGCTGTTCCTTCGTCCAGCACTGGAACTGAGCTACCTTCCACGAGCGTCCCCGGTGTTCCCACTGGCCCTACTGGATACCCGGTCTCTAGCTCCACCACCATCACCAAGTACCTGACCTCCACCGCTACCAAGCCCGTGTACACGACCTCGACTATGTACTCCACGACTGTCCGCACCATTACCTCTTGCGGCCCTGAGGTTACTAACTGCCCCGGCACTCCTGGCAAGCCCCATGTGACCACCGATGTCATCACCGTTGGCACCACCGTCTGCCCCGTGACTGAGACCACTCCTGCCGTTTCGACTGGTGTTTCTTCCGCTACCACCGTTCAGACCTACCCTGCGTCCTCTCCTGTCGCTCCCACGACTACCCCGGCCGCTACCCCGTCTGTCCCGGTTAGCCAGTACACCACCTCGACTCTGTACTCGACGACCGTGCGCACTATCACTTCTTGCGCTCCTTCAGTCACCAACTGCCCTGGTGCCCCTGGTTACCCCCACGTGACCACTGAGACTATCTCCGTCGGTACCACGGTCTGCCCGGTTACCTCCACTGAGGTCCCTGGCGCGAGCTCCACTCTGCCTGCCGGCTCCCCCAGCTCTCCTGCCGCTCCCCCCTCTTACCCGACTTCCGTTGCGGTTCCTCCCGCTGCTTCCTACCCGGCCTCTTCTCCCGTCGCTTCGTACCCCGCTTCCTCTCCGGTTGCTTCGTACCCTGCGTCGTCCCCGGTTGCTCCCCCGGCCTCGTACCCAGTGTACCCCACTGGCGGCTACCCTACCGGCGGTTCTTACACCCTCTCGACCTCGGTCATCCCTCCTTACCCTACCGGCAGCTCTGGATCTACCCCCAGCGCTCCCGCTGGTACTGGCAGCCCTGTTCCCCCGGCTGTCACTTCTTCCACGCCTTCCACGACTTCCGGCTACCCTACCATCCCCACCGCTGCTGCCGGCCGTCTTGAGCGTGGCTTCGCTGGTGTGGCTGCTGCCGTCGTCGTTGCCGCCCTTCTATAAGGGTAATGACTAGGCGTTGGTGCTGACGAATCCCTTCTTGTTCATGTATAAGATGAATGAAAGGAAGGGAAAGGAAAGGGAGAGATTCATGGTGTTCGATTCGGAGGATAGGAAAGCTTGGGGTTCTCGCATATATATGGAGGGGCGGTTTGAGGATTTATTGGTCTGGTTAGACTGGTCTATATAAAAAAGGGTTACGAATTTTCTTAAGTAGCGATCTTTTAATTTTATTTGCTTATGACGTAGAGTATTTAGCTTCAGTTTCGAATAATATGAATTCGACTTTTCAAGACCCGCCAGTTGATACTGGTTTCGATGCATCAGTCAGTAATGTGTTGTGTTCTAAATGTTTGGGCCTCGCTTTTTCTTCGAGCCTACCGCCGACCTGTTCGTAGCTTAATTCGCCTACGTGTCACTCGATGAGCAAAATTAAAATGGCTTGAGGTTTACTATGATATACTGAAGGTAAAGAATGAGGTGACCTCCCCATCGCATCTGAAGCTTTGTTTTGACTTATGGAATTCGCGGGCGTAAACTCATAGGTACCTAGCTTCGTACCTACCTAGATATAGTTGTACTATGAATTATCAGTTTAATAAAAGTCGAGATATCTTTAAATTTCGACTTCATTGTTTCCTTCTATATTGCTTAAGATCATAGCAATTGAAATGCATGGATGTTTCTGCTCGCAGTCCTTTTTCTTCCTGAGATGCCATTTCTGTGGTAGGTTACCTACCTAGTTTTACGCTAGTGCCCCCCCTATTCCAGAGATTAACCAATAGGAGACCATGAAACAAGCTTATTCAAACTTCTATGGCCCTATTAGGCAAGCGCCATGCTTCGTTGTATTTTGTATAAACATGATGGTCGAGTGTGTTATGGTGGCGGCCTCGATACATTCGTGCCAATCTAATGATTGGTGAGAACCTATATTTCCTACATCTGCGAATAATTCATGAAGATCCTGGATTTTTTATACTATTTTATCAACTCATTTTTTAACCTGGCACTCCTGCGAAATAAAAACCGTCGGATCAGATTCAGACGTAGCAGTCAACCTGACAACCGCCGTGCTTACGGCATCAGCTCCCGCACCAACAGCCACATTCACCGTAGTCGCCGCGCCGAACTTCGCCGTAGCCAGCGCATTCACCACTCCGATACTCCATCCCTCGCTATCCACTTCAGCCCTAAGCCGATAGATGTCCGAGCTCAAGTACGCCGATAGATCTTGTGGATGTACCACTTCGTCATCCGCGATCGCAAAAGTGCCGGAATTTGTTAGTTGAAACGTGCAAGTCACCCCGTTAACACTAGCCCTCGCTAACGGTCCCTCCGCAACTGAGCCTTTTTCTAGCTGGACGCCGTAGGTACTAGCGCCGCTGCCGTCGAGAGACCGCACGCCCACTGTATAATGCAAGACGCCCGCATCGTCGCGGCGGATATCCACAATGTAGAAGTGTAGTCTGTTGCCCTCGTCGACGTACTCGTATTCGCTCCCGGAGTTCGTGCCCGCGTGAAACAGCGCATCGGCAAGTTGGCGATAATCGCCGATACTCAGCGGGGAAGGGGTTCCGTCCGGCCGGAAGAAATTAGTCACGTTGATATCTTGCGGGTTCGCGTCAATGGTCCACTGGAAGGGTGCGTCGTCCACGTCCTTGGTCTTACTAATCATCACCCCTGAGTCCGGTGTGAAGGAATCAGCACCCATGCGGTCAATCACTTCGACATCGTAGTTGTTGTACCCGCCGCCGTCGCACAGCGGGTCCGCGCTCGGGTCGCAAGTGGGCGAAAGATCCGTTCCCATGACGACGCGCAGGCCCATCAGCTCGTCTTCGCCTGGGTTCACGCAGCGCGCGGTGATCTCGGCGACGACGGGTCCGGAGCTGGGGAGCGCAGTGCGGGATATCATAAGGACGCTCGAGTTGGCAACGAGGCCGATGCGCAGCTTGTCGCCCATGGTGTGCAGCGAGCCCAGCGAACCGCCCTGCGTTGCGGGGATCTGCCACCGCGTGTGCGGGCCCCCCGGTCCGTTGAAGCTGCCTCGCGATAGCATGGACCACGGTCCCGTGTACGCGCGGCGCGGCGGGTCGCCGTACGGGTTGTTGTAGTTGTCGCCGATGCCGAGGAGATGGGTCAGCTCGTGGGCGTAAGTCGACATTCCCGAGCTTTCCGCCTGCGTCGATGAGCCGCCCCCGGCATTCGGCCAGATGGCGCTTGCGGCTGCCCAGGAAGTCCAATTTATATACCGCGTCTCGGCGTAATTCGGCAGCGTATCGTCGTCCGGGGGTCCGAACGAGTCGGGGACGTCTTGCGGAGTTTGGAACTTGATCTCTCCGAATTCTTGCCACGTGGAGGACTCGTCCTGGCCCGCGGAAAGGATGAAGACTAGCTCGAACGAATCGGCAGTCTCGTTTCCTACGTCGGCGCGCCAGGCTCCCAGGGCGTCTGTTCGTAGGTCGATTGAGCATGGACCTGCCGTAGGACAAGCTCCCTCGTTGAATCCTCCTCGCTCGTCGTCTATGCCGTATTGATACGAGCGGCTGGGGAGCTGGTACGCGCCGAAGGCTGTCAGATCCACGCCAAAACGACCTCCCGAATCTTCCATCCAGTACTCGTGCAGAGTACGATTATGATTGAGGTCCTGGGGCTTGTTCAGGAAATCGCGATAGAAAGCTGGCACCTCCGAGCGGTCCAGCCCGGAAACAATCGGCTGCGGGTTGCCGAATACGGTCGAGTTCGCCGCCTGCGTGATAACGAAGGGCATGTCCGGGTAGTCGACGGCGACGAGCGCAATGTTGAAGTTCCGGTTGGAACCCTTGAGGTTCGGGTCATTCCAGGACGTGCCCGGAGGTTTCTTGTAGTCTGCCCAGGTCATGTTATCGGGATTTACCCAATTCTGCGGATCGAGAACTTTGAACGGTTCACTCCGTGGCGCAATTGGACCGGCATAGGCGTGTCTCACTAGCACTGAGCCGGCCAAGACGGCCGTTAGGACCACTTGGCGGGTTTTGCCTGTATCCATGAAATGCATCGTCCAAATTGTGCAGGGCCAAAATTTATCCCTTCGCCCTCGACCTCAAAGGGCGTGAAGGAAAAGAACGAGAAGGTTAGACACCCGCTACGGGGTCGAGGGGATTTTATGTGACCCTGAACACGACAGTGGTTGTGTTGCCGATCGTAAAAAGTCTTGGCTCGCTCGTCGAAAAGACATGTCGTCCTGGTTTTTGGGCGGCATTGTAGCCTTTCTACATTCCCGTATTCAGTTTTTCTAGGTAAATATGACGGAATCAGCTATGGCGCTTATCATTGCTCTTGCTACCTACTGGATTGGGTAGGTAAACATGGGCTATTATACTTGGCGAAGATAAAGCGTGCGACGATGCGCTGGGCGCGGAGAACCCGGGTAGACAAGACGTGGCATTCATCACCTGAGAAAATACCATCGTGAGAGCTGTAGCGAGCAAAAGCTTGACTTGCAAGCTGACATTTTCAAGTCCTTATTAGAAAGTCCTTATTAGATGGGTGATACTCATTGTGGGCTGTAGAAACAGTATGGTGGAGTTTGAAATATTGACGGACAACTTGAATGATGAATGATTCTGGTTAAGTACCAAGGTACCTAGCCAAGAACTGTGCAGCCTACAGCTGGCTGTCAGATGGCACAATGCGACAACAGGGTCAACGATATTTATCGCAACAGTACAACCCATCAACCAACTTAAAACGCTTAGACTTTAATAACTTCACCAGTCTTGGAGTACCTTTGCTCCCTACCCCTTACGTACATCGGCGCCTGTAATAGCAATAATAAATAATACCTGTAAGTAATTTTCACTTTCACTTTTTCATTGGCGTACTGACCTCGAGATACTTTAGAATATTTATTGATATGTTGGTTCAAGTCACCGTTGCACCAGGCTTAGTGAAACGATAAACCAATAGACCAGGCGGAACTGAGGTACGAAGAAACGACGCAATTGTGGCGCGTGGAACCCCGAGGAATTCTTCTAAGGAACAAGGTACATACAGGAAGAGCCCTATTTACACCTTGCTCTAGGTCCGACCACCAATTGGTTTGACAGGGCCTCCCACGGGCTGACCTCCAATCATCCTAGACCAGCGGACACGTAGACGCGTATACTCGTAGTCGCGCAAACGCTTAAACGTGTAGACGTGTAGGCAAGTAGGCGAGTAAGCGAGTACTCGCGTAGACGTGTGCTGGAATATTAGGTGGCTGGAGGCCTACGCCCTGTGCTCGCAGATACCTGTATAAGGTATCATCTACCAGCCTGTACCTACTTCCAGTACCCAACCCTAATTAATATATAGGTACAATCTGACACTCACACCCTGCGTCTATTTCAACAGCGTGTGCATTGACATGGTATCAAGAAGAGAACGAAAGGAGAAAAACATAGACTAATAATCGTTCTAATAGCCGTTGAAGCTAAGAGGGATTTATTGATAGAACTTAACCTAGGTAAATACTAAAATCTGGAAGGGGTGTATTTCAAAACGATGATAATGTCATGTACAGGGGCTCCAGTACGGTAATCGAATTCAATCTAATATGTTGGCGTGTTGAGGTAGGTAGGTACCTACCCACCTTCATGCTTGAATGAGGCGACACGAACCGTGAATGGTGTCGTGCTTGACCGCATTTGAATCACTCTTAAAGCCTCCGATAGGTTGAGGCTCATCGCCCCCATCCGTCGTAGACGAAATCAAGTTCGGTGAGGGGTGGGCATTGCTTAGCTGAGAAGGTCCGGCTCTAGTTTTCCTTCTTTTTCTTTGGCGGCTATGAAGAGAGGTTTCGAATCGACACGAGGAAAAGTTCCTCGGATTTTCTCCTGGAAAGAATTGGCCATCTAGGCAGTTCACGTCGCCAACTACCTAGCTAAGATAGTGTATAGTTAAGGATGGCTGACTTGTCTTCTCAAGCGATATCTCAAGCAATACCCTACCTACCTAGGTTTGCCTCTCCGTTAGATAGGTACTTCAGAATTTTTGCGCATTCCCCGTACGAGCCTACCTAGGTACTTCTCTATGTTCACCCTCCTTTTTCACCCTCATTTCATATGCCAATAATAACAACGAATATAGGGATGCCAGACCCTGGTTTGAACTCATGTCTCCGACTTACACGGATAGACAATATATATGCGTGCCGGTAAGCGCCCTAGAGTCGATCACATGAATATCTTTAATATGATCACTAGCATTGGGTCGTAACGACCGTCGGCACCGCGTTGTGATTGGGAAAAGGGGCAATGTTAGCCAATACATTCATTTTGATGTAACCTATTGCATGCACAGCCTTACGCGTTTTCGATACCTACCTATGTCTATGCTTTATGTTTACCTAGGTTGTTTCAAGATACTTCCGTTTCTATGAGAAGTCTCATACATCATGGGGTACTATTTTAATCATGGTTCTTATTCCTCCCTACCATGAGACCATAGTGTCGAAGGCAGAATCGTCACAACCCTGTGGTAGTGCTAGTATATGTCTATATCCCGTCATCTTGTCGAATTTTGCGTTGGTTAAGAGAATTCATATGTAAACAAATATTTCTCATATCAATATTACTAAGTCTTTGGAACGTGACTTATTACGTAGTAAATATGAGTATCTAGGTAGGTAGACCGATAACGCGCGCAAACCAAGAGAGTGTGATAAACCACCATCCATCCCATCCATATGACATGCCAGCCCGCTCATACCGTGCATCTAACCGCACAGATCACTGAAGTCACCCAGTGCTGCTAACCAGAAGGTATTCTATCTAACAACTCTTCGACCATCTGCAGTACCAAAAGGATGGTGCGAATATCCTCCTACCAAGCGTAAGTAGATCTTTCCATCATGGATGCGTACCTTTCCACCGGCTTCAGCCACCTTGTCTAAGGAGCGACTGCGGGAGCGAGTGGTTGATTAATTACCTAGGTACAGTTACGAAGTTCAAATGATTGTAAAACTCGACAACTTAGCCACCTCCCCCAAAGCCGCTCGATCGCCGTTCTCGCTAGGTGCGAGATTAGTGAGTGCACTCGCGACGTCAGCTTATCGGCCTCGGTCTGCAGTTCGTCAATCCAGCCCCTGAGCCCGTTCTTCTTCCGCTTCAACGCCACCACCTTGTCGTCCTCCGCCTCGAGGTCGTTCGTCTCGGCCCTTGATAGTGAACTACCACTAAAGAGGCGCCGTGGTTGTATTGTTGTAGAAGCGCAAGATTTGCTAGTAGCTGACAATATGAAGCAGATGTAGTGCACATGACATTAACGCAATCTCGTCGCACAGCCTTTATAGTTTCTGTTTGTCCGCCATTAGGCTCGGTTTCGACAATGCTGATATTCTCCCAGGTGCACCTAGGGCGGAACTATTAGTAATGGGACCATGCATGTACAGGAAAATACAGAAAATACACACATGGTGATAACTTTTGCAATGGTAAGCTCTTGATGGCGAACGTATAGATAAGTATGTGTATATGCGATACGCAATATCATCTAGTAGGCAATACGATGCTGAGCAAGGTTTGCGTCTTTTCTTATGGGAACCTTGTGATAGTGGATGGATTTGGAAAAGAGGAGGATGGAAATAGAAGTAAGGCTGCGAGAAGGACATCATTACGTTGTTGGACGCCACGTCACTAGGCAGTCAAGTAGATCCAGTTCAATACCTAGAAATAGGCTTAAAGATGGTTTAAACAGTGAAGCGAGCATGTACCCGAATGGAATTCCCTCCAATGATCCGTCACGTAAAGTAATGCTCCTATATGCATACATACCCGAACGAAGAAACCTCAAGGTGAGTAGATGAAAGATGAGGATTTTCTAAGTAAATAGCATATCGTTCAGCTAGAGTGCCGGTTCAGTCAGTTGGAGAATCATATTCATCATCATCATGCTAACAACATACGCGCCACACATATACCAATGCTTCGGTATCTTCTTCTGAAATATAGCGTCTGAGCGTCCACCTTTTATTAGCATGATCCGGACCTTGGCATACATGCCCAATTTCTGTGCATGTTACATCTGTCTAGGTAGGTATCTAACCAACTTCAGAAGAGGTATTCCAAAAAAGAACATGCTTAGTACCTGGAATATCTGTCGGCCCCCTTTAACTAACACAAGCCGACCCCTCAGTTTAGAAACTGCGGCAATGCTGCCAGTAGCCCCCTAACGCCTACTGGTACACATATACACTCAACTCTAATCAGTGACATATGACCTTAAAGCGGGAGGTTGGTAACGTCTCAAGTAGAGTAGTACCCTTGTCTTGTGCGGACCAAGGGGGTTATCTCTGAATACCTAGGTAGGCAGGTAGGTAGGTAGCAACTCTCATAAGTCTTACCCCAGTATCAGAGTTTCGCTATATCCTCACTTGGCGGTTTACATGAAGCGAGTGAATAATCGGAAACTTTTCTTATAACCCAGGTCATGATGTGACCTGGATAGGAAGAGTGTCTTTATGTGGCGAAACGCAAAGACTGGTCATTATCCACCGAGCATTATTGGCTATTTGGACCATCCATCTAGTCCGAGCTACCCCAAGGCTACCTGCTATTATAACTTTTCTTAGAAGAGTCTCAGCTACTGGAACCAGTTTTACGAGCTGGTCAGATACCAGTCTAGGATTTTAACACCAAGAACTGCATGTGCGAGGTGTAAAGCTACGACCCCACATATACTGACGTTTGCACGACATGCTGCCGCCGGCGAGGTTATCGCGAACGATGTGACTGTCAATGTCTTCGAAGGCTATTGTGTTTCATCGCCATACTGTGACCAATGGCTTTCAAGTTATGTTTCGGACGCAGTATCTGCTTGAGTAGTAAAGGCGAAAGCGAAAGTATCGTAAGATTTCCCCTACCCTATTGCTTAGGTCGGCAGAAAGCTTCCTAAGGGAACTATCATCATTACTAACGCGATGCTGCGTACAGGTTCTTGCGAAGTTAAGCCTAACTAGGTACTAATGGCGGACTGTTCTCCATCAACGTTCTGTAAACTTTCCAGCATACGAAAAAGAAGATGAATAAACCGGCTGGGCCCACCCAGTAATGTTTCTGCCAGATGATGCTAGGGTATAGCGAGCTTTACTTGAACGACATCAAGGTACTATCACATGGATGCGACTAGTCATTCTAGTCGCCACATTAAAGGTCATCACATCAACGGCAGAACATTAGGTGTGTCACAAGGCGGAACCAAGAGGCTAGGGAAGGACGACGTTGTTGCGCGAAGAGCTCTAACTAATCCCTTCCAGGGGATGCGGTATACACACATGAACCTTCCTTTGTCTACACCCAAGAGCCAACTGCCATCAGGGCGGCCTTGTACAGGTCGACTTCCGATCTATCTGGGCTACTAGCCAATCCTGGCGAGACCTCTGACTACCAGCTCTCGCGGGGGAGGCTTCTGACAAGGAGCATCATGAGAAGCTAGAAGGCTTCATCGGATGAAAGAGCCTAAGTGATCATGATGAACTTGCCTGTGGCCGGAGGAACTATACATTACAGTATGCACTGTGAACATATCTCGCCTGTATGCCTGACGTAGGTATGGAGGGTGCAGGTAGAGTATCTCCTGAGACCAGAAATCTTTATCCTCCACTCTGACCTTCAGTACGACCATAGATAGAAACCCCCAAGCTGACTTCACAACGTTTCAGAACCACGCTTAAGCGCCCAGTGAGGTCTGGGGGAACATCCCGACGTCAAACCGTTGGCTAAGTCGCCCATAGCGGGATTCGAATCCGCTCACGTTGCCGATACCCAACAATTCCCCGTCCTAGCACCGATCAAGAAACCATTAAGAAACGCGCCAAGGAGAGTGACGATCAACACATGCCGATCTTGAACGTCAAGATATATAGGTCTTCGGCGATGGGTTTTGACGGGAGAAGAGACACAAATGGAAAAGAAGGTTGAGAAACCGACTTCGAACCCTAATCCTCACGAACCTTGAAATCTGAACTCTCAGACCTATCAACGGGCGGTGGATGTGCGCATATATGAATGCCGGGGTATAGTGGAGGGAATGAGATGTCTTCTAGGGATATTCTTTTCCAGACTGGTCAATGGTGAGAATGCGATGGGAAATAGGTACCTACCTAGGCAGTCAACTACTAGGTGCCTACTCCCATGGGCAATTCAAACTCTATACGACACCCATTGACTATTTCCTTCACGCAATAGAAAGAAGCAGGTCGTCAAATTAGATAAACTCTCCACCCAACTATCCTGAACGTAGATCAGTCGTTTAGGTACCTTATCTAGAGTAGAATTCGCCATGTAAATCTAAATATCCTTTTGACTCCTTGGAATGCTGGAGCTAGTTATCGCTTTTCGCCATCAACGGCGTTGCTGACAGGTAGAATTTCGACACATCTGGTGCGATGCCTGAAAGTTCTGTCACTGAGCTTCGAAGCAACTTCCAGAAGCTCGTTGTAGCCTTGAAGGAAAGTGTAGGACGATGGCAAGTTGAACTACCTCCTTAACCTGCACAAATCTCCAATCGAGGGTTAGAAGGGCGATTCTGATCGGCCGGGAGTACTATTTTTAGGTCAGAGCATTTACGGTGGATATTATAAAATCATATACCGTCCATGGTTTATATTTCGGACCTGGTCCATTAGAGTAGGTGAGCAGCTGTCAGACTAATCATTAGATTCTTCTTAATAAAGGATTCAACTTGTTCATTGCCTGAGATCTCTGCATATAAACGACAGATGCTTTTACAACAGCAATCTTATCTCAGAGGAAATCACGCGAAGTACCAAAGATTGAAGATATCCCCAACACACAGACCACTTAATCTTGGATAAGAGTTGGCTTAGAGCACGTGACCATAGAGTATCAGATATTTGTCAACTGACTAAGCTGGAGATGGCATTGTGTGGCGCTTTTCTTCAGTGGCTGGGCTCCCTGTGATATAGCGGTTATCCACTAAAATTTACTAGCCAGATCGCTGTCAGATCTGAGTACCTAGGTAATTAGTAGACGGACCGGAGTGCTTGGAAAGAAACTTGACAGCCCTCCAACACCTGATTCTTATGATTTATTCAGAAGTTGGTTTCCCAGCCTTTCCTTTCCCGGGCGCCCCTTCAAATTTAGCTCCCCATTTATCCTGCTGTTGGAACATGGCCAGGCACGCTAGCGCAGAAGGCGAGCCGTGATCTGGGTCGGCGCCGCCTTCTAGCAATGTCTACTAGATGGTTAGTGTTTGCGAGGCTCTTGGTGAGAGATATCGCACTTCAATCACAGCATCCTCCTTCTTGAAAACAGCGCCGGCTAGGGGGCTTTGACCTCTGTCGTTTATCCTATTTGGGTCGGCGCCGTGTTGAATAAGCAGCTTGACAAGATCGGCATGTCCATGATATGCCGCAAGCATGAGCTTTGAGTACGTGTTCATTCATCAGCAATGAGCGCGGAATAATTGATTGATAATCGACTATTGCCTACAAGAGTATCACCCTTCTCGTTGGTCATGTTAGGTGGAAGTCCTCTTGGTAATGCCTGTTCGAATACATCTTTGTCGCCGGCGCGTGCTGCATTATACATCCGAGACGCAAACTCGATGACTTCGGGGGGGATGGTTGCCGGATCGGTGGAGGCCATTGTGGAGAAATGGATTACAATCGAGAGTAAAGACTAGAGTCACAAGAGTATTCAGAAGAAGAGAAAGGCGAGAAGAGAACCAAGGTTGGTTGTCGCTATAAGGTTGTTGTTTCCTTCCTAGATGATGCAAGCCGAGTAAGCTCCGGGATTAGGTGGGGAGGGTGCGATGACATCGTCGGTGCTACCTCCAAAGAGGAAATCACGTAAGGTGATTTTAGCTTCCTTTAATTGGCCCTCCGGACGAAATACCTCTCTTAATTCACGCGATGCGCTCCTCTGTTCTGTGAGCAACTTCATTTTTTTTTTTATTTCCGGTCTTAGCACAGTCGACTTAACTAGGTATTTACGAGTAAGGATTCAAATGGTGAAAGCGAGATACTCATCCATGGATTAGATCCATATATCATTCTACGCCGATATAGCGATATGCTGTACCAACTATCCCACCTTCCCCGCCAATAGCCGCTATAATCCGTGGTCTGAGTACCTAGGTACCTAGTAGCTTTAACTCTGACGTCGAAGCTCCCACACATGGATTTCTTCACATTCCTCCGTTCATATACAAGTCTTCAATTATACCAACTCAATTTTCATTCAGCGGTCCTGTCGACACATTTATATGGTTGAATCTATCTCATTATATATTGGAAACAATTCAAGTCAGCACATCATATCCAGGTACCTTGCGGGTACAAACCGAGCTTCCGCGTCAGCACAATGCCACCACGATTGAGCAGTCGCTTAGTCTCTCCAACCATTCGCTTTTTCCGTCTGTATTCTAGCGACGCCGGTCCATTAATCAGAATTACGAACCTTCCAACTTCTAACACCGGCCATATTCGCATCCTCGAGCTCAATCGGCCATCAGCACGCAACGCCATATCGAAAGCTCTCCTAGCCTCCTTACGAGCCGAAGTCGAAGATATCCAATCGCAGTACACACTAGAAGGCAATGAGATACCGCCTGTACCACGATTCGGAGGAGCCGCGGGCATAGATGAGAAAGGACCAACTCGGGCCTTGATATTAGCCAGCGCCGTCGACGCGAGCTTCTGCGCTGGCGCAGACCTGAAAGAAAGGCGCGGCTTTACAGAACAAGAGTCCGTCTTCATATGACCTTATACTTGGCACTTCTGCACTTTTACATCACATCACTACATGGTTCCCAGCTAACAGTAGCTCGCCGATCCCTCTAGGACGCAACAATTCCTCTCCAACCTCCGCGGCACGTTTACATCCCTCTCCGCCCTCCCTATCCCCACCATTTCCGCCATATCATCTCTCGCCCTGGGCGGGGGCCTCGAGCTCGCGCTATGCACGCACTTCCGCGTCCTGGCCTCCACCGCCATTGTCGGGCTGCCCGAAACCCGGCTCGGCATCATCCCCGGCGCCGGCGGCACCTACCGGCTCCCCGCGCTCATCGGCCTGCCTCGCGCGCGCGACCTCATCCTCACCGGACGCCGCGTCTCCGCCCCGGAGGCGTATTTCCTGGGGCTCGCCGACCGGTTGGTGGAGGTGCTGCCCGAGGACGAGCGGGACGGCGTCGCGCAGGAGAACGGTGCGAGGGGAGGGGGGAGGGGAGAGGAGGGGCTGCCGGCGCGCGCGAGGAACGCGGCGCTGATGGAGGCCGTGAGGCTGGCGAGCGAGATTTGCGAGGGCGGACCCGTGGCCGTAAGGGCTGCGCTGGAGGCGGTTAGCTGGGCGAGGGAGGAGGTGGAGAATGCGGCGTACGAGAAGGTGGTTAAGACCGAGGATAGGGATGAGGCGCTCGAGGCGTTTAAGGAGAAGAGGAAGCCGATTTTTAAGGGGCGGTGAGTGAATCAATGGTGTTGAGACCTTTGGGACGTTTGTCATATGATAATGTTGTCAGAGCTGGATTTGGACGCATAGGCCATATTTGCTAGGTTTTGATGTCATCTGTGCCAATTGGCATATGACGTATATACCGCTTTCTAGCTCATGGTGCGATGTCTAGGCCTTTGGTGCATGAGATATTTCGACACTAAGGCCTGGTAAAACATTATGAGGGATGTCTGAGTTATCTCAAATTACTACGACGATGCTGGTGAATAAAGCTCAATGCACAATCATTGGTATTGAAGCTGCTTTTTATGCGTTTGTGCGGATCGTCACTTCACCGCTGCCTGCTTCAGCCTTACAAGGTGTCTGAGCAAAGGCATGTAAGTGGCGCATATTTCTGAATCTAGTGCAGCTCTAGGTTCCGCAGATCAGGGTGCCAGGGTGCGTCAATCGATCTGATTCTCGGGGCTCTTGGCACTAGGGTGATGATGAATCATGATCAACGTGACGCAATGAGGTTAGGAAGTTGACAAAGAATTATCCATATAATACAACTCAACATCATCCATTGGATTCTTGAAGACATTATCATGCGAGTGCTTTTCGCTGGTACTTAACACACGTGTAGGCGTCAAGTATTGAATACAACCTCAGCCTCCTAAACTAGGGGCATTTAATTCTCAAGAATTGACATCATGGGCAAAAGCGAGAAGCCGGAGGAGGGAGACAAAGGTACACCTCTCAATTCCTCAAGTATATCAAGCTAGTAGCTTAAAAAACATTGGACTCCAAATTCTCTTTTTTTCTACATTAACTTATTAATTGCGCCTTCCACTAATTAATGATCTTATATAGTTTCCTGGTCCTGGGGAGGTGGTGCCCCAGCTGGTACAGTTGCGGAGACCAAAGAGCATGGCGCAATCGAGATCGAGACGCAGCGCGGGAATATGGTGAAGAGAAAAGCCGATCCAGGAAATCCCGCCGTCCGCGTAGAAAGGTCGGGCAATGACGTGGTTAAACGGTCGTCCGAACTTACTGTAGAGGAAAAGGCTAGCGAGAGCGGCAAAGCGGGTACGAAGCGTAAGGCGAAGGGACAGAACCCCGAGGAAGATGGTAAGAAGGATAACTGGAATGAGGGGAATAGTGAAGAGGAGGCAGGACAGAAAGATCATGGTGGCATTGATGTGGACGGAGATGATGAAGAACCTCACACCAAGAATAAGCAGGGCAAGGAAGTGAAGAAGGGTGGGAAGGAGGCTAATAAGAAACAGAAGCGAGAACGGGAGAACGAGGATGAAGAGGATGAACCTGAGCTAAAGGATGATGAGTACGTCGAAGATGAGGCGGTCGATGTTCCTGATAGCGATGAAAATGAGGGAGAAGAAGCAAAACGATCTAGTGACAATAACGACAAGCATGTTGTTTTCAAAGGTTCCGAGACAACCAAAAATGGCGAAAACAGCACAAATCAGAAGACTAAAGCCAGCGACGAGGCAAAAGGGGGTTCAATCCATAAGCACGAGGGCGACAAGGTCAGCGCACGAACTCGAAGCCATACAGATTAGATTACAAACATTCCTCATAGAATGCTTTAATAAGGAAGTTGTTAGACATCTTTCTCCGAATAATCCTGAATACGTTGATATTAAACTAGGTACCTACTTGACTACCTATGTATTGTATCTTCCTCATGACTACAATCTTGATGTTTAACAGCCGAGGTTTCAGTTCATATAGAATTTCAGATGTTATCACTGGTACCCCATGAGTTTATATCGAGCACGTGTCTACCTAGGAACATCAGCCACGCTCACGGATTACCCCAGCTAGAAGACATCTCTAGGTCGGCAAGGGATAGGGAGGGGATCACGGCCTCCCCGAAATTGCCCACGATACTGCATTGCTGATCTATCATACTTCCATCAAACCCGCAGCGGTTATCCAAGCCGTGAAACATAAATTCACCGAGAACATTTAACAATATGAGATATGAGACCAACATATTTAAGTCAGTAATTTTGTAGTAATGTTGATTTGAGGCTGAAAGTCTATTGTGTTGGTGTATCCCAAGTTCATGCGGCCCGCATCAATTTTATAGACACTTAAGTAATCTGAAGTGATATTGGAACTAATTGAGATTATGATAATTGAGATAATATCGTTTCACCCTCTAGAACATCGACGTCTTACTTCGGATGTGGAAAATCGGGACGCCTGAGTCTTTCGGGATACATGATCTAGACCCCGAATACACAAATCTTCTCGCTGTGGTCATGGTTATAAATCGCGAAATTGCAGCGAAGCAGCACAGAGGCACGGAGCTGAACAGTCTTCAGCAGGATGAACCATACCTAGATCTATAAGTTTAATGAGGTGAATCAAGATCGTCGTCCAAAATGTTGGTAGAGGTAGCTATAAATATTCATCGCGTGGGGATGTGACACTGCATCGTAGGAATATTATGAGTCTCTCGAAGGATAGCCCTGCAGTGATTGCTTAGTCCTCAGCGGACTGGATCCTCTTGTTAGTTTCTTTTGGGCAATTTGGGATTTTGGTTATAGAAGTTGCTGGGCGAAATTATTTCTAGTTCTACCAGGCTAACTAGACGCTGAATTAGGTAGGTAGATAGCCAGAGGATTGATCCTGTAATAAACCTAAGACTCCAAGTGGACTAAGAAGCCTTTTACATAGGTACATGGCTTTAATTTCACGATATGAAAGTAGAAAAAAAAATTTACGCGTGGGTAGGTAGGTATGTATAAAAGAGGACGGCGATCGATGTTCGCATCCTTTGTCCTTTACGTTGATGTTGACGTTGGTGATGTTGTGGTTGTTTGTAGCATATGTAGGTATTAAATAAGCTGAGTCTTAGCTGAAGAATTATAGCTATTGTTTTGCCTCGGCCGATTCCGACCCTGACCCGGTTGAAACGAATCCGTTTCAAGATGGCAGCTGAGTGATGTGCGCAGATCATTGATTGGCGCAGCCCACCCGCTGGTAGCGTGTGCCAAACTAAGCTCTCATTAAATGCTCCGTACCCCGGACCATGTTTCCACCACTACCGTGCCCCGGATCGCCAATCTACGTACTATGGTGTACTATGTATGTGCGACAGCCGAGCAGATATGCCAGACACGCATAAGCGAATGGAGGCCAGTGGAGGTGCGTAGGAAGACTGTGAGAGGCGAAGGCTCACTTAACCTTAATTAAAGTATGTCTCATCGCTCGTCGGACGACTGTAGAATGTTCGGGTTGTGAAAGGGTCGTTTTGGACTTTGATAGGCTCGATTAGGTAGGTGACAAGTCGGGGCCTGCAGGAACAGCGTCGCATTGGGAGCGGGGACGGAAGAATAAGACATCCTCGGGGGCCAGGGCACAGGGGGGAAAAGCAAAATTGCAAGCATATAGATTGTTTGGCGAGGCACTCTTCTAAAGTTCTAACGACGATTCATCCATTCATATTCTTTTTCTCCTTCCTGAACACTCACAATCGTGGACGATCCCTATCACGTGCTGTGGCTTCGGCCCCTCTACTCGTTCAATGCCTCCCAGACATAATTCGACTAATCGTCTTACGCGTATGGCTGTATGTTAGTATTAACGGAAATTTCTGTACCTAGCCGTGCTTGCTCCGACGAATGAACTTTGTTGTCAACGTCAGCTCTTGCTGTTGGGCGCCTTGATGTTTCAACCATAACGCTGACCCAACATGACCGGTTGAAAAATCGCTGAACACGCAATTTTCTACAGCGGCGCCCTGCAGAGGATATATATGATGTGGGTCCGGGGCCGACTTGTTCCTCGGTGTCTAAAAATAGCAAGAGTCGCACGGAATCTAGGTACCGCTGCTGCTACTAGCTCCCCACTCGGGATCAGGGGCTAGGTAGTTCTGATAATTATGCCGACGCTGTGGGAGGGGGACAATTCAGTCTATCAGATCAGCAAAGCGGTAACCCTTTCCAGACTATAAGATGTTACCGCTATGTTACAGTTATCATCTCGCCGGTGATGTTTGTTGGTGTCAGCTGCAACTAAGACATCAAACGAATTGTCATGTGCCTGGGTTTCGGTGTCTATAGGTCTCTGCAGGCCTGGCTGCCGTTCTGGTCGCTACCGAAGTCTCCGTGACAAATCTCTACCTAGGAATACCACGCACTACGTAGTAGGCTACATCCGTTCGGCCATGTGTGTGCCCGGCTTTCTCCAACAAAGCCGCCAAACAGGAAGCACGAGGCGTTTTCCCGCAGAAAGGCACGTTATCCCTTTCGTCGGAATGAATTCAATATAGGAAGTCGAGCAGTCGAGACCTCTGTTGGTGCACTAAGAATACCGCCACATCGGTGTTTTTGTCACGAGACGGCTCAGCTCGGTCCTACATACCACCGCGAAGTTTCGATAGAGGAAGGTAAGCGGCTCCAGCTGTGAGCGTCAAGGCGTACAGAGTCATAGGCCGGGGAAGAACGTACCCCGCGTTGAATTATGAGATCCATTAGGTACCTAGAGATGAGAAGGATCTGGCTGGAGTTTTAGAGAGCCACAGCCAGTCGGGACCTTGGATATCTATATAAGTCCCGTGTCAATACATTTGTGGGCAAGGTCGTTACGCCGTAGATTGAGGCTCCGTAAATTTCCCTTCCAACAGTCGGTAGGTGAAGAGAGCCTTGAAAAATCATGTCTGAGGCTATTAGCAAGCTTGCCCAATGAAGATACTCACGATCATATCACATGTCCCAATCGGATGGTTTAAGTCTACGGCGAGCTTAGTATGCCTGGGGTAGGGTAGGTAGTTTATGCGTATGTGTAGCTGTGGCGTCGAAACCGATTCTGGCCTCTCATTGGTCGACTAACGGCCTAGGAAATTGGAAACGGTAATTAAGGGAAGGTAAAGTGTTAGAGAGAGGCGCTTCTACGGAGGTTCTGCGGGCTAAAAGTACAGATCCCGGCTCCGTGGCATTACTCTCTTCTCCAACTTTGGAACAGAGCTCCCAGACTGCCAGATCAAACCCCCCTGCTCCCGTCAGATCCTTCGGAAATAAAGTCCTTGTCTAGTGCACACATGGGATGAAATAAACCTTACTACGTTGTAGGACAAAGCTCATTCGCCTTACTTGCAGCAACACCTCCATGAGGTTTAGTTTCAGACTATGATCGATCCTTTGGCCCCAAAGGGAAGGTCATCGTTACGCTCTGCCCACCTATTGGCCTGTGTGAACCACATAGACTTCGATGCAACTAAACGAAGAGGTTCGTAACGTTTCTTGTAAGTCGAGTCTCACTGTATATTAGAGCATCGTTACGTATATAACTTCTACGTCCGGCTCCTCGTATCGTTCTCTTGCAGGATGTTCTCCTAGGTGTACAACACGGATATACCGGTTCTCTTTTGGAACTGTCCACTCCCTTTCCCGCTCTGAAGCCGCAGGCCGCAGGCGTCCATTCCTTAGATTAGGTACATACATACACACACTCCTTATTATCGTTCAGTCATTTTGAGAATAACTCTGCCCCCTCCCTGCGAGACTTCGGAGTATACGCACAATACATCATGCGTGCTTTTGTTAACTTAGCTGTAGCTGTTGCTACGGCTTTCGTCGCCGAAACCTTCGCTGCGCCGATTGTTGCAACACCGGGATCTAAGACAGACCTGGTTATCACTGATAAAAATACCCTTAATGGCACACATGTTCCTGTGGTCAAGTCTGGACAGACGGTCCAGTCCAACCCGCTCAAGATATCTCTTCTCAACAACTTTGGTGGCGGACAACTAAATGTATACGTGACGGGGAAAGACACCAATGGTGCTAATATCATGCTCTCGACGAATGGATCTTGGTATTACCCCGACCCTGCCGGCAGTACGACTCCAGTGGCGGTCAACGCCAACGTCGCTCTCCCGATGAATGCTCAAGGTCAGACCACCGAGTTCACCCTGCCCGATTACATCAGCTCCGGCCGCATATGGGTTGCCGAAGGTAACCTTCAGTTCTTTGCCGTCGTCGATGGAACCGGAGCAGTTCAGTTGGTCGAGCCGTCGGCCGCCAACCCTAGCGACCCTTCAGCGGCTGTCAACTGGGGATTCGTCGAGCTCACTAACACGGAGGAGGGCGGTATCTACGCCAACATCTCGTTCGTCGATTTCGTTGGTCTGATCATGGGCATGACCTTAACTCTCGGCAGCGGCGAGACCCAAACCGTGAAAGGTCTCCAGGGGAACGCCATCTCCTCCATCTGCTCGGATCTGAAGGCGCAGGCGGCCGCTGACGGCCAGCCGTGGGACAAGTTGTGCGTCACGGACTCGAGCGGGAACCCTCTGCGCGTCCTCGCGCCTAACCTGTACCTGTCCATCGACCCCAGCGCCATGTCGACCTACTACGACGACTATATCGACCAAGTCTGGGAGAAATACACCAACGAAGACTTGACTATCAACACACAGGCCGCCGCCGGCAACGTCACGTGCCGTGCCAGCGGCAACCAGATGACCTGCAACGGCGACAACCGCGCTTACCCCAAGCCAACCGTGATCGACATCTGGGGTTGCAACTCGGGCCCGTTCTCCATCGAGGACAGCGACAACGACGTCCACCATGCCGTCGTCCCCCGACTCTGCGCCGCCTTCTTCCGCAGCACGCTACTGATCGACGGCGGCAACGTCCAGCCGGGCGTCGGCCAGGACAGCTACTACACCACGAGCCCTACGAGCCACTACGGCCGCATCGTACACAAGTACGAGACCGACAACAAGGGTTACGCCTTCTCATACGACGACGTCAACCCCGACGGCCAGAACTCGGCCGGCGTCGTGTCGGGTGTTAGCCCGGACACTCTTCAACTCGCCGTCGGTGGATTTGCCTCTTAAGGGGGCTCATTCTTAGTCGACGAGATTGGAAGAATAGGGGCGGTATCTTGACATAGATATTGGTCCCTAGAATCATGGCTGCGGCTATGAATACGCATTGTATATAACGCCTTTTCCATGTATATATTTTCTGTCGATAGCATTTCTGGGGATCTGGGTATCATGTACATATAAGCCGCGCATATCACACACGCTCGTTAAAAAAGTCGATATTTTGCCAAATTCTACGCGTGCCTGAAGTTTCGAGTATTGTGATATGTTTTAAGGTCTCGGGTAGTTTAGCCGAGGTCATAACTTCCATCAGGCGCAGTCAATGTCAGCACCTAAAAATGATACGTCCGTATCGTACCTATTGGATTTTCATTGAATCTAGTGATATTCTATCATTCCTATATCTATCATCATGAGATGATTTGTCGCATATAAGACATCATTTATCAAAACATTATTCTCCGGCAATCATTCTGTGGATAATTCTCGCTATTCATGCTGTGTTACCAGAACCCCTTTTCTATTACTAATACCCCGAAGACTCTAAAGGAAGCCAATGCACTTCATAGAAGAAGCGAAAATTTCAACGAAGGTTTTCCGGTTATAATACAGGTAAAAGATAGCTGAAGTCTGAATGATATTGAGTTCTGACGTGCATATATTCCGAGCATCGTTCCGGGACCGATGCCCAAATACGAACTGTTTCAGGTACGATAGTTTCGCTTATGCATCTTGTCAAGCCATATAGGGCTGAGTATTGAGGATGTCGCGCGAAATTGTAAGTGCATCTCAACCTCTAAGTTACCTGCTGGCGTCATCACGATCGTATGAGCCACATGCATTCGGTTCCGTTGCACGCTTGATAAGCTTTACCAGTCTCGTATCGTATGTGCATAGCAAATACGATATATCGCCACAGGTATACGTCCTGTTCATCGGCGATGGTCATAATATGAGCGTTTGACACGACAATAACATATTATCTGTGACAACGCTTTTGAACATTCCTCTTGAATTCAATTCTTACTCTTTACTTAATAATTAATCAGCACCTTGTATATGTAGGACATAGAATTACCAATATAATTTCGCCCCCTTTTGCCGTTGGCCATCATATGACAAATCAAGTCGACCCGCCTCACGGTCGAACATTCATTCTAGTTAGGTGAACGTCATCTCATACACACCCGCTTTGGGGCCAAAATTGGTTCCGCTGCACATTGCAATTCACTTCTACGTACTACAGGTACTAAAGGCTATAGGTGAATGACTACCTAATCTGATAGCAATTATCTCCAAATCAACATTGAAGCAGCCTATCTTACCTAGGTAGGTACATATGTTCGATACCTACTGAGTGAGTACATGTATACAAATATTTCGAAGTAAAATAGTTGCCTGGGCAAGGACTGTGTATGCTGTCTAACTATGTAGGAAATATCTTGCGTCATAAATCTCTCTATTGTTTGATTGCGCCTTCCGATTTGAAGTCGATTTGGTGACAAGTGCTTAGATATTCCAAGACATAGAGAAGCCGCATTCTAGATTATAAATCATGGATGAGCAAGTAACTTTGGCACCTAAGATGGCTGCCTGCCCACACAATTTATTCTATCAACTTGGACTTCTAAATCATTTTTTCTAGAACCCATCCCAAGTTTTTAATCATTTGCACCTCACTCGAACAGTTATCCCTTTGTGTATTGCTACGTTATGGCGCCTCAGGAAGCCTTGTCGCTTCTGGGCGCCCCCAAAACCTTCCACCAGTTCCCCGAACTAGCACAAGAGATTCAGATAATGGTATGGAGAGAATTCATTCTCGACGCCAACAAGGACCGCGTTATCATCCTCGATGAAATCAGCAGGGAAATTCTGCCAACCCCTTTCCTCGAGTGCTCGACTTTCTGCGTCAACCTCTTAAGTCGTCAAGTCTTCTTGAACCTTTACCCGGTCCAGATTCCCGTCCATAAAACCCGCCTACAACTGTTTCTCGCAAACAACATTGAATTCATCCGAGACGGCACACTAGACGAACTATATGACGATGATTACGCAACCGGCACTCGTGGAGAGCCACACGGTTGCGTATATGTCAACTTCGACCGAGACATATTTGCCATGACTGGTTTCAACCGACTTTTTGATTCCTTGTACAAGACGCAAATTGAAAATATTTATAAATACAAGACCCTGGCTCTAGATCTGGGGCAGTGCAAACTTGTAAAACATCTTAGTAAGTTAAAATAGCTCTCCGTCATTTCCATACATACCTATTTCCCCTAGCAGCTCGTTTCATATGCTAGTTCACACTCCTCCTTAACGACAGAAATGACTTCTAATTGACAATTTATAGTGGAGTACTGGGTCGGCGGTGAGGAAATTGTCGACGGAATCCTTGTGGTGGATAAGTTCGTTGGGCACGCGTACAAAGAAATGGTATTTAGCGAAGTCGAGACCTGCCGACATGTAGATCCGGATTTGACCTTTGACCTTGATTACTTTGACGATCCATATGAGCCCGAGAAGTTCCTAGGACATCTGATGGGACTTCCGGGATGCGAGCTTTTCAAGAAATGGAAACCAACCCATCACCTAGTCCACAAAGAACACGCGATAAAAGCACAAGGGGCTACGGAAGCTAAAGCTTAGCGATGTCTGCTAGGATTCTACTCTAAAAAGAGATTTACTACGTTGATGATCAGGAGACAGAAGGTCAGGCTGTGAAGAAATATAATTAACCTTCTAAGAAATGGACCACGTGGTGAAAATACGGAAATAAATAGCTGGTGTAGCAAACATATTACCAGTATCACGGGCAGCAGGCAGAAATTGGGACTTCTGATATCATTGCAATTCTTATCAGCGACAACAACTCTCTGAGTCGGATGCGTACCTACCTATGTACCTAGTCCATAGGGTTGCTACTTATAATTATCAATACCTAAATCCTGAATTGCACATAAAGTGTGTAGCTTAGTTGCGAGGTAAATATAGGTATTTAAACTGCCATCTTCTCTTCTCAGTCTCTTGATGGGTAGGCATTACATCGAAGGGCCCGGTCACTGATCCTACACCAACCACGGGGTTTACCTTACATCAGTTATAATACTCAGGCAGTCCCGCAAAACTCAAAGCCATTATATTGGGCGACACATATCTTCCGCATCAATCTCATATTGTTAGCAAAGATGCTGTCCGCTTGTCTTGGGTACAGTGGTGCATTGAACCCACCCACGATTAATTGATTACCTACTCTTTTTAATTACTAAATGTTATGTTACACAGCGTCGTTAATGAAAGATCCATAGGCATTGTCTTAATGGAAGCCCTTCTCTAGCAATATATAGGATGCCATCCTTAGCGTAATAAACTCTACCGATATACCCTCTCTGAGAAACCATCATCTTGTTTTTAGTGACTTATGTCTCAGATTGACGAAGTTATCTCTCTGACTGGTACCTCTGTTTCTCTACAAGCCAGAGATTAAGAGCTAAAATATACCGTCACGTAATCTAGTGGACGAGGCCTAGGATATAAGAGATGAACGGTATATGATACGTAACAGGTAGTTACTTTGGACAGGGCTTTCGTGGATGTTCAAGTGTATTTTGCCTCCCAACTCCGAGTTATAAACTACTAGTTGAAGAGACAGTGGTCTCGGAATATATATTAGATAAAGAATTATTGGATGTATTCCAAAGAGAAATAAAGGTTTAAGGCACCGTGTTTATTTTTATTTTACGGAAATAGCGAACGTGTAATGTAGATACATATCTCAGCCAGCGAGAAAGTAATAGAGAACAACTCAGATATACCCTTTTGATGAACACGCCGAGGAGGCCATTTTCTCGACGTATTCACCAAGACCATCATGTAATCCCAACGTTGTGGGAAACTTCCAGAGTGAGCTATAAACCCACCACTCTCAACTTATTTGCCGTTGAGTGCGTTGGACAAGTGGGCAAAGTCTTCATCTGTTAGTCCGGTATAGTGAAGGCAGTCAGTGCCACAAGCCTCGACACGAGGACCGCTGTTAGTGCAGCCTCCTAGCAAAGCTCCGCTCAAGGTCATACAGGTGGGTGGTACGTGGTCAAACCTTGCCTCTGTAGCAATCATTCGTTAGTATCTATATGTATTGTATTGCTTGCGTTATGGAGCTAAGTAAACCTACCACCAGGGGATGGAATGGAACTATTTATGCCTGCAGAAACGCCTTCGTCGTGGCAAAGATCGAAAACATATTTTGGTACACCACAAGGACCCACGTCCTGTCGCTTTCTGGTGCTCGCCATTATGGGTGGAATAGATTCCGTGTTGAGAATATCACGCTTGTTAACGCACCCGTTAACCCCCGGATTGTCGGCGCAATAGGATCCAATGGAGCCTCCAACAGAACTAGCAAGGATTGTGTAGCTAACGACTTCAGCTATGACGGCAACAGGCATCTTCAGAGAGTTGTGAGAATGAAGCTGTATTGCGCCTATCGAATGTATGATAATAGTTGGGACGGATTATGTGTTGTTAACAATTCGAGGAATATAATCTAAGTTTTCGAATCCACGCACCTAGGTATTTATATAATTAATACTCAAAATCTCAAAGCTAAGGAATGATCTCAGAACCTTGGAAACACCCCTGAGGTCGTTTATCTGCTGATACTACTCTAATCATGTTATGCCGAGAAATTTAATATAGGTAGTATGTTCATCATTGTTGGAGGTGAAGTTGCACATGAGTCCATTCATATTGAAGTTAGGTTTGTTGGGAATTTAACCCATTTACTCATATAGGTGTCTGTTGGTGGCTCTGCTAAAGATAGCCTGAACGAAAGGATACCTCTATCCCGTTATAGGTCGCTCTGGTGTTTCTCACCTTGCAACATTACTCCTAGCCTAAGCACATAAGAGAAACTGGGATCACGTCGAGAAAAGTTTACTTTATCAACCTCCTTAGAGAAGTAGGGAAGCGTCGTGGAAATGTCGTCAATTAACACCAACCCTAAGAACAACAGATTTGGATAATAAAACCTGACGTATCTGCTTCCGTGTTAATTGTATTGTTGCTTCAAGTATCAATATAGTCGCGTGACTGTTCTTAACACATGCTAATACTGTTGATTTGTCAAGTAAAACCTTATCTTATTAGAATTATTACCTACGGGGTAGAACTAAAGGCAAGGAAAAAACGACGTTATTGCACAGGCAGCTCTGAGCTCTCTTCTAGGGACTGGTATAATTACCTATAGGTACCGGCCTTCGCCCACTCTGCTCTAACGTCAGCCACCAACAGGTCTTCATAGGACGTCTCACGGCTTCCAGGGGGAGAACTAACTCCCATCTCCTCATCATACCCTTAACCATCAGAACCTTGACAAGAGCTTTATGTACGTAAAACCCTATTCGTACTTATCCTCTTAGATTATGTTATCCCTTTTAAACACCGGTTAGATTCCTTTACGTGCGATAGTTTCGATTATGATACATACTTAAGCTAGATACATCAGTAGATTTGAACAGGTAGGGATTATGTTAAGACAAGGTTTCCTTAATTACTATTTTGCGGAAAACTAAGATTATATAAGGCTTAAGCCCCTAATCATTAAGGGATTTGTTGAGATAGACACAGTTTATGTATGTCATGCGTGTTGTATTAGATGGTTAAGCTACTAGGAGTAGGTGGAGATCAATAGTACATATATACCCCTGAGAAATAAGGCGTAGGCTTCCAGCCACCTAACATTCCAACAAAGTGTTTCGTTAAATCATTCAACGACAGTTTATATATGACAGTATTAGCCCATGTCTAAAATAAGCCTACGTGCATTTCATAGCTCCTTTACTGGAATATATAAGAATAAGCAGTCAAATTTCATGGCGAATTGTTCATGCTCTATCAAATCTTTGTACCTTCCGACATTATGGGTGGAATAATTCTTTCCTGTACCATCTATTGGTTCACATTTGGAACTTTCTTCTTTTACCTTGCTGTGCAACATTCGATAGGCTTTAACCGGTGGGCTTTGTGTCTTTTCCACGTCTTGAGCATGGTGAATTCCCTACTCGGAGCAGACCTTCTGCCGACCCCTTACAGTCGTATGTGGGCCCAATTTGTTGTTTGGGCCGCCATACATACCTTTTTAGTCCTCTTCGTCGAAAATAAAGTCATTCACCAAGCATCAAGTTCAACGCTGTTTACTCAAAGGCTGAAGGCCATTTTCCGGGTTTGGAGTAACATTCGAAGACTACCCCTTCAAGGAGAAGATACCAGTACCGCCGTACGCGGTAGCACAGATAATGGCATTGGGAGACATCAATTCGCCTTAAAAAGGTGCACTCGCGTACTAGCTTTATGGCTACTGAAACACAATGCTACTGGATATATAACACGCCATTTTCTGCTTAGTCTAGAAGTCAATCTCCAAGACTTCGCACCGCCCAAACAAGCCATATGGCCCTCTATGATAGAAAAGGACTTGTGTTTGAGGGCTTTCTTCTCCATATACTGGATTTGGGATACATACACGATCCTTACAATCTCGCACGACCTTTTTGCATTATTTTTCGTATGCCTTATGCATTGGGACATGCCTCAGGAGTGGCCGCCATTGTTTGGTAATATAACTGAGGCATACTCTTTACGGCGTTTCTGGGGAGTCTTCTGGCATCGGCTTCATGTTGCACCCTTTACAATTCTCATGCCTTCATACTTGCATAAACTTCGAACACCACAAGTGCTTTTAGCTAATTCATATGCTGAAAGAAGAATGGCCAGCAACATGATCAAGGCACTAAGAGCCTTCTGGATCTTCTTACTATCTGGTACATGTCACATTCTTGTGAATTTCGTTACAGTGGGAAAGGGCAATGCTAGAGAAGAATTCAGATTCTTTCTTTTAAATTACGTTTTATGTTTCTTGGAGACTATTCTTGAACCTATGATAAGGAGAAAATGTCAGCAAGTTGCAAGACATAGCACACAGACACGGCTATTTGGATATGGTTGGGTGTTCACTGTTTTCTTTTGCCTGGTTCCAGCCTGGCTTTATCCGTCAATTCATAGACGCATAATATCAATGTCTCAGGTCTAAAGGGTGCAAAGCTATTCTTGTCAATAATACTTAGGTAAGCAGGTACTCGTCTACGTACCTAGGTATATAACATTTCCTGCCTTCAATAGGCGTGACCAGTTGACATGGAAAGCATTTTTCTAATTACCCCATTTATACACGACGACTTATGTTTTTATCTAGAACACAATACAATCTCCTAATTCCAGCTTTTCGAATTCATTATATATTATAACTTTAAAGTATTTCCCTTCATTCGATTCCTTAATTCCGTCACCAGACGTGAGTGCAATAGCCGTATGGTTCAGGGGTTGAGTAATCTGTAGGCCAATGGTCCGGAATGGAGGCCACTGACTACCATAAATCCAATCTATAAATAGCATCACTGAGTTAAAAGAAACAAAAGCGATCAAACTAACTGACTAAGGCTAGCTTAGTTCAATCAAAAGTAATTGATTTCAACGCATGAGCTAGGCTACCACGACTTCATAATTGTATTCCGCAAGGGAACTACAAAGGACTCTTTCGTTAGCCCATTTTGAATGGAAATCCTTTCAAGTTTCGAGCGATGGTTTCCCGTGGGATTGATGTCACGTCATATGACGCTCAATCAGCTGTCATACCTACTTACCTCGTGATACGTAACTACTAACACATAGACTTGAACTAGGTACTTAGATGCTAATGGGAAATGATTGATTGGTAACGAATATGTCAGGATTATATGCACCTACTACCAACATGCATCATCCAGCCGCAACATATTGAAGTTTTAATTAATATAAGCGAGAAAGCTCTACGTATGCTAACTAAAAGATCGCGTAACTCACATTATACAAGAGACTGAAACGAATCCGGTGAGTAACCTATGAGACATATGTGGTAATACCTATGTAGAGATTGGAAGCTCTCTGATGTGGTATTCTATGGGAACATCCGTTGGTAATACAGCTGTATCACGATTAAATCATTAATTCCCCTCATTCATTTCTTTGCATGGGTGTCATTTCCATTAGGTTCATCCTTTTCTTTGGTCTAAACATCCTTTTTGATAATATTTCTTATCACATTCATCACTCATCAAAGAATCCAAATCACACTAGAAACTAGTTGATAACATATCTCAAAATGAGCGACGAGAACAGAACCAGCCCTCGGAGCTTCGCCAACAAGGAGCATCATTATTCAGACAACCTCGATGCAGCATCCGTGGCTGATTCTTTTAAGACGGAACAAGAACTCTATGATCACCATGCAAAAATAACACGAGACGTATCTACAACCGCAACTCCTTATCGCCCGTTCCCTCCCGTCATGAAAGCATTTTATCGTATGTAAACATTGCTGTGTCTCAAGAAGGCATTTGTGTCCCTAGACGGGAAGAGGCTTACGGGAACAGAATGGAACCTTTCTCTTGTCAAAGTGTTCTACCTCTGTGGACCGGGCGGTGAGGATGATCGCCTATTCGCTGTTGAACAACACACTGGCTACAGTCTTAGCGGTCCTTTAGGGATTCGTCCGGGCATGATTCTGGTATGTACCTAAGCTTTTCCACTTCTCCAAGAATTATGCTTACCGTGAGCAGTAAGTGATACAATTCTACCATGTCTTTTTCTCAGGTATCGTGCCTCGCTAAGGAGGTATACTTGGACCAAGGACATGTCCAGTGCTTGAGGAGGTTGACCTCGAATACCAACAAGGCATGTTATAATACACTAGATATGATGGAATATCGACTAAGGATCGCATCCTTGCCGCGTCTGGAGATGGTATGTGTAAAATCACATTTCTTGGTAGACCTCACTAATACTTGATAGTAAGTTATACACGTCTACCATATCATTCCTAAAGGAGCGCATCTTATAAATATAATGAGATGAAGACACCCAAGCCATTTCACAGAAATCAACTTTCATTTCTGACATGGCATGCTTTGAAACACTAGGAGTCACAAATGGGTTGCCGTGCATACACATTCAACCCAAATAGTATCGTCTTGCTTCCACCCCGAGTACCCGGTTCAAAATTCATGGTTAGGGAGATGATGCATGCACGAGGCACCGGGAATGGGGTGGCATTCCAATTTTCCCTCGATGTAGGATTAAGTGAGGAGAAGAAGCGCCGTGAAACTTTCGAGTGGAGGAAGATAATGAAGGCCGAGAAAGATGAAGAAGCTAAGCAAGGGGGGTTCAAACTCTTGCGTGTCTCATCCAGCTCTAGCAAGGGGAATAGCAGCAGGGCCGTGTTGTCCTCAGCATCGTTGGCAACCACAACAACAGCGACAACAGAGAGCGGCAGCGAGATTTTCGCTTTGTTCGCGTGGACAAAAACGATTTCTAATTTGAAACACCCGTTTACGCTTGAGCTTAAGGTTGACGGGATGGCTGTCGGGCTAGGCGAGACTTGGACACTCGCGGTCGTGGTAACAGCTACGAGGCTCTGGATGCTTCATATGTAAGAACGACCTATTCCCTGAGTGTTACAAATGTAAATTAATCTCGTGAGCGCCAGGTATGGGAAAACGAACAGGCCCGTTGTTGCCGTATCGGACAAGTTGAGAGGAAAATGAGTACCTAATTAACCACGCAAAGGGAATTAGGAAGATGCCTAACAGGAGATTGGCAGTGCGTCAGGAGGTTGGTAGCCAGTTGGCGCGTTATTAATTGATGATTGAATACTCCACCAGGTCGTTACAGGAGTCCAAAATGTATCTTTTACCTAACTATCAACACTTCTCGATACCGCGGGGATAATGATACATTGTTGGAGACGTGAATTAATTTGTTCTTTAGATTCCTAGTGAATGACAACCTCTAATGGATCTCAATATGTCACAGGTCGATAAGTTGGTGCACTATGCGCAAGGCAATTCGGGCGATATATTGGCAAATTCAAGACGGCGGCCGTCGATATCTATACTCTCTAGAGGTGGCGACTCTGGCGATGTGCGCGATAGTCAAAGCCCTGTGGCCGATTCATCCCGATGTACTAACGAGCCACAACAAGATACGACACCTCCATACATGTCCTCTGAGGGAACACAGATGAGTTCCGATATTCCTTGTAGTCGGCCTTTCGTGACATCTGCTCTGCAAGCTGCATGTATAGGACTAGGACCCCGATCATCCACCCAGCCGGAACACAGAAGGGCTGAGGCAACTAAAGGACGAGTTAATAAAGACTACTAGGATGAACATCAACACCGAATAAATCAATCACGACGTATTAGGATACATGAGCGATCTCCTTCCTACTCTACCCCTAACCCCTATTCTCCACCCTTGTGGCAGCAATGTGGCGGCCAGTGCGTGGCTTGGTGGGCCCGATAAGAGAGCCTTCTCTGTTAAGATGATAATCCTAGGACGATTTAACCAATTTAACGGGCTCTCATAATTTATGCTCAATGAGATATTTAGTTACCCTTAGTCCCCAACTTGCGTAATTTACCGCGCCTTTCAGTTGTCCCTCTATCAAAAAAGCTTCTAATTAGAATACGCTGTAATTGCTTTGAGGGGGGCGTTCAAAAGCAGTAAAATATGCATTAGGCGCAATGCATTAGGCGCAACCGCATACAATAATTTACCGATGCTCACCTCCATTACGAAACCCCTTGACAAATCACCCGGAACGTAAATATACGCCTACGTGGAGCCCCACTTGGTGCACGACCGAGTTCCCATTGAGAAGTTCAACATCGATATTTCTAGCTGCTTTCTGAACCACTATGGACACCCTAACAGCCGGGCGACTCGTTCTTAGGCACCGGCACGGCCGAAGGAATTGGTAGCAAACCCCTCCAGCTTGTCCGTGGACCGGAAGCTTATGCAATTCGGTACCCCGCAAATGGATGTTAGAGGTTTACAGATTGGCGGATGCACTAAAACTGACCTTGTCACGCTTCTCGAAGAAGCTGTCGCGGTCGCGAGGAGCTTTGATTAGGTTACTCCTTGCGTAGGGTTAAATTTTGGACGGGAGTCTGAAAGTTGGGACTGAGCGTTCATGGACCTCCCGCCGGTATCCGACACGTTTGTCGAAGCTGTCGGCTATTTTACGTGCCTGGTACAGAGGTAATGAGACAGGTAATGTGATTGAGAATGACTTATTCGGCGTGACTAATCCGGGTGGAAAGTGACCATGGCCCGTCCAACCCACAGTTTAGGCTGAAGAATCCTGCCATCGGCGATACTCCTGAAGACTTGTCGGATGAGGCTACGATAATGAGAATGCTGGATGTGACGAAGGATTGGAGATGGCCCAGCTTTATCACGCATCAGAATGCCACGATGCAGCGACCAGTGAAGGCACTTGAGGGATTTTCGAAGGTAGATGTTTCGAAGGGTGAGACGAAAGCGGTAAGAATCCAATTGGACAAGAAGTATCTATGCATGAAGTTCCTGGAATTAAAGCGTCGACTTTTGGAGACTAGAGCAAGAGACACCACGTTAGTTTAGACACATCGCTGCGAGGAGAATTCAAAATACAAACAGACACGGTTGTGGAACGATCTATAAGATACCACGGGCTCGAAAGTAGGTAAGCTCCCTTATTGAGACGAGTACATAATTATCTAAATAATAAACTAGTTATATACATGAACCATCGAAAAATGACGATAACAACGCCAAACATGAACCATTTTTAATCAAGAGTCGCAATTCCCTGCGCGCTCTTCCCAGCCTGTCCACCAAGGGCAAATCTCTGGATAGCCTTCGCCTTGCCCTGTCCACCCGAGAGGTCCAAAACATTGATCGCCGCAGTGCTCGTCCCGTTCCCGGGAGATAAAACGTATAAGTAATCTCCAGACGCCTTCAGATCAATGAACCCAGTGTCACCGCCGGCAGACAAGTTGATGTCCGATATGATACTCGCATTTTTGGCGCTCATCTCCAGCACTCGCGGAATCAAGACGTCGGTCACGTAGACGCTGCCTGTGGCCTTGGAGAAGGCGGACCAGCAGGTGGCTTGCTGGTCGGCGATCACCTGCTTGGCGGCAACGCTGGCTTGGCCCGTCTTCTCATCAACGGACATGACGACCGCGCCGAAGGAGGCGTCCGTGGAGAAGATGGTGTTCGTGCCCGGGATCATCTGCGAACCGAAGAGCACGGCGGTGCCGTTTGGCGAGGTGCGCTCGTCTTGATGCGCAACGGATGCAATAGAGGAGCTCCCGCACGATGGGCTCTGCTGCACGGCGAGGGAGGAGACGAATCCCGTCTTGTTCGTGGTCGGGTCGCCTTTGACGATGGTGAAGAGCGTGGACTCGTCTTCGGAGAAGAAGACCTGTGAGACGGTGTTCGTGGGGCCGACTGGTGGTGTGGTCTGCCCGAGGTCGATAGACCGGAGTGTGTCCATGGCTCCGAGGCCCTTGTGGGTGAAAGGGGCGCAGGTGATTCCGGCGGTCGAACCTGTGGCACCAACACACACTAGCTGGTTCTTAGCCGACGCCGCGACTGTAGTCGGGAAGTCGCCTGGGATTGGCGCTGGTTTGCCGACTAAGGTCAACTTTGTCGGGTCGTTCTTCGAGATGGACAGCATACTAAGCGAGTTGCTTCCGGGGTTGACGGCGAATACATACTGTGCATGGTTAGCTACCAGTCATTACCGAATCAGGATGCGCTCTACGAGCTAAACTTACACCTCCGGCCACAGTGAGTGCGGATTGACTTGCGAGTGAGTCAGGTCCTGCTGTTTGGTTCGTCATGCCATTTATCGAGCTAGCTCCATTGCCACCGGACGGTGTGACGGTGCCTACGCCGAGAGTGCCATCAGCTTTGATGGGCAAAGCAACGACCGAGTTGACTTGATCGTTGGTGATAAGGTATACGGCCTTTCCAGTAGACTTGCAGTCGTCAGGCTGTCGGATGACATGGCCGGCAATGCCTTGGGCCAACGCCAGAAGGGCGATAGTAGACTTCATGATGAAGTGATGATGAAGACGGCTTATGATACGCTAAATTGACAGTATGTTCGTCTTAGTCGTTCGGGACGTGTTATCGGAAGAGCGGAATTGTGATGCTAACGAGAGGCTTGCTTTTGGAAATTCTGATTGAGACTGAAGCCATCTTCATGAGCTGAGGTAACATCTTTGTTATATACATTCTGGCTGTGGACAATATCGCAGCTTCTACTGTTATGCCGAATCTTACATCACGTTTCGTGCAGTGAAAGCTGGAATCCAGACTTCTCGTTCCGGAAATCATTGTTAGAAGATCCGCATCCGCAAATTGGGCAATTTCTAACGCAGCGATTCTTGGTGACAGATCAGAAATGTTAGCTCAAAGAGCCAGCAAGGAGCTAGGATCACTTTGAGGTCGATGACGATTGGCTGATCTCATCGTGATACACCCAATAGCAGGTGAAACGGGGGTTTAAGGGGCCCTGCGGAGGATCAGCTAGTGAAGCAACAGTACCCGAGGAACAAGATGCCACACGCTTTGGAATCTTACAGTTCCTAATTGGGAAGAAAGATCTGTCAGATAATACAGCACGCCGTCGGTTCGCATAAACCAGGGTAGTTTAACCCCATACATCTGAGCACATTGATTCAGCCATGCGACAATGTATTGATGAACCTAGGAGTTGCGCGGATATGTTGCAGTTTCCATATGACTTAACTTAGGCAATTGCACGTATTAATATTCTGTAAACATTCCTTGCCTTCGAAGCGCATCGTTTAAATACCAGGTCCTTCGAGCGGATTGACGGTGCCTTTGGCTTAAAGGACGCTAGCCCACTTATCAGACCTTAGTGGTCTAAGTGCCCCCGTACCTTGCCTAAACCCTTCTCGAATTATCACACACCTTGCTGTCGCTCTCATACCTGGCTCCATCAGACCCACTCTACTGGATATCTAGGTACCTAGTTTTATTTAGAGCTTATCGGACCTAAGCCTTCCGGGCCATGATTTCGTTGCTTCGGGATTTCCACATCTTTAAACAATGGGCTTACTCTTGCATCACTGATGTCAGCAGCATAATTGTGAGCTGTCAACGGCAAAAAGAACGTGAAAAGTTTAATCGAACATCAACACCGCGGGAAATTGGTAGTGAACCCACTGTGTAGTTATTTTAAGCCAGGATAAGTGGGGTGAGCTCCTTAAGATGGAGACAGCGTGCAGGTATTTAGACTATTCCGGCGTAGGAGTTCGTCTTACGGTCGTTGAGCTGAACGTGGTAGGGCTGACGACCCCAGAAATCAAGCCAGCGCTCTGATCAACCGTCCATGCATTCCTAAAAGGGACAGATCAAATTCAATACTCCTAGAATATCTTACACAATACCAAGGGGTTTCTATTTCCATCCCGACTTCAGCGCATGGAGAATCGCCCGAAAAAGAAAGCAACGGCGAAGTGAAGAAAAACAAAAATAAATAAAAGGCTATTACTAGGTCAGTGTTAAATAAGAGGAAAGCAGGGCCCCAACCCAACCTCTGCTTCGACCCGGTGATTATTCTTTGAAGTTTAGCCTCCTTGATGGCATGTCGTTATATTCTGTCTTCCTACGTACCAGAAACTAGATAGGAAATTCTATCTTAAGTTCCTTGCATTTCTTGTCTTGCCGCCAGCCACTCATGATTTGATAGTTGCGACACTTATATCTTGGTGGTTGTAGGACCAACCTACTGAAGTACCTACCTATTAGACGTTGATGCGGCCTGGCACTATGTCAATTCAGTCAAATAGTACAATATCTTGATTAAGTACTACTTAATAGCATGGAGTTATATGGATCATAGTAGGTACTATGATCCATATAACTCCATGCTAGCCATGGTAATAATATCCCAGCATGGCCAATCCTAACCCTAGCCCTAGGCCTCTCTGCTTTCTCCTATCATCCTCAATGTCATTTGACATTAGCTTTTCCCTCCAGCACTACACAGCTTCTCATATTCCTTTTGATGTTTGTCGTTGCACTTCTTGCAGGTTTCATACCTCACGTTCGTGGTCTTCCTAACGGTACGGCATGCGGAGGTGCCGAGTCGACTGCAATAGTCGACGTTGGCAATTATTCTCCTCACACTTTTCCTGCAGCTCGGACATTTGACGTTGCACCAGTTTTGCGTACACATGGTTTCTCTGTTCTGGGCTATTTGTCGTGTTGTGTTTCTTTTCGCGTTTATGGTTTCGCCTTTGATTTAAATGGTGGAGTGGCTAAGAATTATGGTAGGTAGATACGACAGTTTGGCTTTGTTTTAAATATTTGCTCTCTTTGAATAGGTACATACCTAGTAAGATTGTTAATAATGATAGACTCTCTCACCATCGACTTCAAGATACTGTCAGGCGTTTGTCAGATATTATTATCACGAGGGAACGCGGTTGGATCTTGACATTCGCACGCATCGTCATAGGTGACTATCCAGGTGCAGGCTGATTTCAGAGGCCATAAAACACAGAGTCACGAATAGAATAGCACTCATCGACTCTGAGGGTATCAAAAATTGGGGATTTATGTGATGAACACAGGTGTTCATCATGGTAGGACGCGTCAAGTCATGATTGAGTTCTCTTCTCGTTATGACTATAGTGGTAAGAGTAAGATGCGGTAGGTACCTGACTTTCTTATAGCTTTATCACATACCAAGGAACAGCTATTACTGACCTAAGTAGATATATTTAATGTATTCGCTAGAAATTCCTCAAAAGCCGATGCCACCAGGGTTGAGGTGCCCCTATTTCACCCTGTGCTCTCTCCTTCGCCTCCTCCAAGTCACGCCGCCTCCCCGATTGTAAATCAATCTCATGTGTGTCCCATATAAGGGTCTTAAAAGCTATTTTGTATCCAAAATATATGATAAAAAATAGGGGCAGCAGGATATAAGCATCAACGAAGCCGCCAGCATCCCAGGGAGAAAAGTTGGCCCAGCCTTGGACCAGTGCGAGAAATACGTTCGCTGCTAGACCGAAATACGCATTCCAGGGGTATCCGAAAGAGATATATGGAAGATCCTCTACCTGGTACCCCTGGGCTTCCCAAGCCTGGCGGAAGCGAATATGAGTAAGAGAAATGGAACCCCAGACTAGGAAAGTCGAGACACCGCTCAAGTTAACAATATAGCTATAAGCTTTGGAAGCGCCGGTCGAGACGTTCATCATGGATATGGCGCCAAAAGCATTTGCCAAGGTGATAGCAGGGATCGGTACTCCTCGCTTATCCGTCCACCCAAGGAAGGACGGAGCCATTCTTTGCTGAGCCATATACAATATGGTCCTGGATGAGATATAAATCGAGCTGTTAATGGCGGAGATACAAGTGATCAGGATGAAGGCGTTAATGAGATGCACGCCACCTTCCCATCCCGCATTCTGAATTGCGATTGTCATGGGACTCAGCAAGGCACGACTGCTGCCATTGACAAGCTGGTCATCATTCGCCGGGCAAGTGAGGCCGAAGAAGAATGCGGCGCCCATGTAGACGAATATGATACGCCAGAACACCTGACGAATGGCTAATGGAACAGCAACTCGGGGGTTCTTCGTTTCTGTCGCAGCTACGGCGACAGATTCGCAACCGGCGTAGAAAGTTGAACAGAAGACGAAGACCTTAGCGACGCCTCGGAACCCATCGACGAAGGGACCTGGATCATGCCAATATCGGAATCCTATGGCGTCGACTCCCTTAATCCCGCCCGATACATAACTACACATTATCAGCATAGCAATTGAGCGTAATACATGGAAATTGGAACTCACACTATGGAGAATATGTAAAACGCGACCAATCCTACGAGTTTGAGGAGTGCTAGCCAAAACTCGGCTTCTCCAAACGTGCTAACGCCGCAAAATTGGAAGAGCAAGAATGCTGTCTTAGGAAACGTCAGTAAGACCATCAAAGACAACTACAAAAGAGTGTTACGAACCCAAAGGAGAAGGAAGTATCCCCAAACAGGCACTTTATCGCTCCAAAAGACGAGAATGCTTGTGGTTGCGTTGTATTCGTTTGCGAGTACAGCGAACCAGATGATGAAGTAATTCCATCCCACAGCGACACCAAATGCGGGATCTACCATGCGAGATGCAAGCTGCGTAAAGGCACCCCCTGAAGGGTAAAGAGTTGTTAGCTCCCCCAAGCTCTGCATAATACTATCATTCATAGGTCAATCAGTACATATGCACAGCACTACGGGATGGTGCGATGTTACCTGAAAGCAATGATGCCGATGACGCCAAAACCAATCAACAGCGACGCCGGGCCACCGCTGGATAAAGCACCTCCGCTTCCGACTAAAAGCCCGGGCCCTATGATCCCGGCCAGAGCCATCATGCTTAGATGACGGGTCTTCAATCCGCGTTTAACACCCGATTCGGGGTCAATGGAATGGAAATCGCCCTGATCGGCATCTTCGTCAGGTTGTGCGATTGGCCGGTCGGCGTCAGAGCTCTTGGGACTGTACATGGCGAAGAAGTCTCATTCGGGAAGTAAATCGATGGTTAATCAACAGCGCGTTCTCCCCCGAAAGATGTACCGAACACGATAGTAATGAATGGATCAACTTCCAATTAGATCCAATATCTTAGAGCGACCAACATCGCGTCGTCGATTTTTTATACGAGTCTCGACGAGGTTGTCTTCTTTTCAAACTCTAGCGGCACAAAAATTTCGGTGACGGACCGTTTGAACGACCAGGGAAAGTCTTAAAATTGCGTGATCAAGGACCTGCGCCGCGACATCAGCGCCAAGCTATCCCGGCACCTAACCTTAATCCGGCTTAGGATCGCCGTGAATAGGTTCATTCCTATTCTCTAATAAAGTATGCGAAGCTAAACGACCTAGTATTTTATACGAACTGTTGAAGAACACCAATTCATCATATTACTCCAATACCTACCTACGTATCAATCGCCAAAAAGCTGCCTAGATAGAGTCGAGTATGAGAATAGGTTCTGTCTCGCAGCTGGCATTATCACCTTCTGGTTTACGAGGAGCTAGTAGGGGGATCTGCGCGTGTGTTCACGCCTCCTCTTTTCCGCTGATCGCGTATTAGAAATCATAAGCATAGGTATTGAAGTCTTTGAATTCTCATTATAAGTGTTTAAGGTGATTCCAGGACACGATAATACAGGCCACTGCTAAAATGCTACTTTACGTCCTCGAATTTCCCTCTAACGCCACAGATGCCCTCCAATTATTCTCTATCGCGCCCCAGTACTGATCAGGATGCATCCTCATATGACCAACATGCGGAGAGTTATCGAACATCTCCATGATAGTGGTGTAGCCTTTGCTCTTTGCCACCGCCGCCTGCGCCTCGACATCCTCCCACCAGATGAGGTCGTCCGTCTTGGAATACATGTATAGCCTAGGAGCCCTAGGCGTCGCCGTCCCGTGCTCCAAGAAAGCCCTGCAACTAGCGACTCCGGAAGCCTCCCTCCCGATGGCCCTCTCCAGCAGGTGAACCGCATACAAGACCGCCCACCATATCTTCTGCGTCACTATGAACGGCCACGGAAACCATTTAGCTGTTCCGAGTGCTACTGCCCTAGACCAGCGCCCTACCTCAGAAGCGAAGACAATGCTGCCCGGCGTAGAGTCCGATACGCATAGGTGGTGCGGGAGCGCCTTGTCTTCCCCGTGCCGGTGCTGGAAGGCGTGCAGTGCCGCTGCTGCGTATATGCCTCCCGTGTTTGACATCGCGTGCAGGATAATCCTCTTCTCCGAGAGATCTTCCGACGTTGGGAATACAGCGTCGACGAGTGGTAGCATGGCCCCTATGCGCTGCTCGAGAGACTGATATATGGCTTCCCATGTCGACGAGATCACCATCAGAATCCGAGCCTTGGGAAATAGCTTGTGATAACCATCTGCATATTTAGCGACGTTCTTAGGGGTGCCGTCGCCCCAGCCGAAGACGATGATGGTGGTGGGTTGCTCAATGGCTGGCTTTTCAGGGGTCTCGGACGAATCGGAATCTTCGTTGCGGATGAAGATCCGGTCGGATATTGGCGTAAACCCCGGGACAGGAGAGATTTTCACGACCATCACTATAAAATAAAGAAGAAATGTGTCTAAGTACGATTAGGATTAAAAAAAAAAAGAACAGGTCTATTTGGGATTATTGTGCATATCGTGGTATTTGTGATGGGAAGAAAAAAAAAAGGAAAGAGTTGAGCCAGAGACAGGCAATTAGTGATACCTAACAGGGTTGACGCGCTAGGGTAATAGGTGTCGGTGGCGGTGTCGTCCAATTAACGCGACAGGACTGGCAGAGCTGGATGGACAGCACGGAGCACCAAATCGATTCGGAGATAGAGCCGAGGCAAGTGGAGCCAGCAACGGGTTGCTATCATCTAGCCCAACATATTTAGACGATAATTGCGCTTTATGTTGGGGATAGGAGTTTAGTATTCGATAATTGTTCATGTTCTTTACCTAAACACCAACCACCCTGGTATTGGTAAATATTTGAGTACCTTGGTAGTCAGAATCATGCGGTGGTACGCCGCATGTGCAGTGAAGTACCAACTTTCAAATGGAGCGCGTAGTACTAGGGAGGTCTGTTTAGTCATTGGATAATTCGGAGTTAATGATGGAAATCAAGTTGCGAATGGATCTAAGAGTGAACATACCTCTCATACATACTGCCATGCAGCATGACCACAATTGCGCAAAGCTCAAAATTCACAACTCGTCGTTTTTGACCGTCATTATGAAACATCTTTATTTTGCAACACAGTGATCATTATCGGGAAATAACAATTATCTCATCAGTCATCTTGCCGTACGTATGTACTTAGAGGGTCGGTCCCCTTCTCATATTCGTAAACTCCCAAGACATGATTACCTTACATCTATATCTCTAATGTAAACTGCTGTGTCTATCAGGGTATAGATGAATGTCTGACTAGACACGGGGGTGGAGGAGGTGGTGTATTGGAGGTCCATGGACCTATCCTGCTTCCCTGCCGTTCGAGATCGTCGTAACGTTGAACCTCCGTTACCACAGGATTTTGGATACCGACAGCTGGATGAACCTTAGAAATATTCTTATCTTGATTCTCCAACTCATGCGTCTCCTGACTGCTTCTTATGTTGTTGCTGGATGTAGCGAGTCTGGTTTCACTCGAGCAAATTAGAGTGCCCGTGCCGTTGAATTTCGCAGCCTGGGCAGCACCCGCCCTCGTGGCAAACGTCTTCGATACGTAGGACACGCGGTTGTCTTCACGGACGATTTTCGCGATAAGATCCGTTATGTTCATCTCGATGTAAAGTTTAAGCAGGTACACAAACGGATGAAACTGGAAGTATATCTGCCCAAGGGACATGACGCCGATTAAGATAATCTGGAACTGTTAGTGAAAACCAGCGGATATGGGAATTAGCGGTATATTTATAATTGGTGAAACTTACATCTAATGATAGAGAAAAGGTAAGCATGAGGATGTTGAAGATGAAAAGTGGCATATACTTGGTGAGTCCGTTGCTAATGAGTCCCGATCGCACGAGGTAGATGAAATAGATATTGAGGCTAACATCGATCATACAGAAAATGCCCTTCTCGATTCGGTCCCAGATGTCGTTTATTCTAATATATGTTTCGTTGATCTCTAGCCGCGCCGGGATCCAAATGAGATATACGGAGAGATTTATCAGGCCGAATATAATCCCGGTGGCCCATCTCGTCCTTCTGATTTGAGTTTGATCGGTAACAAGGAGGGCGGTTCGGTTGATAATGATCTGTATCATGCATTGCGTTTGAAATACCCATAAAGTGACAAGGAGGAAAAAGAATTGAAACCTATGAAATTTCCCACGTTAGCCACATCAACCTTGATATCTTCACACTCCCCGGGCTCGGTCTTACGATGGTGGTATCGTCCCCCAAAGGTATAGCCAGCAGATAACACCCATGGTAAGGGAGACTGACCATTCCATCCATATCATCACAACGTAAGCATTCGGCCTCCCGTTCCTCTTTGAACATATTGACCTTGTCTGGAGGACTCCTTTTGCGAAAGAGAAGATGGCGGTGCAAATAGAGATGCCAGCAACAATAGAGCTGAGATTCATCTCAACCTTATTAGGCCTCACCGCTACAAACCAGGGTGGCTGAAAGACCCCACCCATAGTGATAGATGCCTTCGGGGAGTCGAGGTTTGGTATGAAGAAGGCTTGATTGGAGATGCTGAATTTGAAACAGGAGAGACCAAAATTAATCGGAGGGATTATATGTTAGGGAAACGCTGTAGGTATGGAGGGTATCTACATTTTCTCGCCAGGGAGTGTCTGAAGGTCACTCGACTCCTTTCGCTTTGCCGTAGGCTGAACCAGTATTTAGGTTCTAGCTTTGCGTAAGGATGGTTAATTTGAATTTAGGAACGAGGCGAACGACTAAGTAGGCCCATACAGGTTTAGGACGCAACCACTGAAAGTGCAAGCAATATCCTAGCCTACATCAAGTGTCATGATGAAAACATACACTACAATCGATTGGTTTGAACTTTAATATAAAGCATACACTTCTACTCAACCTCCGCTTATCCTATTTCCCTAAGTCCGGCCGCACAGGCCAAAGGCACTGCTGCTTTAAGACAAAGAACGTACTAATTATACTACCTACGCAGGAGTATATCCTCCGCAGATCCGCATATCTCCATGTCCCCGCCGCGGGAACGGGCGGATAGGATCTCTATTAAGATATACCAGGTCCGTCATATTAGATCCAAATTTTGTAATACGCGTACCGGGTTCTCTACGCTGCAAGTAACAGGCGTAGATATTAAGTGTATAGTTGGTAATGTCGAAAGGTTAAATTTAACATCGCTTTCACTAGATTTAGGAATCACTTGAACTCTTACCTACTATATATGCCTTATATTGTAATATCAAGAAAAGTGTTTCTTTCATTTTTTTCATTCTTGTGAACTTCCCGTTTTGCCGTTATGAAAATCAGTAGTATATCTTCTATAGGATACCCGGGCTTTTTTACCTACAAAACAGATGGGGGATGAAACATAGCAGAATCTACGTTAAGACGATCCAGATGAGGAATAGGGTGGCAAATAGAACATGAATCAAAATATGAATAAACTACATGCTTAGGTATGCATTATAAGTATTCACTACTTATCGGTACCACCTGTATGTTCCAAGGGGAAACTGTATCGCTTACCACTTTAAAGTACGTTTGAATACCTAGTAGGTAAGGTACTGGTGTTTTCCACAAGGAATTCAGTTGCGACTAAAATGATTCATTCAGGAAATTCATTTGTTCTCGTAACCTCGTTACTCCTTGCATAAGTACCTAGTTACTTATCTCAATAAGTCGCCTTGGCCCCTCCATCTACAAGATGAAACCAAGATAATATCTTTCTTTTGGTTTAGTCAAAATCGGATTACCCCTTTCGGAACCATCAGCCAGCGCTAACCCCTAGCGTTCCATCAGAATACCTCCTTGTTGGCTCGAAAATACCAATGGATTCATGCTACTTGGTGGCCATTGAAATAAATATTGAAATATATGGTGTTACTCTACCTTAGCATGAAGGACATTCGGTGCGTTCGTTGCCACCACGTGTACGGTTCTAAAATGGTATTGTAAAGACATTTTCTGTGAACGACGAGTTGCTTAACGAGTGTATCTGGAGTCAAGATGATGTAATGGCTATAAGTAAGAGTTCCAGCCCCCCCGTATGATATAATAGTGTCAGTGTCTTTTGCTAGATATCCCTTTCCTCCGTCTTCCCCAAGTCCAATGTGCTGTCGGGTTTTCCGCTAGGGTTCTCATAGCCTTTGCGTCGCTGGCGTTCTGGCCCGACTCTCTTTCGACTGCTTCCACCGCAGCGAGCGCATACTTCCGCGCCTTTTCCTCCTCCCCGAAAAGAGCAAAGTTTAATGCCGCTCGTGTGTAAACTTGACCAAGGTATATGTCTAGCCTCTCCTTCTCATAGAGTTCTACCAATTGCGCCCCTGTCTCTGCAGTCACGACTGTCTCGTTGAAGTTCTCAAGAGCGGTCTCCAGCTCCTCGATTTTCAAGAGTCTCGCGTCTGAGGCCGCGGCCTCGTCGTCGCTCATACTGCAGTGTGAGCAAGAACAGTCGAATCCCCACCCCCTTAAGCGAGAGCGACGTTCTTCTCGAGGAAGCATTAAGTCGATGTAACTGACGCTCAGCTCTTCGCCCGGCAGGATATCACGGGCGGCAACCGTGGTATGAGTCATGTTAGTTATGCGGTAGTGGATACTATACGATTAAGTTCTCAATTAGCCTCCTTATTTCGCGAATATTTAAGGTCAAAATCTATACTTACTTTGGTCTACAGTCATGATTAAACCGGGATACCTCTGGGTAGCATCCCAGGTGACTACCGGACTCCCTTGAACCGTCAACATATAACTGAAAGCAGTTCGTCTCAATTTTATCATAGATATCTCGGCCCATCTGACCCATGAAAAGTTCTTGTCCTTTTCTAGGGAGCTTCTCCACCGCTAGGCTGTAGAGTGCATCCAGAGTTGCCCGTTCCATTTCCACGTGCGGAGAAGTCTGAACCATTAGTGTCGGAGGCCGCACTAGAATGACCTCTCCTTTACGTATTTTCCTATCGGCAAAGATACCAATTCCTTTTCCCTTGACTTTTTCTATGTGGAAAGGCAGAGCGGCCGCCGTAGTGCCAGCTACTATTGGGAAGTTGGCTGCAATGCGCGCGTTTCTTTCCGTCGTGATAAGTATACTACCATCCCCTAGCGCCTTGTTTGAGAAGATACACGTCTCATTCACACAATCCTCTGGTCCCTCCCATGCGGCTTTTGGCGGGGCAGAATGGTGAGTCCCTCGAAGGACCTCCGGAGACCCGTCCGGCCTAGAATCTCGCACTAGATCCGAACTAGCACATATCTCGTCATCGAACTTTTGTAATGGATTCAAAAGTAAACAAACTCCCTTTGATGTTGTTGACCCAGCAGCTGTCCCGATGAGGGCTATGAAGCCGCAAAAACCTCCGAAGTGCATAGTAAGGTCAATCTTATAGGGAAAAACAGATACAAGCGATAATATACGAGAAGGTCTGACAGATGTCGTATTCCATTTCCATAAAGGCGCACAGTTCAAATTTCTGCGACGGACGACGTGTTAATATCGAGCCGGCAGAAAGAGTCTTGATCATCCAAAATATTACCTCCCTGTTGGATCTATTCGGTTTACCCGGACCAGACGAACGATTTTTGGATATTGTGCGTCATTGACGTTCATAATAAGAAGAAAGGATAAGCGAGCTGGTTAAATTGGTACGTAAGTTGAACTATCTTTTTACCGTGTTGAATAATCTCTAGTTACCTATGTAAATCGTGCTTTTTGTCAACTAGACACATAAACCTTCATAAATATTACACTCTGAGGAGGCTTGACAGGAAACCTTCAATGCAGGAATTATTGCCGCTTGTGGTTGTCCATAGCTCGGAGGTTAACGACACTCTTTTTCTATGACTTCTATGTGGCTTGATGAGTCGCAACTCTAAAATGGACCGAGTCAAACAACATCTACTTCCGCTGAGAAGTCATTTGGCCACACTTTCTCCGTCGTCCTTACACGACCGACTCTCCCATATGGCGACCGAGATGACTTGTCCCTAACAGGGAGTAGCACAACGCCATAAACTTGGGGCCACGGAAATCCTACTCTTGCGCATGCCAGGCAATAAACATAATCACAAATCTCGTTTGATACATCAAAGGCTATCCAACCAACTTTCCTCTCATTGCCGTTGATGTTTCCGAAGAGTGCACGTCCGGCTAGGTCCCCTGTAGACCCGTAACCATGTGGATGCGCCCGGTACGGAGTTTGCGCAGCTTGCCATTTATTCGTAGGAAACCGGATTTCACCTGGCCGAAATTATCTTTCCCGATAAGTGTCGTAATGATTTGTATCGTAGCGAGACTTTCTATCTTGTCATGAGGCGGATACCAACTCCAACTAACAGCGCCTATGACGGAAGCCCAGGACCATGGGGGGGCTGTGTATTGGGCAGGTCTACAGGACATGTTGGTTACTTCCTTCTCTGTATGGGACGTGTCGGCCACCCATAAGAGGCTAATGATCCCATGCGACTCGAAAACATCCAACACCATAAGACCCTGAACCGAACCTCGCGAATAACCGGGCTCCACCTGAAATGACAGGAAGAACAACAGCATGCTTCGTAAGACAGCGACGACTGTACAATTTTGCAGGGCGAACCCAATCTGCTACCACCAAAAGTCTTTGTTCCTCGGTTAAGTCTATGGCTCTTTGGGAGATATCCGGTAATCTGCGCCCGTAACTATCAGTATCAAAAACGCGCCTGTGCCCAGAGACACCGAAAGAGTCCGTCCATGAGAAATTAAGAGATGCCCTGGATGTCCAACACTCCCATATTACTGTGTCTTTTGGGAAGTGCGCAATCCTAGGTGAAAGATCACGTTCTTGTAATGTCCAGCCACGAGTTTGCAGCACGTCGTTTTCCGGTGTCCCAGCTCCTAACCATGGCCAACCAGATACTCGATAAGTCTTTTGTTCCCGACTACCAGTAACTGGGATGTCGATGTTAGGCCAGAAGGGTTCTTCTCTATCGCTGTGTATACGGCATCCCTGCGTTCCATTTGAAGATGCAGAAGCGGCGAGTGTAACGTCTGAATTTGAATACACATCGGACATTTGAGCAGCTTCAGTTTCCCAATCCTCTCGAGTCTTGCAAAATGCAAAGTGAGTCAATCCATACAAATGGAACTTGAAGTTTTCTGGCTATCGTAATAGTATCCACAAATGTTTTCGTCAGGTCTGCCATGTTTATTCCCTTTTCGTGATCGCTCAATGTCTCCTTGGAAGTCTAGGCGCAGTGAGGCATGTTCAGACCCCAACAATGACTCAAGGCATTATACCGGCGATCTTGCGAATTCAGTACTGACGTGGAAACCAAGCGCACTTTACCATCTCCTTCGAGACCAACTTTCACAAGCCTTTTCAGCAAGAATTCTCCATCAGGGCGTGGACAACCTGGATGGTCTCGATAACACGTCCATGGCCACTCCCTTAACATAGCAAGAGCGGTATTGTGAATATCTACATTGCCATCGTCCCAGACATCCTTCCAACCGCGGGGAATGCCAATCGCCTTGAGAATGCCAGACTCCCTAGGGGAGTGGTCAATCCAAATCCACCTCTCGCCAGATGGGCCAACCACACCCCCTATTGAAATCTCTCCTTGTGGATATATCGGCTTTTTATCATCGTCTACAAGCCCGGATTCTCCGCATTGTATAGACAGTGAGTCTAAGATAAGCCGACAGAGGGCGCAACCCTGGGAAGCGGATTCCGACAGCTCTGTGCAACTAGGTTGGTGTGGATATCGACCTGTGTTATATGCAATATTCTCTGCTGCCTCACTGAAGGCAGTTGCTCGAAGTGAGACGCAGCATGAGCAAAGCTCCATCTCCTATTCTCATTGTGCACATAAGTCTAAAGTAAGAAGAAATATGACTACTGTTACTGCTTAAGCTTACCTAGTCTCCGTTTGCGTAAACTCATGGCTAGGTACATTAAATTACCTGGTTTAAAATAGGTCTAGCCACCGGTATCCGGATGAATCTGACTGCATAAAGTGCGGAGTAGAACGGAGTAAATACGAGATATCTCCGAATCATTTAATAGGTCAGGATCATAGATGAAATATTTAGGGGGTTATCTCGTGTAACCAAAAATGATATCTATATGTAGATGACTTCCGATGTGATTCAAGGTTTCCTGTCTTCTAATCATTCTTGATACCACCAATATGCGTCCTCTTGCAGCTAATATGGCTGCCCCTGCTTCAACCAATCCCGTAGACTTTGCGGCTCGCGATTTCGATTACCTCGTCATAGGTGGTGGGACGGCTGGTATTGCGGTAGCAACACGTTTATCCGAAGATCCCAACATAGTTGTTGGCATCCTTGAAGCTGGACCAGCAGCTCTGGGAGAGGATGATATTAATGCACCCAAACCGGTTCTCCAGACGCTAGGGACGAAGTATGACTGGCAATTTGAAACAGTTCCTCAGCCGGGATTAAGCGGAAGAACTCTCGCATGGCCAAGAGGGAAGGTCTTGGGAGGAACGAGTGCGTTGAACTTAATGACTTGGAATCGCGGTAATAGAGAAGATTATGATGCTTGGGAGAATCTAGGGAATAAGGGGTGGGGCTGGAATGATCTCCTGTGAGTTTGTCTTTGAATCTCAGAAAACATAAACTGAGCGATAATAATAGACCATTCTTCAAGAAATCTGAGAAATTCCATGTGCCTGACGAAGAAGCTCAAACAGCCCATCGATTGTACTTTGATCCGCAAGCTGTCGGTACTGACGGGCCAATTCACGCATCATACGCTAAACAGTATTCAAAGACGCACCAACTCTGTTATGAAACTATGATAAACTTAGGGGTCCCAGAAAATAGAGCACACCATGCCGGGTCTAACGTTGGCATTTGGACGAATCTAAACTCCGTGAACCCCGACGATAATACTAGGTCATACGCTTCATCGGCATATTATGTACCTAACTCGTCGAGAAAAAATCTATTCATCTTGACTGAGGCTCTTGTTCAAGAGGTCATCCTTATTCAATGCAATGGGGAATGGACCGCAACAGGTGCTCGATTCACGCATGGCAGCAACTCTTACACCGCATCGGCATTGAGAGAGGTCGTTATTAGTGCAGGAAGTGTCCAGTCGCCACAGTTGCTGGAGCTTTCTGGCGTAGGAAACCCTCAAGTTCTCAAGGATGCGGGTATAGAGGTCAAAATCTCCAATCTGAATGTTGGCGAGAACCTACAGGACCATCTGCGTGCGTGTCTACCTACCTAGTCCTGTCGATCGTACACTAACTTCTAGGTAGTGTCCTTATCTATCTTTGAAGTCGACCCATCCTTACAGAAGGCCGACTTGGAACCTCCGGGTACCCCTTATTGTTACCTTCCGATTTCAGCCGTAACATCAAAGCAGAAGTTTGAGCAACTTGCTTCGAAGGTCAGGGCGCTAGATCAGCATCCTCCAGAGAAATCGAGAATTTTGCAAGGCAGGTTTGATCCTTTTGCCAATCTCGGTCAATTCGAGTATATATTTGACCTTGCAAACTGGAGTTCAGATTTCCGGTCAGCAGCAGAGAATGGGAAGAAATATTTAAGTATTCTGCAAATACTCCAATACCCTTTCTCACGGGGAAGTATCCATATTCGGAAGCGGCCTGAAAACGCAAGTAGCGACATCAACAGATCAACTATTGCAGACAAACCAGTCATTGATCCTGGGTATTACTCTGGTCCTCACGGAGAGATAGATCGGGATATCATGGCAGAGTGCATACAATTTTCCAATAGAATTTCTCGGTCGACACCCCTGTCCGAGGTTGTCCGCTCGAGGGTATTTCCACCATCTTCGATAGAGAGTGATGATGAACTAAGGGACTGGGCTTCCAAGAATACGACAACCGATTGGCACCCAATAGGAACCTGCGGCATGGGGGGTAGGGGTGGCATTGACTCAGGGGTAGTTGACGACCGACTTCGGGTTTATGGCGTGAAAAGACTGAGAGTTATTGACGCAAGTATAATGCCACTTCAGATCAGTGCGCATCTTCAAGCCACAGTATATGCCATTGCGGAGAAAGGGGCTTATTTGATACGTGAGGATAACCTAGACAGGAGGTCTTGAGCAGCAAGAGGAGCTCACCACTCTCCCGTTTTGCTACTTGGCATTGTATTCAAGGCAGCCACCTATCTATAACTATCATGAACCCCTCCAAGGTCAATGTCAACATTGAGGTTAGTGTGACTGTTAGAACCATAAACAGGTGTGACAAATCTATATCCAATATATTTCTGCTAATAAAATAATTTCCTGTCCTACAGCCAGCGGCAATCACTGACCAATTCTATAATCCGCGCCCCAACCCCAGTCCAACTGACTCACAAGGAATTCTAAGAATTATTTGATCAATGAGGTAATCAGCCAAAAGCTGGATTGAGCCCCTGAGCTCTTGAGCCTTCAACTCACGTGGTTTACTGATACTTGAAGTAAGCATTCCTATGGGTAGAACATATATGCCCCCCAACTTACGTTTCCCTCTGTTCGAAATTTGCAATGTCTTCCTTGTCGATGAGTTCCTACTTAGAAAACTCCTTGGCTATTGCATTATAAAAGCTATCTACGAGTTAGTATTTCATTTTACTACGTTAGAAATAATTAAGTTAAGGGACGGTATCCATGGCGACATTAATGTGAATAGGTAATAAATAGAGGAAAGAATTTTACAGCAACACCACTAAAGTCGAAAAGGTACTTTAGATTTTTATAGGTATTATACTATAAGATGAGGTATCTATAAGACTACCTACCTACTTAACCTGAGTTGGGATAATCAGTATTGGACTACCATGCCATCAGCCAGAAATACCTGGCCTTTAGGTAATCTGTCAAAGAGGGACTGATGGTAATCAAATTTGATCAAGGCCTCTTCGTCTTTTGAAGTCTTCAAGAACCCTGCTCGCTTACCAAGCTTTCTCCACCAGCTTGGATTCTCTTCTTTCCTTTCCCTGACATTGCCGATCCCAAGTCTTCTACATTGCCCCTGCGGCGCCAAACTGCACAAACTGCAGATGCTTTCGTCCCAGCAACATGGTGAGGGATTCCACGCCACTGTACTGTCTCCATACACAACTAGTGTCTTGGACCCTTGCACCCGCACAGCAGTGTTGGTAACAGAGAAGATCCGTTCGTCATCGTCGAACATTACTCTCCCCTTAGGTATGACAACGGTGCAATCGTTGTATAAAGGAAATTGCGTCTTAGCTCCGCTAGGGGTTTGCGTATAGCCCGAGGATGGATTCCATCCCATCTAGTCACTCGTTAATATAATCACTACCTACGTAAGGCGGGGAGACCACGGCATACATGAGTAGCAATGAATTCGAAGCCGCTATTTCCTGTAGACTCGCACTCTGCTAGCCCTTCCTGGAGAGCCTGTAGATCCGGAATTTCTGCACTCTCGGTGATAGTCATTATTCGAGGTGACGCTAGAGTAAAGATGAATTGCCTAGGCCTGGTATTGATATGTCTATAGATAATATATTAGAAGGGTGCACACTTTCGCCATGGAGATCCCCAGGCTATGAAAACGACCCCGCTTTTGGGGATGATGTGGCAGCGAAAGTAAAAGACGTTGGTTGGCTCGGGAGGGTGTTTGCATACTTGTTGGCTAGTTATTGCAGATACATCGGCATGCGAGCGGGCAATCCGCTTCGCATAAGTAACGACGTACTTCTCAGGTACGGAACGTCACACATGCTCCTCAGCGCTATGTGTAATCATAATATAAAGACCACCAAACAGACACATATTTCTAATTGATAGCACATAGTAAGCATCAATTGATGCGAGCAGTTGAACTATCCGTGCTTTCACTACCACGCGAAGGAAAAGGGGCCGAATGCTTAGTCATCAACAGAATTCACCCTTTCATAATTGCTATATCATATAATACGTATTACCATTTTCAACGTGCCGAGCCGCAACGCCACGAAGATGCTTTCCTCATATCCCACCCTTGCCTAATCATGAGGCACTAATGACTGTCCTACAGCCCCCCTAGCACCTCCGCAACCAGGCTCTCCAGCATCCTCAACCCGTACCATTTAGCGATACCTTGATGAACGCCTAGTTTCCTGACCACTTCGTTCCTCTTGATGCTCTCGATCCAAGGGCCGCTGCACGTGCAATGCTCCATAAGGTCATTGAGCCTGACGCTACCGCACCGTTCGCACTTCAGATCCTGGGTGGTCCACTCCACGACCATTGCCTGTACGTCTGCTAGCAACTTCTCCTCGATGCGAAGTCTCTCGAGCTCCGCGTTGCAGAATTGGCATCGCCACACCTTGGCTGCCGCCGCCTTCCTAATCTCTGCCTCGCTATCCCCCAGATCTGGGAGTAGGGACTCGTCGCGGCATAAGTCCCAGTCGCGCGCGAGCGTGCACTCAGGGCAACTCCATTGCGGGATCTTCAGGCTCTCACTTGGGTTCACAAATGCGCCTTCTTTGCTAAACTCGCGCACCTCGAATAGCGCAAGTAAATCTTTCCTTAGGAGCCGTGCTTCCATCGTAATGTTCTTATCTAATGAGAGGACTTGCATGAGGGACTTGACGAGCTCGAGCACGGCGTTGCGGTTGTGCATATTCTTGATGTGACTACCTGGAAGAGACGGGAATGACCAATCGGACGCGAGTTCCGGGTGCAAAAGCTCGCGAGCCTGAGTCGAGACGAGGGATCGGATTTCCTTTTTTAGCTTCTTCTCAAAATCATTAGTGAGAATGATCTGCGTTTTATTATTGTCATCTCCTTGAGAGCCGTTGCGTAGTGGTAGCTGAGTAAGTCGAGGTGTTGCGTCGGGATCTCCGTTTGCAAGCAGTGGACGCTTGATTCCATGCATGAGCTGTATGAACTCCACGACCCAATGTTGGAAGGTGTCTTGTAGACGAAGAGGAAGGAAAGTCTTCATTTGCCAATTCATGATGGTCTGAAGACTCTGTTGTTCCGCCTCAACAACCTCTTGGCAGGCCTTACCACCATAGTTGAATTCATCATACCATACTAGGTAATCCCAGTATTCCTTGATTTCTAGATCGATAAAGTGAAACAGCGGCTTGCTCTTGATACTCTTTAGGATATACTGACTATATGCATATGCGTTGCCCACCTCGGACTTCGTGGTCTGCAAGAGAAGTCGATTCGAGTTTGCAAATACAACTTGCGAGCCAACTCGGCGGAAGTCCGCCATGAGCTGCAGCAGAGCTTTTCGACTCATCATCTGTACATAGTAGTGAAGCGCCCGGTCGTACATGAACGAGTCAGGAGACTCGACCCATCGCACTAGATGTTGAACCAGAATGTCAGCCATAGGACTGCCTTTGCATGCTTCCGCCCACCAGGACTTGACCATTTCGCGTAGCACAAGTACACCGGCATTGGCGAATGCCCCTTCGGAATGAAGAACTTCTGTGCCGTCGGATGGTGCCGAATCCGTTGCGGGGTTGAAGGAAATTGAGTCAGCGCCCTCGAGCTCGTTGATCAGAGAGGACGTGAGAATGGTGTTGATAGCAAGATTTCGGACTTCGAGGTCGATGCACACTGATGCATAGGTGCCAGGGTTATTCGCTGATGGCATCGAGACAGTATCGAGGGGACCTGTGACATCATCCTGCTCATAGCCAGCATGATCTGGCCTGGGACCGGGCGACCACCACAATACGACATTATTCAGCTGAAGGCGGCGAGCATATGCAACGTCGATTAGGAACCTGGGATCGTCACGCTCCAGGTTACATAGTGGTATGTTACCATATCTTGCTAGGGCGGTCAGATGTAGGATCCAGGACCCAAGGTTGAGATAATGCGATACAAGGCGCTTTGCGACGACAGATTGCCAGCCGAGAGGTGGGAGAGAGCTATCTGCTTGATCGTACCGAAGAGGAAGGATGGGAAATTCTGCGAGGATAGGGACGTCATGAACGAGTAAATTTTGTTGGGAGGACTGAATAACGAGCATTAAAGGCTTCAACTCGTCCTTCTTCATCTTCTTAATTAGATCACCGATCTCTAGGTGTGCTTTGCGCCGTGTCGTCACTTGGGTCACCTTGAAAGTTAGTTTTTCCTGGTACGAAAAACATTCTTGCCAATTTGTGCCTTCTGCCTCTTGCCGTCTCCTTGAGAACATGTCGCTGTAGATCTTGGTGACATTTGGTAAGTCTTGGCCGGAGTCCTTGTTCTTTTGAAGAATGACAATATGGGCCTGATCGCCAGCTGAGGAGAAGAGACCAAAAATTTGCCTCTCACCAGCAGTAATATGTGATATATAGAGATAGGCGAGTGGGTTCGAATCCAGATATGTTCGTGGTTTTGTGGGTTTGATCAAACCATCAAGATCGAAACCTTGCTCGAGGCCTTTTCCTAGTACACCGGGCTGGCTTTCGTCAATAGTACATAGATTCCCGAGCTGAAGCATTGCTCGCATGTTCAAGGGAACTTGCTTTTCATATACTCCTTCTACACTTGGATGGTTGAAGAGCAACGAGAACTTCGCTGCTTCGGCAAAATAGATATCTTCAGGTACGGTGATCTTGAATAGGTGGGTCGAGGAATGCCCATTGGGCAAGGTATGGTTGACTTGCTCGACCTCGCATCCTTCGACTTCTATGTCCGGTAAGTCTTTACCCTTGAGATTGAGGAATACCTGACGGGGGACTTTGATCTTAAGCGGGTGGACTTTGGCATCGATTAAGACGAACGCGGTTACGACACCTGGATTATCTGTGTCGCGGAGCTGAAGTAGTTGCCATGTGTTCCTGTACGTAACTTCTGCCCGCTGGCGGAACGTCTGCTGAATATTACCACTTAGGTTTCCGCGGCGGTCTCCAAAAAGGTGGCGTCGACGGATCCGAGCTTGCTTCTGGATTTTCCATTTCTTTTTCTGGTATTCCAGAAATGCCGGATAGTCATCTGAGGGATCTGGCATCTTTTTCGGGAGTGCTGCAAAGGGGTCGACATTCTCCTTTTCCGGTTCGGGAGATTTTCGCTTCGCTGCTGTTGACGTTGGCTGCTGGGACGCGTTAATAGCTGCGGTCGTGCTCTTCGGTTTGAGCAGCTTAGACCCAAAATCCTCTAGATCGTCAAGTCTCGAGCCCGCAAGATTCGTTATATCTTCCAACGGTCCCTTAGCACTCGCGAAGAGGTCTGTCAACTTCTTCTGCTTCATCTTGTCGTCCTTTATGTTAATCCTCCGCTGGAGCCAGTCTGGATGGGGCACTCGCGGTACCGGGTTGCGAACTTTCTGCAGCGCAGCAGGGATTGTGATCAACTTTTGGACGACGGAACCTAGACGTTCTAGATAATAATCCCAATCTAGCAACGCCCTGGGATCTGTATCAGACGGTTCTTCCTTAAGCCACTTTGTCAGATAATGTCGCTTAATATCCGTCGCAGCGGAGAAGATGGCGACTGGCACGGCTCGCTCGGTGACAGGAGCACTTCGAGGTTTGGCGCAGATGATGTACTTGCAGTTAAGACCTTTGTCTTTTACCATCTGCTCACCTAAAAACTCCGCCAAGCGCTTTGCGGTCGTGATAGAAGTGGATTTCTGGCTTCCGTATTCCTCGAGTGTTTTCGACATGCTTCGGTTCTCACAAATAAGATCGATGAGCTCTTCGTCAGCTAACGTTGTGCCCTTGCTATATAGAACATCGAGCCACCTGTTTGCGACCTTCGCCACAGCGGCGTAGCATTCTGTAAGCGTAGCGCCTTCTAAGAAAAACTTGAAGATTTGCTGTTGGAAAATTTTGATGAGCTTCAGCTCACCTCTTCGCTTGACTTCGAATCCCTTGAGTTCAGCCAGACTACCATCGTCATTAAAGACGGCATATCGCTTCTTCAAGTTCTTGTCCTCCTCCTTTGACGTTGGTAAGATCATAGCCTTGTACGGACCATCCACCTCGAAGAAGATTGAGTTGTCGCTATGCGTTTCATACTTAAACGTCTTCTCATCTACTAGTGTCTGGTACTGGTGATTCGTGAACTTGTCGTGGACCAAGTGATTCAACATGACGCAAGGATACGAGATGGTGACCTTCTTGCCATTCTTGAGCTTAAAGGAGAAGTTTTCTGGGAAGGTTGCTGGCAACATACACCAGATACCGTCGGTATCCAACTCTAAGGGTCGTCCGAGGCGTTCGACGAGAGACCTTGCCAACTGAATGATCGTTGCACCTGTCAAACAGGTAACACCTGCCATCTCCATGGAGTACCATCTAGATCCCTTTCGCATAACATAACCGTAGAAAGAGTTCAGAATGACCTTGTGCGCAAGTTGTAGAGAGTCATAAAGGACAATCATTTTCTTAGCAGACTCGACTTCATTAGCCGCTGCTCCAGACGATTTGAGCGACTCGGTCTTCCCTTTCCAAACCTTCGCCTTTCCCTTGTAGTCGTATCGACGATCTCTGAAATCCCTTACAGTGTTAATGTAAAATGGATTCTCTCGCTGACAGATGATTGCTTCTCGAACAATGGTCGTCTGGTCGCGGATCTTGTGGTAGACCTTCTGGCTGTACAGTTGCAATCGCTTTCTCGTGAGTGCTGCTTGCTCATCTTCTGGTAATTCCTGGAACGTTCTCATAGGAGCGCCGGGGCGTTTTCCTGGGAATTTCTCATTCTCGAGCGCGTGTCGAATCATGTTGTATTCGTCCCGCTTTGCTGGTAAATACTCGCCTCTCCAAGCCCAAGGCAATCTTCTGTCGCAAGTCTTCCCTGGGCGATTGAAATCACAGGCAGCGCAGTCCGATTCTTGAATCATCGAATCGGGCTGTAACCGATTCGTAGTCATAATGTTCGGATACATAGATGCGACATCCAAATGATAAATCAAGGGTCTCTCATTCCGGTTGGGGGTCTCTTTCAGCTGCAACAGTCGCGATGCAATCTGTTGTTTGACCTCGTCATAGTTCGTAACATCGTCCAGTGATTTCTTTTCCTCGATCTCTACGACGAACTTAAGGGCGTTGTCCAGATCACCAAGTAATTCATCGACAGCCCCTGGATCGACAGCGAAGTTGACTGGAATATCCGCTCGAAATACTCCGGCTTCGATACTTTCGACGTGACCACCAACGTAAGTCTCCGCATCTAGTAGATGGCCATCCCAAAACGCCTCTTTTGGAGACATGTGCTTGTTTGGCAATATAATTTCATGCTGGTATGCCTGCACCATCAACAACATCTCACACAGTGTACCAGTTCCTTTCCGCAGTACATCGTCACCTCCCAAAGGAAGAATTGTACAGAGAGAGAAGATAAAGGGGTGGATGTACTTCATGTACAGGTAATAGGTGGCGACGGCATCTGAGACTGAGTACTCCGCTAATGTCTGAGGTCGTTCGTTTGCGTATGGTGTCATGAGTTCTGGATCGAGTTCGTCCGGATCGTAGCCAAGCTTGGCAACGGTGACGGCCTTCAAGCCTCGGCTTCCTTGTGGCAAGTAGGAGTCACGATTGACCCATGCCAAGCAATCCATATGAACACCATACGTGCACTTATAGATATCCTCACTATCCTTCTTCCATCCGATCTCGCGATACATATCAATACCGTTGACGCTTGCTCTCGCCTCTACGAATGGCCAATCGAAAAAGTCACCGTTGTAAGTGGCAATGACAGTTGGTCGCGCCTCTTTGATATGCGAAAAGAACCGCTCGAGCACGGCCTTCTCGTTGGGCTCGTTGAAAATCATGAACGGCCCAGGGTATTCAGGCTTTGGGGTGTATTCGAAATCGGAAATGTCTTCGGAGACAATCTCTCGGTTGGTGATAAGGAAACCTTGCCCGTCGATCATATACGATATCATCATGACTTGATCTATAGCGGCGTCAGGGAATTTGAGGGGGGCTTTGGTCGTCTCGATATCGAAGGCCATTACTACAGGGTCTGCTTGGACGATGTGTTCTTCATTAAGCGTAATAGTGGTGATGCCATGCTTTACCTCCACAAAATACCATTTTCCTGCTCGGATGTCTAGTATATCTATTAGCCTGGGGCGGCGAGACACACCCGTGACATAGACTCACCCATATCAATCATAACTCTTACATGGTACGGGACGTCGTACTCTCTAATGTCAACAATATAGTCGCTAGCGTCCGAAAATGAAGCATTATGTCGTCTATCATCATCTCGTGAATCATCAAAAAGGTCGAAGCCGGCTTGCTCGCTATCGAAAGGGTTAGCGCTTAGCCATTGAAGAATGCCGCTTCTCGGATAGAGGGACCCACGCAGCAACCTCCGCATATACATCAACCGTGCCCATAGACTTTTTATTTTTCTCCGCTATAGGCATAATCTCCCTCCTCGCAGTCATTAAGTCCTGTACGTTTCTGAACCGCAGCTCGAGGAACGTTCTTCTATACCCAAGAAGGTGATTTGGCATGGACAGATCCTCCTTTTCGACTCGTTTCACGGTGCGCACGACACCGCCTCCAGGTACTCGTTTTAGCCATTCCTCGACTTCGCCTTCCCGCCCTTTCCGGCATGCAATTACGAAGTATGGTTCGTACTCGATGGTGGCCTTGAACGTCTGGCCATCTTCCTCAATGAAATAGCAGTCCAACGCCGCTCTACCGCCGGGGGATCGGTCGTCGTCAAGAGCTACGGTGGTTGGTTGGACGTTGACAAGCCAGCCTTCTTTTCTTCTACCAGATTCATATCTGGCAAAGCCCATGGACTCGTCGATTTGTTGCGCAAGGAGGGTCCGCTCGATTCTCTCGTCAGCCGACGTGCCTTCCGTTCGAGTAGTCGAGGCAGCGAACGTTCGGGTCCGGTTCGCTCCGTGGTAAGCTTGCTTGCCACCTCGACGAGCATAGCCCTTTTGCGGGCGTCGTAGAGATGTATTCGGCATGTTGGACTCGGCTGAAGAGGGTCCGGGTCGAGGGTTCCTCTCAGAAAATATTAATTAAACCAGAGAGAAATCATAGATCGTTATGATGGAGAGTCCAACGCGCATAATTGACAACGGTTTGATTTCGAGTGATGCAATTCAATCAAAATGGTAAAGACTGTCCGGAAGAAACAGTGGCCATGTGTGGTATCGGTGGTATTGTGTTTGTTAACAGGAAGAATCGATAATCGCGATTATTGAGTGGACTACAGACCCCTGCCTATTAACGCGGAACGCGTCTTTGCACTTAGACGCGCTTTCCAAAACTACAAGGGTCGCGTTCTTTAATTGATCCGATTTATGCATAATGCCGCCCAATTGGCTAAGCTGGAAAATCGTATAACTAAATATCTTACAGTGGGTCACTGCGTATCGGCGTCATAGCTTGCTAAAATGCGATTTCTGTACCACCGAAAATCGAACCATAGAAATTCAAGCTCGTGATTCTGCAGCCCCAGCCCGCATTGCGATGGTGCAAGACGACAACGAACCGCCTAGGATGTGCGGCCCTCCGCCCGGGTCAACCGAAACCGCCCAACATGTTAAAGAGTCGCAAACCTACGAAACCTTTCCCGGCCCGAAACCAAATTCTGAGGGCCGAGCGAGAGCGGGCGCGGGCGAAGCAGCTGAGGGGAGGAAGATATCTTCGCCTACGATAACGGATGCGTTCCAATCTATAAAGTCGAACGATTTCTTCAACGTACATAAGATGCCATGCGCGCCCCAGGGCCTCATGACAGGTATTGGGGCTGGTGCAGTGGTGGGCGCGGGTCGCTTTATTATAGGAGGTACGTCAGCATAGCGCCCAAGCTTCCACATCTTAACGTTTGGGCGCATCTTGGCTAATCATATGCCCCTCAGGACAAATACCCAAAGCTGCGAATTGGGCCTTCGGTGCATTTTTCATAAGTTCGATAATCCAATGGGAATACTGCAGGGCGCAACGAGCAAAGCAGCACGCCGCCGTAGCACGAATGGTCAAAATCATGGATCAGAAAGCGGCCGAGGAGGCTGCACAGGCTAAGGAAGCAGCAAGATTAAAGCAAGAAGAAGAAGGGAGGCAGGAGGCTGCAAAGAAAAGTTGGTATAAATTATGGTGAACCCATTCAAGCCATGCGATTGCTCATAGCACTTGTTGCTATTATACATCTTATAACTGCTCTGTGAGATATAGATGTGATCCTGCCCAGGTGCCAATACTTGAAACCCATGCTTTTCTACCCGGAAGTTGGTACCGAAGCCAGCTTGGGCTCCGACAGAATATGGACTCCAAGACTTGGAGGTGGGAGAGTATGTAATTCGGATAGCTCTTCGCGTATAAAAAACCAATCCATCCAAGAAAAGTACCCAAACAAAAAATAAATAAATAAAAATATAAAAGTTGCGTCGCCATCGCGTCGACTATTTCTCGTACCAATAATCTACGCCGGAATCACCCAACGCCGTGTCCATCGATCGGAACTGGTCGTGCTCACCTAACACCACAAATAATATAATCGAACCTCAAGCAATAATACGAAGACCAGGCGTTGCTATCAAGTCGTGACAACGGTAGTCGGTTCCGTATCCGAGAAACGCACGCGTGCCATGGAATGCTGTCTTTCCAACTGCGCAACACTACTGAGTTGTTGTCGGCGTCTCTGGTTCCTCCTGGCTCGAGCTTCACTCTCTTCGCGTTTTCTATAATCAGCTAGCTGCTGTCTTCGCTTTTGGGCCCTTGCATAGGCGATCGCTGGAGTTGGCTTAAAACCGATGCCGTTGATACCGGTACCGTCGTCATCCTTGTCCTCGGGATCGTAGACAGTAATTTCGTCTTCATGCCACGTAAGAGAAGCACGAACCGGGTCGACAATAACGGGCTCCTCTTCGACGGATGGATCTGTCGCCTTTCGCCTCGTTAAAGGAGGGGTACCCGCTCGCTTTCGACTACGCGACTTGGATTCCGAGAGTCGGTTGATAGATGGATATGACTTTTGCAAGCGACCGGGACCTTCACATTTCGTTAACCTCACGATAGAAGGATCGACAACCGTCTGCGGCGTGAAGATCGGAGATTCGCTGCGTTGTTGTGTAGGATTAAAGTCGGATATGTTTGCCTCGTTGCTTAGCCCCATTCCACTCGCGTTTGGAGGATAAGCATGGTCGGGCTGGTCGGGTAATTTGACACGCTTTCGTGATGCATCGTAAGCATCATCGAGCTGCATGCCTTCAGCAGACATGCTGCTGCTGCTACCGCCATCAAAATCGAATATGGGTAGTTCTGGTGAAAATCTTGGGCTATTGGTCACAGATTGGGGGCTAGCCTCATCTGTTCCAGCTCCCGCTCCCGTTCCCGATCTATTTCCCTTAACGACTGTTCCATCGGCCTTGTCGTGAGTTACCCCGCCCCCACTTTCAAGGGCGAGTTCTCGGAACTGCTGAGCAACCTTGCTTCGAGGGCTACTGTTACCGTCCTCGAAGGTTTCATTGCGAGATCCATCCACCGGTTTAAGGGTCGGAGGTTGGAAGGAGAATACAGCCTTAGATAGACCGTAAGAGTTAGGAGATGGGTTAAGGGTGCGTTGTTCGTTGAGTACATCGTCACGCTTGCGCTTGGGTGTTTGCTTAAGCGGTGATGATTCAGCCATCGCTACTTTAGTCGCCAGAGGTAAAAAAACAGCAAAAGGAGATAGTTAGACGAGTTGGGCGACTAGACAACTGGACAACTGGAGCTCAAAAAGGGAACTCTAAAGAGTTAAAGTCGATTATCCATCGGTGGAATGTGTTTGATTATATGTATTATCGATTCCGTTCAACCATTCGAGCCTGGTTGTTAGGCGCTGGATGATGGGCGTTGTCGTGTTGCCTCAAAACGTGAAGTGACTTAGAATAAAAAAAGGTTAGTAGGTGCACGAATGTGTATTGAATTGGAAGAATTAGCGAGGCCTATCGATGCCGCTACCCTTTGATGAGATGGCACCTGCGACCGTGTGTAGATTTGTTTAGATGTGCGTACGTGTGTAGGTATGTAGACTAGTAGATAGGCAGGTACTTCCACGTGGGTAATAGCCACGCATGTAAGTGTGAGTTCCTTGGTATGCTGGCTCCACGGCTCTTGCCAAATGGGAGATGGAGTTTCATAGGGCTGTAACAGTGATTGGTCCCGGAATATTCTTTATTTGAGTGGCAGCTTCACCCCAGCTAGCTGCTAGCTTCGAGATTGATAAGGTTATCCATTGTACTATTCTTATCAACTCGACCTATTGTTTACGGGACGAGGGCTATCCGAGAATTGAGGCATTGTGCCTTGCCCACAACTTTAATTTTGAATTCCAAAGTAAATTTCCAAAGTTACCAGGCAGGTAAAGGAGTAAAGTTACTTTTACTCAATGTATTAAGTTTCCTCTATCTTTTGTAACTCTCATATTTAGCTAGGTAGGTTGCTAGGACATCAGGTTCTACTATCGCAGCCACATCTAATGGACTAACCCATTTAGGTCCAATCAAAGTAGATGGCTTGCTAGACATCCAGTTACTCGGATCGTGGCTGCTTCAATAGCTCATTCGCTCTTACATCTAAATTGTAGGTTCCGCTAGTCGATTACCTAATGTTTCGATTCCGAAGTCTTGGTAGAATCGCGGACGATCTCGGTGGAATGATGAGGTAAAACGGAGTCTATAATCCGCCTTGTACCACCTAATTACCCCGCCAATCGGTGCTACCCCACTATGTATCCATGGATCTCATGATGCGATCCAATAGGTACTTTAAGGGTAACTAAGAGTTGCTAAATACATACCAAATACAATACTTAAAGTCACTCCACACGTCACCTCTGTGTCTCGTGAACTTCCGAGCTTTTCATATAGCCTGAATACATTTATCTTCCAATGCTCTTGCAGCTCAGACTTTACGTACATTCCAATCTCTCTTTCTCATACAGCTACATTCCCCCCTTGAGCTCCAAATCTACCTAATTTATCATTCAAGCTTCTAACTTCCCGTCCTTCCTTGGGAATAAAATATCTGTTATAACAGCTGTGAATCATATATCAAAATGGCAGATGAGATCTCCTTCTTGCCACTTGGCGCCGTTATCCAATCCTTCAAGGTCGGGGGTGTCAACATCGTGCAAGGTTTCCCAACTCAGGAGCTCTATGCCTCTCATAACAGTCCGCACTTTGGCGCAACTATTGGCCGTGTCGCAAACCGTATCTCGGACGCTAAGATCGATTCTCTAAATGGAGGCAAATCCTACAGCTTCGTTGCTAACAACGGACCCAATACCTTGCACGGCGGAAATGTTGGCTGGGGTAAGCGTATTTGGAAGGGCCCGAATCCTGTGGGTTTACGTCAGATCCCCGGCATTGAGGGACTTCAAGGAGGAGAGACTGTCGAGTTCACCTTGACAAGTGAGGACGGAGATGAGGGGTTTCCCGGCGAAGTTGTCGTCAAGGTGTTCTATACGACCGGAAAGGTCGTTGAGAACGGGAAGGAGGTGATAGTTCTCGGCCAAGAATACGACGCCGAGCTCGTGGGAGGTGCCGAGGAGACAGTAGTAAACATGACTAACCATTCGTATGCCCCTTTGAGACCATAAATATCGACATGGGAATCAGGACGCTGACGTGAATAGGTACTTTAATCTCTCGGGCGGTCCGAGTATTGAGGGGACCATAGTCCAACTTTCAACGAACTCATATCTCCCTCTTAGCGAGTGGGGGATTCCAACGTCCGGACCAACGGCATACTCCAAGGTTGCGACCACTACTCCATTCACCCTGGGGCCAGAGGGTCCAGATTTTGATGACTGCTTTATCGTCGACCCTTCAAAATCCCCTAGCTCCGTGCCCATAGACACGCGAACCCTTCCCCTCACCAAGCTCGTTTCAGCTCAGCACCCGGAGAGCAAAATTCATCTGGATGTTTTGAGCACAGAGCCTGCATTCCAATTTTATACTGGCAAGTGGATTGATGTGCCAGCTGTAGGTGGCGCCCCTGCTCGTGGACCACGGAGTGGTTTCTGCGTAGAGCCGAGTCGGTTTGTAAATGCTATCAACGTTGATGACTGGAGGAGCCAGGTGGTTCTCAAGAAGGGAGAGAAATATGGGGCTCGTATCGTGTATAAGGCTTGGAAAGAATAGTCAATCTACCTACCGAACGCATAGTGAAGAGATATCTAGGTAGCAAATCGCCAAAAAGACGATTGTACTCATATGCGTTGACTTGGTATGATCTAACTACTTGCATGAAACGAGTCATCACAGTTCTTCTTCGTCACCATCCCCGATCTCTTGATCGGCTGGTACGATAGGCGCTTTGGCCTCTTGTTTCCTGTAAAGGCCAGCTAGAAACTCACTACTGCTAGCTTCTTCGATTCCCTTGTCCTCACGCTTCTTTAGGAAGCGCGGGAACCGGAGACTGAGCCCGCGTTCCTGGCTGACTAGCCCGATAGCCGCCGTGTAAGTCGGCGATAGTGTAATGTCAGCGAACGCCATCTCCCATACTTCCTGGGGCTCAAACCAAACATCCGGCTCTGGCCCATAATACTCGATGAAGCTTGGCTTACTTCTGCGAACGTTCTTGTAGTTTTCACTATTCCTCTCTTCTAAATTATTGTCAATACCATCCCCTTCCTCGCCCCTTTCGGCAGCATTCGCGTCGGGTAAATCTTCTCCAGAGCCATCATCGTAAAATTTCTTGTTAGCCTTGTAGAAGACGTCTGTAAAGCCAGATATGCATTTACACACGGCCTCAAGAGAACCCGTCGCATCATTTCGTACTGCCATAAGTATTGGAGACCACCACTTGGCTTTTCGGCCCTGACCATGCCATGCGGCGACAGGCACGAGATCTAGGGTATCGAATGAGCTGTTGTAATCCTTCTTAACCTTAAGCCACGAGTCAAGGCGCTTATCGGGCTCGTATGTAGCGAGCAATGCTTTCCGTCGCGAGGATGACTTCTTTTCTTCTCCGGCCCCATCACCTGAAGTACCCTTGGCTTTCCCTTTCCCTGTTCCTTTCTTCGCTTTAGATTTCGCGGGAAGACTAAGAGTCTCATTTTCTCGTATCTCTTCAGCCGTTTGGTTCAGGTCCTCCGCAGCCTGGCTTGTCGCTGGCAAATCTGGAAGATTGTCTAGGATTTTGACCATGATGCCCTCGCATTTAGTATCCGTCGCTTGCTTGAAGAAGTCTAGTACAACTTCAGAATCTTGAGATGTAGCGTCGAGACTTTTGACCCAAGTGAAGCGATGTGGTATTTCGATAAATAAAGATCGTAACAACGACCTTCGCTCACGAAATGGTCGATCTAGCAGGGGCTGGCCATTAAGGTGCATAAGGTCGAACGCGAATAGACATACTTCAATAGTTATACTACCGATTTCGACGTCTTTTCGCGCTCGGTTTGTAAGAGTTTGAAAGTTTTTCAGTTCTCCAGTCTTCTGGTCCACCGCAACAACTTCACCCTCCATGATGAAGCTACTGACGCCTTCGCCGCGAATCTTCAATACAAGCTCCACCAAGTCCGGATACTTATCAGTCATAACTTCAAGATGTCTCGAGAAGATCGATACTTTGCCTTTATCATCACAGTGAACTTGGGCCCGTTGCCCGTCGTATTTAAATTCACATGCGAAGTCCCTCCCTTGTAGTTTCGTGAGCATCTCAGATAAGTCTCTCGTAATGCTACCCAACATTGGCCTCAGGGGAACATGCAACGTCAGGTCGCATCTGAGTAGTAACTCGTCGCATACTCCTATCTCAAGCATGGTAGGTATGAGATCGTTGTAATTGGGACGCCTCGCAAAACAAGCTTTAACGATCTCCTCGGCTCTGCTCCATACCTCGGCTAGCTCTTCCTTTTTCAACGCCTTCAGATCGCTTACAGATTTCAAAGGGAAATCTGCGCTAGGTGGCCGTGAGAGAAGAAAGGCGCGAGACAGAGCTATCAGCATGGTTGTCTTTACAGCGCCGATTCGAAGGTGTTGACACAGCGTACGAACAACATAACGACTCTCCTCGCCGCCCCGAGCATCCTGGAGTAATCGATCCACTATTCGTTGCTTCACTTCTCCACTTCCTTGCCCTTGGCTGTTGGCTATCTTGACGAGAGATTGGTAGACACCCTTGACAGTTAAGGGTCGGGGTTTCCGCAGCGTGAAGCTCTGCTTTTTCTTCGCCTCGAATGCAACATCGCCCGCGTCGCCGTGTCTGTCGTAGATAGCCTTTAAAGAGCGACCATCCAAGCCGCAGACATTCTTGAGCGCTTTGGAAATAGCTGAACCACCTAATCCGAGTTCTAGCGAGATATACGGTGGTGAAATTGAGTTTGTCGCAAGCCAGACCTACGCAACGCAATTAGCACGACGATCAAATTCACAGGAAGAGGAGAATAGCTTGCCGCAGGAAGTAGGCTCTCGGGATCTGCTTCTATGAGAACACGGAGGCAGTTGACTAGAGTATCCACTATTTTTATCCGACTGGACGTGCCATTGACGAGTACAAAGCAGCGCGTTAAAAGTGCATACGACGCATCACCTCCATCACTCGACCAGTGCTCCTGAAGTTTTGGCGCATATTCCGCAGGATCAAATGTTAGAGGGCTCTCATCAAAAGGTATAGATTCCGAAATACTATCCACGGAAGCCGAGACGGATTGCAGCGACAAAGTACCTTTACCTTTATTCTCGGCCTTCTTTACATCCGGAACGAGATTCGGAAACTCCCGGGGCGTCTGAGAAGTTTCCGTGACACCTGGGGTAGCGCGGGAATTGGAAATCGTAGAAGGTGCCGGAGATCCGGAGGCACGTCCCGCAGTCTCGGCCTCTTTGTCCCACTCAGACTGGAGCTTTCGCGCCAGTTCCTCATCTGTCATGCAATGCGCTTGATCATGCTTCGACGAGGGATTATCAATCTCTTCAACATCCTTTTTCCCATTTTCAGAGCTTTTGTTATCCTTTTGCTTCGAGAAAAAGTATTCCAGTCCCCTAGAAGGCAAAGCCGATGGTTTAGAGCTCCCTGTATTCAGCTTGCGCTTCTTCGTCGGACTAGGCATCGCGAATTCTGTATAGCTCGGAAAGTCAACTGACGTTGAACAATCATTTCCTTAGCGTATAAAAGTCTAGAGAGGGCCTTATACTTGATTTTGAGGAGTCTGGTGCGTGCTTTCATTAGTGATGAGAGAATGTAAACGATGCTGTCGTCATTCGTCATTCGGCGAACAATACGCGTTTCCTATATGCGATATTCAGATAACCGATAAGCGCATAATAGGGACAAAGTCTCGCTGACGTAAGCACTGAGCATAGATTGTTGGTACCTAGCGTGTCTTAATCCCCGACTTCACTCTTGTGTCATCAAGCCACTCAAGCCACCCCCTTTTCTTCCGAATTCCCTTCGCAGAATTTATACCTAAGTCATTAGGCATCTACTTTTGGCAAGCCTTATTTATCCGGCCGTATTTAAGCAAAGATATTCGAGTTGACAATTACAGAACATTGTCTTGAAACCGACTTATTATGAAGACGCTAATAACACTGTTTACATGCCATAATTACGTAGCTGACAAAATGAGGTGGTCTACAAGGGATTGTTGCCGGTTTGAATCTTAGCATGAATCAAAACAATATTTATTCCACATCCAAAGTTATCCGCAATACAACTATGTGATTCATCTCACGAACAAAAAAATCTTACTCCAGGCCAAACCAGGCCACATCAAGCTGAGGATGGACAGGTACGGTGTGACCAACGTTGGCCGCTGAGTACCCCACTAACTTTGTACCATCCCCATACACCATCTGAGTATAGCCTGACTGAGGCGTGTTCGTGACGTTCTTAGTGAATTCAACACCAAGCAGAGCGGACCATTCCTTCAGTTGCTCAGCTAGGTTCTTATAGTCCACAAAATGGTCAGCAGTGCCGTGGAATGTCTGCATGCGAGGATAGGACCCAGTAAAGCCCGGGTACATCGCCTTAGCTTGCTCCGCCCACTGCTCACCCGTCTTGACGTTTTGCCCGCTGGCACAAGTAGGGTCAGCGCTTTGTGGGCTAGATCCAGGAGAACCTGCGAGACAGCCCGCGGCGACGCCCGAATAGCACGATCCAGCGGCGAATACATCGGGATAAACAGCCAAGAGCACGTTGGTCATCATGCATCCCGATGAGGAGCCCGTAGCATATACTTTGGTTGGGTCTCCATTGTACTTCTCGATCAAGTATTTGACCATGTTAACCAGACCCGTACTATCACCTCCTCCATTGTTCGTCAGAGTCTTCTCGGACGCAACGTCCTGTAATATCATATGTTTAGCCATCACCCACTGTAAAGAAAGTCATCTGGTTTTTATAAAACTAACCCAACAATTGCTATCCTTTTTTGTCGATGGATACACGACGATAAACCCTTGCGCATCGGCATAAGTGTCATAGTTCGCCATTTGATAGTATGCAGGCCCCGTGCCACCGCAGTAGTGTAACTGTCTCCCTTATTAACACCTAGGCTAAACATATCGCATGTAAATGTCTTACAGCAAGAACAATTGCAGGCTTTTCAGCTAACTTGGCAGGAAGATAGACTTGCATATCAAGACTCGTCGGGTTCTCTCCCCAGTCGGTCACCTGGGTCAACGCAGCGTGTGTCGTTGAAAGGGACAGCAGTGTTGCTAGAGCACTAGTCACTTCAACTCCGCGCATGGTGAGTCTAATCCGAGAATATGAAGAACCAAGGAGTTGAGTACGTTTGTTAGGGAATATCAGTTTCTAGAAAGCCTAGGTAGATAGGATTCAAGACTTAGATATATATAGGTAGATATCTGCTGGTACAGGTGCAAAGCCGAAATTGAATACCGGCTAAGATGCACCAGAAGCAGTGTGAATCTATGCTTGCCCATTTAGGTGGGCCGGAGTTTGGAGTCGGCTAATTGGGTATCTACCTAGTACCCAGGGCAGCCAAGGATTCGATGTAACCGGTCCATAAAGACGACTCGAAGCGTCTAATTTCAATTCAAACTCAGACCCATGTGTATGGTTCCATCGCATCATGATGACTTACCGGTCCAATTAATCGCCTATATTCTATAGGTATCAATAGCCGCTTACGAGGAGCCTCAGTGATGATTTTATTGCACTGTCCCTCGCAAGTATTACTCATTTAAGGTGCTGTTATGTTAAGGGGCTTGTAAACAGAATTACCTACGAAGGTTCTCTTTTATTCCATGTCTTTTATTAGCTGCCCCCTTTCACTTCATTATTGGTTGATGTGCTGACAAACTTCACGAAACTTAAGTTGTATAGAATATAATTATGTCCATGCATATTGTTACCTACTAGTTCCTTTAGTTCATCCGTATGTATTGTAAGTGCGCCAAGTTCTTAGGGGCGGATTGGGGCGTCCAATTTGGGGTTTTCAGCGGGAGGTCCATGTGATCCAAATTTAGTGAACTGTTTTTTTCTTTCTCTTCAATGTTGTGTCTTCATACGTACCTGGAGAGTTCGCTGGCAAGTACAGAAGACTATTAACTGGCTGCTGTGATGCGGCAGTGATAACTATGTTGGGGGGGCAGCAGGGTTAACGAGGACTTCCTTCATGTCAAAAAGATACTTCAATTTATGTGGACCTGGTACTGTAAGATCTAATATCTATAACATTAGTTGGGAATAGGTACCATGGATTGTCCAAGGTCAATGGGGTGAACGAGTTGTAAGAAAATCACAAAGGGATGAATGCGCTACTTAGTTGACTTCTGTTTATCAGTTATATTTGCCATAATCCCATTAAATATTGTTGGAATAATGGATAATTAGCTGAATATCTACGCCCCATACCTATGACATATATGTATAGCCTGCGTGGCACTACTTCCTAGAGTTGTAACCTTCTAATTCTACTAATATGACATACATGACCCGTGTCTACTTCGACACATATACAGGAGTTAGTCGGTGTACTCGTGGGCGGGCGGGTTCTCTAAAGCAGTTATGAATCCGATCAGGCGAAGGTTAAAGTATATGCACAAGCTGGTATCGAATTCATGAGATCAGCAGCATTAAGCTCGAAGAAGCAGCTGCTAAACATGTTAAGCAAGGAATGGATCATTCAATGGGGATTGGTCCTAGACAGAAATATGGGATATGTGGCTGAGGAGTTACTCAAAGAAAGATGGAAAGAGTATGAAGAATGCCTCATGGGTGGCAAATATGATGAAGGGTTCGGACTTGCAATTGTGGGTATGGAAGTGTTCGATGCTGCCATCGAATACGAGTTGGCCCTGCGACGGCTATCTTACAATCATTCATCGAATCGGGTGTTAGATAGGTAGTTACTAAAAATATCGGTTATGGTTTCATAACTGCGGAACAATTTGCAGTACGGAGAATGGAGGTTCGAGATGGGGACTTAAATCGCATATTTGATGCCTTTGTCGACTTGTTTGTGGTCGGTGAAGAGGTGCGGCCTGACTACCTGAGAGGCCTGGCCTTGAAAATTCTTGATCATGTGAGATTCTCCTCAAGAGACGGTCGTCGATACCAACTACTACTAAAGATTGCCGTCCAACGACTTGAAGAGGCTCGCCGAATAGTCGATCCTCCCGAGAAAGAAAGACAGTTGATACGGATTTCCAGGGTACTTTTTTTCGCCTTGGAGGTTGAACTGTGTGCCGAAGAACCAAACACTACACTTCTATCGTTACTAAAAGGGGCGACACAGGAAGGCTTGGCTAGAACATTGAACTTCACTGAGAAGAGTGAACTTGTGCGCTATACGAAAGCCGTCGAGTACCTACTACATAAGTAAAGTCGGGAAATCAACCGCATGTTTGATTTGTATCATGACGCGGAATTGACAATCGAGGAAACATCAATGTTGTGCGAGGAGTTCTAAACTACTCTTGTCTTGGGGCCACGGATATCTACCTACCTACGTACAGGAAGAGTGTTTTGTCCGCTCTTTTTTAGGACTAATCATCGATTGCCCTCCTAGGATCTCCTAACCTAGGGGTCGAACTCCAATCCCACGAGACTCCTAGTTACCAACCTCCAAACACACCAGATCTCTAGCATGATCATTTCATCTTCAAGGCTGGTTATTATCCATTTACTCCAAGTTCCTGTGGCCCATCCGTACGTGTTGCCCTCGAGCTAACTGTATCAAGTTCTTGTGGACGATTTGGCGCATCTAGTTCGTATTTCGGTCCAGAGGTTTCCTGTGCTTCAAGTTCAGTCGATGATTCCCGCTTACTTCTTCTATGACGCCATAGGAAAAAACTTCCTAGTAAAATAATTGATACCCCGACGACACCACCGACAACAGGACCAGCAATCCAAGCGCGATTCGCAGGTGTCGCTGGCCCTGGATCGTGTGCTGGAGAATTCATACTTGTTTCTTCAGAGTGTTAGTCGAAGTACAGATCTTTGAACACATAACAGTTACCATTTGGAGCCTGTGCTTGTCCAGTAGGCAAACTAGAGTATGTCGTGGTGAAGGTAAAGGTCGTTAATTTTCCACCAAGTGTTTTTGTGATTTCAACGACTGAAACAGAAGGAAGTATTGTAATATTGGTTGTAAAAAACCAAGTCCCAACTACACTCCCGCCCGACGTCACCGTATCTAAGTCAGCGTTAATATTTAAAGACGTGATAGTATAGGTAGATCTCCAGTGAACCTGCGCCGGAGCTCAATACATACTGCAAATATGTTAATAACATAGCCAAGACATTCGACCAATCGTTAATCATTGTATAGCGTGCTGCTAACATGAGAATAAAGATTGGACATACCGAGGGAGTACTTCTGTCACAACCGGGTAAGATGTGGTCAAGGTGTGGTTTACCGGGATAGGAGTAGTTGCGTTGCAGTAATCCACAAATTGATCAAGCTGGCTCAAAGACGTTTCGCTTCCTCCGTTTTCCTCGACACAATTGTAGCAGGATTGCAAGTAGGTGCTAAAATCCGAATCTGCAGCACATAAGGCCGGTTGTTTCCCAATTCTTTGTGCCTCCAAGTATGCATTGTCTAGATATAAGATCAATATCCATCTACTAGAATTCCGCATTGCCAGTTAAGTGACACATACTACATGCGTTATAGCAAGCTGCTGGAACATCATCACTAGCACGTGAGAATAACGAGAGCACTTGCGCAACTAATTTTCGTGAGCTAACCATGATAGAGTATGGGGCTTTTGTAGAGTGGGCACAGTGGTCCTAAAGTATGTATTTGAAAGAAAGTAAGAGCAGGCAAGCCAGGCGAGATTCAACTACTTTTCTTCTCCAAATCGGCAAGGCTTCGTTTCATTGATTAGCTGGACTTGGTGATGCATCTAGATGATAGTGGCAACCGGTGGGCCACATTTGGTGGTGTCCAATCTGCATCCCGTGCAGCGAACTATGCCACCACTCAATCTACTGCAATGCCACATCCATATACATTTTTTGGGGTCTGACTATATTTTCACTTGGCCGTCTTTCACAGGTACATAGATCTCCTCGAGTGATAACTATGCCTTCGACTTTAAATAAGCCATAGCCATGAACGGTACCTACATGATTGCATACCTTACGTCAGTTGTAGAAGCAACGCTCTAACCTACAAGTAGTACCCCCAGTCAATAGAAACCGGCATTATGTAGACGCTCAAGTGAATTTTGCCTCTAAATTCCAGGTTGGCGACAGCTGAATATTGAAATGGAGGGTTCCGCGCATATGATATAAATTAGGTAATGTACAAATGTATGGATGTTGGAATTCTAAGTCGCCCCTTTTTCTCATGGAGGCCGTTTTTATCTGTGCAATTACGGATGAGAGCCTTATGCTTATGTTGTACAAGAAACGCACATGCATGCTGACAACATATGATATTGAAATTGAATATTGGTAGGCAGCCGATATTCAAGACAAAGAGGAAATAGATTATCAATTAATCCCAGTACCTGCAGCCGCATATGGCCCCCAAAAATTCATGTCTCCATTCACAGATCTTGGCATCGCATTCGGACACAGCTCGGGATGGCTGGCCGGGTGCTTGATACCACCAAACCCGCTAATCAATAGGATAGTGTTACGGCATGTCGTTAAATATAAGCTCCTCAATGGCACTGCACTATCTAGGTGTTACAAGATCATGAGTATGAGCTTTTAGAATTTTAAATATTTTTCCACAGTATCTACTAATATTAACAGAATATGAGAACGTCGGCATTAATAACATCGGACATGGTCCAATTACCTACTAATCGCATAATGTTAGGGTCTATGAGTAGAGAGCTAAATAACAGCTAGTTATCTGCAGCTTGTATGTTATCTGGGACGAAATATAAAGGGCCGAAAGCCCCAAAGGGCTTTAGGAGAGGGATAGGCGTTAATCAAAATCTTTTACTACATAATACATGCTAGCCAAAGGCGAGCTAACTGCTACTCTCACTCACTCTGTGACAGTCTTCAACGACGGGCCTACTCCTGACTCATATATTTATTGAAGGCATTTCTTTAGACAGTGACCTGGTGGATCGATGGAACAGGTGCAGGAGGGCTGAACAGTTGGTAGATAATTAGCATAGGCATATGTAAAGGACTTAAAGCTAGAATTGACATCTGCCGCCACTACTCATTTAAGCGGATGGTCTTAACATGGATGTCTTACAATGTCACCAACAACTAAGCCTTTGGACAAAATGGTATTGTTCTCTCCATTTTAAAGGACTTATCCGCTCTTAACGCTGATCTATGTGGCATTCGTTACTAAGTTTTCCGCCATAGCGTCGTTGTCCTTGGTTCAAAGCATCACAAAGCCGCATACCTTTCTAGCAAGTAGTTTTTACCAGTACGGTATTAGGAGGTAAGATAACCTTATATGATCTGATGAACCAGGCCCAAAATATTGCCTTGAACCATTTGTTCCAGCGGCAATCCTAGTCTTGGTGGAAATAGATCTGTCTCTCAATCATTTTAACGCTTAAGCTAAGACTTACACATTATAGCGATGCCTTCGCTGAAATCCAATGGATAACAACTATAGCACGCTGTACTATGTAAAGTTGTCTTGAATTGTACTATCTCAGACTTTAAGCGAAACGTGAGAAACTTTTACGGGCGTCGAAAGAGGTTTTGAAGACTTTTAATTTCCGAAGTCTCTCTAAACAAGTACCTTTGATGCGTGCGCTTCTGTTATATTCAACTCTCTTCATAGAAAAGGAGAGAAATATTTCCATCGGTAGCAATAAACTTCAAGGGGTTCCAATATCGTTCCGCTATGGAATTCACGTTATGTTTACCCCACGTTATTTGTGGGTATTTTATGTATCGTGATGCGAGGGGCCTAGATATTACATACATACATCCACTCACTGGGGAAATGGGACTAGCAGCTGTGGATCTTCCATAACCGAAGCAATTTTCGGGCCAAATCATGCCTGTGTCGATCTACTAGCCTGGAACAGGAGTTTGTTTCATGCATTGTACCATCGACAACGTCCGAGCGCTGCGGCAACCCCTGTCTAGTGTGTAGATAATTATATATGCCCCTGAGATTTCCTGCAGGTCTCACATCACTTCATTGTTTTTTACTCAATTGACTTGTCAACTTGACTACGGAACTATATTAACTTTATCTATTAACACACTTCAATAGAAATACAGCATGGTATATTTAATACCCCTATATAGAAGAGGCTTAAATGGACTCAGCTAACTTGAATGGCTAGGCCAGACACTTGTCGCCGGAGGAGATTCAGGTCTTCAAGGACCTCTTCGACTCATATGTAAGTATCTTTCTTCAAGTGGAAGACACGCGAATCTGACTTTTCGTAGGACGCAGACAAGGGTGGTGAGTACTGTCTTTTGGATATACTGGATCCAAGCGTTGTAGTCAGTATGCGCACTGTCGTTTAGAGCTGACGAACTCGCTAGGCAATATCAGTGTTGAGGAGTTCACGAAAGTAATGTCTCAGAGTCCCGGCAAAGCACCAACAAAAGAAGAGGTAGCGCAAATCATTAAAGAGGTTGACCTCGATGGAGACGGGCAAATCAACTTTGATGGTAAAGTCTCCTAGGCCCTAGCGGGTGCTTCACGTTAGATCCTATGAACTAATAGGTGACAGAGTTCATCACTATGATGACTGGTCAGCCATACCCGCCTCCGGATGAAGAATGGGTTAAAGCCTGGAAACAATTTGAGCCGTCGCTGAATGGCTCAATTACACAGAGTCAATTTCGACAAATAATGGCGGACTTGGGAGAATCTGTCACTGATGCTGAGGTTGACAAACTCATCAACAATGTAGATGGAGAAGGGAAACTTAGCTGTAAGTTGAGGCCGTGTCTACGACCAGAGTATGACGAAGTCGATTTACTTACTGATATCCATCCAGTCAAAGCATTTGTGCACTTTTTGAAGAGTAGGAACTTGGAAAATGATATTCTAAATGGATATGCTTAATAAACACGCGCATCAAGCACTGTCGACTCTGATCGTGTATCTAGTATGGTAGTTCAGTTGGACTAAGCTTGCACAGTAAGGGACTCAACATGAACGACATGCCTAACGACTGGATACATACCACTTGCCAACCTCCTGATCATGGTACAATTTATGCAAAAACGGTTGAACAAGATTAATAAACAAGTTCAAGATATTCAAATTGGTCTAGTTAACCTACTAGGTAGGTAAACATGGTGTTTGATATTTGAAGGCGAAAGATTCGAGTTAACCGCTCCCCCCTGAACTATTTTTCTTTAGCCTCACCTCATGAATCCCACGATCAACTGTTTAATTTCACTTTAAATACCTATCAACCATATCATGGAATACCTAGTCTATCACTCTCAAACCAACACCACCGAACTCAGCTCCGCCGACCACTCCTAATCTACCTCAAGCGGGATAAAAGCCTTATAGGTTTGCGAAGATGTTGTCGATTCTCAAGTTACCGACAGTCGAGTAGTTCGCGACGTATCGCTCACCCCACGGCTGGAGCTGGTTGTCTACGCAGATGGTTAGCTTTGGCACTTCAGCTTCGAGCCATATAAGACTTACCGTATGTCTCAGCCGGCTTCGTCGCGCAGATGTAGATGAAGGTATCGTTAGTGGCCTTCTTCAGGTCGTCGTCAGGGAAGACCGAGATGACGTCGTTGAAGTTCTGGAGAGTGATACCAGCACCCGCCTTGTCGTAGTCAACGGCGATACCCATGCCGACAAGCTGGACCTCGGGCTCCTTGTAGTAGGAGATCGTGCGAGTGGTGTGGAGGGCGATGGCGTCCCATACAAGCTGCGTGCGGCGAGCGTCCCAGTTCTCATCACCGTACTTTTCGATGAAGTTTCTGGCAGCGATGGCACCGTCAACTTCGAACCGGTGGTCGTAGGTGTAGACCGGGGAGTTGGGCGACGTGTCCCAGCCAAGGTCGTGTAGGATGGCGCCAATAGCTTGCACCTCGATGTCGACGCTGTTCTTCAAGGTCTCGTTGGCGTTGATGATGATAGATCCGAAGATCCAAGATCGCATTTGATGCTTGTAGACAGCTTCGGTGCTGTGGTTGCGAGTGTACTCCTGAGCCAAGCGGACAATAGGGGTGTCGATAACAGTGATACCGGCAATGGTGGTGTTCGGGTAAGGCGCATTTGCCAGAACCGGAGTGCCGGCAGCCGGTTTGCTGTGTGGGTAGAACGGGCCAACAGCGGCTCCGGACGCGAGGCCCGTCGAGCTGGCGAGAAGCATGAGAGTGTTCTTGGTGAAGTGCATGTTGATGATTGTCGATTCGAAGACGAGTCACGATTGATGTTGGTGTGTTGATCGATAGTGAACTTCAAGAAATGTTCGAATTTTGCATCCTATATATACACTTCGTGCCTTCTATCTGGCTTGCCATTATCCCCAACCTCATGCCAATTTGTCAATACCCCGGACACACCAACAGACTGTTACGCGGGGTATTAGTGTTACCAGCCCCTGACTAAGATGCACCAGTCTGTCGACATGGAGAGAATAACCCCTAGAATTCGGATTATATTGGACAAAGCCCAATGCCATAGTAAGGAAATTTTAGAGAACCGTGGTAGTAGTCCAAGTTAGTAAGTGAAGAAGAGCTGAGAGGGGGAGTAAGGCTAACTGCCTAATTGGTGCGGGATATGATCTATCCCCACAAACGTCTATTGGGTAGCATTGAGATTACTAGTGCGCCCGTGACGGAGATATTTCATACCCTGACAAATGTGACTTACTATATGTCCGAATACCTCGCATATAGGCAAGATTCTGGGAGGTAAGCGGTGGCTTACGGCCGGAAATGATGGTAGTAGCCGTACCGTGTATGAATTACTAAATACAACAATGAAGATTCTTGCCAAGTGGGTATATACAGTAATGATTCCCAACACACTCATATCAGGACGACGAAGAACTAGGAATCAAGAAAGCCTCACACGGCAGTTGGTGTCTGAATACGGATTAGTCCGCTTGGTGTATGAGTTAAGCTTCCTAATCCACTTTATTGCCCCTTGGCCCTACCGAAGACCCTGCATAAACTCGCCGGCATGGTGCTTATCTTGTCATCGATTGGTAGGCCCAAGCCCATCTAGTGCGATCCACTGGTCTTGATAAATTTAGATGAGAATCTCGGCGTCGTATATAGCAGCTATGGGGTCTGCGATATCTTGCGTGCTCCTTGCGTGCTCCTACCTACCACATTTACTCTCGAGTCGTTGAGGTGGCGGGCCCCTCTTATAGTTCTACAGTGGACTTTGTTTATAATGATATATTTATAAGACGAGTCTCTATATCGGCTTATTGAAAAGATCTCAGGAACAAAACTTGACGTCAGATGTATCATTAAAATACATAGCCACTTTGCCAAGGTGATATGATTTAACTACCTACCTAGCTGGTATTCATGAACTTCGCTGTTAGATTAATTTTTGTTTTGTTGTTCATGGTAGATCGCACGATCTACTAGCCAAGTAAACAAGGTATCTATGTTCTAGACATCTCTGGTCTATTCAGACGGCCACTTGGGTCGACACCAGGAAAATGTCCTAACATCATGAAACACACAAAATCTATCGAATTTGTTTCTTCTAAAGAATACTGTACTTCTTGGCTAAAGACTATGTTGGTATAATGTATAAGGCATTGGTTAAGTTACTCCGATTGGTATATAGTATATGTCGTATAAAACAATACGTACCTAGGTAACCCCTTTTTACTGTAGCCTATCTATCTGCCTAGGTCCTTGGCCGATGTGCCACCCCAACGGAAAGGCGAAGGTATGTACCACAGCCCAATCATGGGCGCATGACTACGGGATAAGGTAGGCAGGTAGATTCGCAAGAAAGCGACGCGTCACGAGGCTCAGATTGCAGATCCAATGGTGCATCGAAGTATGTTGAGCCGCAGTTTCATGTTTAGAAGAATTCCAGCAAAGACCGTACCTGGTTTTCCATCAGATAGCTTGTATCATCTTCATAATCACTAGACTACTCCTCACAGATGGCTCGTTTGTGCTGCTCAGATATATAAATTTCGGAGAATACTTCTCTACCCATCATCGTGCTGAGCTGTTCCTCTTTACTTCAAAACTTGACGTGGAGAGGAATTTAGCTTTGGAATCAAGAAAGTAACATATCGTTGAATGTGAAGTGGGTATCGCTTATCATTTCATACAATGTCTATCTACGACGTGCTCATCTTCGTAGCATTCGCATCGGTGTCTATGTCGATCACGTAGACGGTGCTAGTCCGTAAGTGATCAAAGCCTCCACAGCAGATACGCCTACATTCTAGCTTCTAGGAAGCGCTACTGACCTTAGACTAGCCTTTATCTCGTGTCTATTTGTCATGTTCAACGTGGCGAAGACGGCGAATTCTCTTGGCTGTCGTGGGCCCCTTACGCAGTTGGGAAGTTTCCTTCTTCTTGGTATTGGCAGATATTCTATTTTTTTATTCAGGTCGATGAATATGTGAGAGGCACCCGAGTTCGTCTCATGTATCATCGTCCTCTTCTGATCTTCAAGATGGGAAAGCTTTACGTCAAACTCGGGAATCTTGGCGGTCAACAGACATTAGCGTGGAGTTGCTCTAAGCCCTGGTTGGTAGATTGGGCATGTTCTGAGATTGTTGTTGAGTCAAATGGGGGATTGATCGTTCCTTGCAGTAGTACAGATTTTATATAAAGACTTGGGTCTAGGCCAATGTTATTTTGAATCCAGCTTCACTCGTGTGTGTATTCGATTCTTATTCCCCTTGATTTCTTCTTGGACTTGACTCTCCTTTATCCTTACCTAGAATATACAGAAGCGATGGAACAGAGAGTTCCTTTAACCCCTGATTCTCCTATTCCGTTCCAATCGAATGGTCTGTCAACCCAGGCCACGTCAATAGGGCAAGGTGCTCCGGAGGTACACCCCGGATATGGGGTAGATGATGAGCGTCATAGTTTGAGTGTGAGCGGAACGCAGGTCAACTCGCCGGTCGATTCAATTCATGACGGCAAAGAAGGTCACGATGTCGAAAAGGTTGATGATCTGATTGGTGCCGATATTTATGATCCGAACCGGCCAAAAATTCATTTCTCTCGGCGCATGTAAGTTAATATCTCTCATTTCTTCGTTTATATAAGGCAGATAGATTCCTGGGTTTCTAACATCGAATAATACAGAAAGCACTTTACCTGGGCTTGGTTCACCCTGTCAATGAGCACTGGCGGGTTAGCGCTTCTGATATACGCCCAACCTCACCAGTTCCCTGGGCTCCGACAGATTGGATTTGTCGTCTACGTCGCCAATATCATAATCTTTGCATGCATCGTTGCTGCAATGACTATGAGATTCGTACTTCATAAAGGCACATTTATAACGTCGATCACCCATTCTCGCGAGGCCTTCTTCGTCCCGACCATCTTTCTTGCCATTGCGACTATCATTACGGGAACTCAACGTTATGCAATCACGGAAGAAAGCACATCACTGGTCTGGCTCATCTCGGCTCTCTTTTGGGGATACGTGGCCGGGTCTTTGTTCGTTGCAATTGCTCAGTACAGTTACGTGTTCAAAACCCATGATCTTGGTCTCCATACAATGATGCCGACTTGGATCTTGCCAATCTTTCCGATCATGCTTTCGGGCACGATTGCCTCTGTTATTGCAGAGACTCAACCCGAAATGAATGCAATTCCGATCATCGTGGTCGGCTTAACCTGCCAGGGGTTGGGGTTGTCTGTGGCGTTCATGATGTATGCGCATATGGTGGGACGTTTGATGTCTAGAGGTAAGCTTGCTATTATAAATCATACTGAAAAGCTATTAACTAATTCACTCTTAGGCATGCCGAACCGTGAGCATCGAGCAGGTCTGTTCATGAACGTTGGTCCACCGGCATTCACAGCTTTGGCGGTCATCGGTATGGCGAATGGACTGCCCGATAACTTGGATATCAACATGGGTATGGTGCTGGATATGAAGGTAATCAGACCGATCGCGGTAGTGGCAGCTATATTTCTCTGGGCCTTATCACTATGGTGGTTTAGCATCGCCACGGTATCCGTTGTCCTTTCGCCGCCTCAATACTTCCATCTGAACTGGTGGGCGCTGGCGTTTCCGAACACAGGATTCATTCTGGCTACTATTTCCATCGGAAACGAGATACAGCACGAAGGGATTCGCTGGTTTGCGACCGGGTTATCGATCTGTCTGCTACTCACATACCTTATCGTGCTGTATAACTTGGTTCGGGCTGTTGTCATTCAAGACATTATGTATCCAGGACGTGACGAAGACGTGCTAGATGGCACTGACACTTGAAACCAACGGCGAACAAGGTGCCGACAATTCGTCCATTCTGCGGTATAGGTTGAGGGACCAAACGACGCTACCAAGAACAAGGTTCGGGAATAATGGAAGGAGGATGTTGAACTGTAGAATAGAGGTTTATAGAGATTAGATGTTAGATGTTAGATGTTTGTAGAAGGTAGAAATAAATTAGAGTGTGTGGGGGTGGGGCCACGATACAATTGTTTTTGGGGGTTGATTAGTGCGCCACCATACGCTAAGTCTAAAGCGGAACGATTAGATAAAGCTTCAATTCTCTCGTGCCCAAGTAGTAGGATTATTTTAGCCGAGCTTTGATTGGATGACCTCACCATTTCCATTTCGCCCATTTTATACTTTGCGCTTCTCACTTTATTCTGTTTTTTGCACTTTTCTCTCTCTAATTACCAATTCTCCTTCGATCCTTTTAAAGAAAGGATGTCGACAATGACCCGAAGACCAATCTAAACGAGAACCCCACCCGATTTCGACCCATTCAAATAAGCTATACCTACTTACCTTATATGTCGCATCCATTGCAGCATACCTGAGATCATGGCCAGTCGTCGAGTCGCGTTGAACCAGACATCCCTCATATGCCGCTCTCTCAATTCCACAAGACCGGCCCTTCGTCAATGGCCTAGATTTATTGGTACGTCAGGGAGAGATGATGTGGCCGGACGTAGACGTGGAGGTGCTGGAAGATTCTTTGCTGGTTTGTTGGTAGCCTTTGCGGCTGGAGGAGGAGTTGTATTATACAACTCCCTAACCCAACCACCTCCGAAGCCGCGTGAAGCAACTATAGAGTATGAGAAGGCCCGACCAATTGCCGAGTCCAAGGAAGACAACCGGGATATAATCAGCAGTCAGCATCTCCAAGTGAAGAAGAGTTGGGAGCATCCGGGTGTCTATGCCTGGGGTGCTAACTCAGGCGGAGTAGCAGCGCCCGACTCAACAGATCAATCTGTGAAAACACCTCGGAGGATGCCTTATTTCGACGGCCAACTTTTACGGGACATGAAGCTGGATCGTGACTTTGGAGCCGCCGTGACCGAGAAAGGCGATCTGGTTCAGTGGGGCGCTGCATTCTCCGAGGACCGGAAGCCAGTCGAAACATTGAAAGGGAAAGACTTAATAAAACTTGAAATATCACGAGATCGTATCATTGCCCTTGGAAGGAGTGGGTCTGTTTACTCGGTACCCGTGGCGAAATCAGATCAGAGCGCCGGCGAGAAAACTCACCAATCCTCTTGGCTTTCATTCTGGTCTCAGCCAGAGAGGATTACCTACCGACAGCTCAAGCCGCGAAACCTCGGATGGGATGAAAGAATCGTAGATATCTCTAGTGGCTTAGATCATGCTCTGCTTCTCACATCACGGGGGCGGGTATTTTCCGCTGCTTCTAGTACATCAAACTTCCCTTCTCTCGGCCAGATGGGTATACCCGGTCTGACCTGGACCACACGACCCAAAGGGCCGTATGACGAACCCCAGGAAATTCTTGGATTAAAGGGATTCAAAATTGCGAAAGTCGCTGCTGGTGACTATCATTCTCTAGCGCTCGATACCGATGGGCGCGTCTTCGTATTTGGTGACAACACCTCAGGCCAACTAGGCTTTGAAGTAGAGCCTCAGATCCCATACGTTGACGGTCCGATACCACTACCCTTTAACAAGATCTATAGCGGCTCGGGTCTGCAGCCGCGGGTAACATCGATCGCTGCTGGTGGTGCAAATTCATTCTTTACAGTAGATGCGAAACGGATTGCAGGCTTGAAAGAGGACGCCGACTCTATTAAAGACTTGGGTCGAATAACGGCAGATGCTTGGGCATGCGGCTCGGGTATCTGGGGCAGCTTAGGGACGGGCAAATGGACGCACGTCTCCCTTGGCCCTACGAAGATCAAGCCGCTCTCGGGGTTATATGAGTGGGATGAAAATACGAATTCGGTTATCCCAATACGCCTAGCTCGGTTAAGCGTTGGAAGCTCTCATGCTGCAGCTGTAATGGACAATGTGACATCCGTTGATATATCAAGCGCGAATACGGATAACGAGACGAATTGGGGTGCGGATATATTGTTCTGGGGTGGAAACGAGCACTACCAACTAGGCACCGGCAAGCGGAATAACATACCCATACCGACCTATATTGACCCTCTGGATGGCGGAGAAGGCGACGAAGCGAAGGGACGGAGAGGCGAGCACCATCGGTTTCAAATTACGCCTAGGACGACAGTAAGGCTCGGGGAGGGCGGCAAGGGAAGAAAAGTCAGTGTAGAACAGCGAGTAGAGTGCGGTCGCTTCGTAACCGCCGTTTACTCCGGGACATAAAAGTTATTTGGACGGATTTCTGTGGATTTACCGCTGTATGTATATCAACGCCTGGTCGGATAGAGTGGGAGGTGGGCTTGGGTCTTGGACTAAAGATGCTCAGTAGAGCATAGGGTCCTCCGCTCATTCGGACCTATATAGATACCCCCTTCTCAATCTACTGTATAAATGCACGTGTAGTCATAGCTAACATCCATTGTATAGCTTCCTCGGCACAAATTGCTACGCCGAGTCTGACTCTCCCAAAACCGCGTGCTGTGTGATTGACCACTCGGGTTGAACTTGGGCCGAATGCGCTACTATTATGAAATATCTCTAGGTGTGTTTTCCGTCTCTAGGTCATCATACATATATGTCGCGATGCTCCTGCTAAACGAATGTCACTGTAGTCTTAAATCAGTGCTATGATTCGTGCCATGCCAGACGCTTCCCCGCATCGAACCTCCGAACCCTCAAAGGAGGGTGTTTTGATACTCGTCAAATCCAATCGCTTACCAGTCCGCTTAACTTCCAAGGTTTCCTAGAATGTTATCCGTTTGTTCACGTCGAACAGATTGTGCTGCGCTTCATATTCACCACGTTTCAGTCGTTACGCGCCTAGAATCGGATCTCTTCCCGACAGCTCCGCCTCTTTCTCCACATCGCTAACCTCCTAACTGAACTGGGAGCATCTGCCTAGTACACTAGCACGCCCCATCGTCCAAGGCAGCGAGATAGGATATTGCTATATATACATCAATTTCCAAGTCGTTGGCATTTCAAGGAACTTCTCACCTAAAAAACGACGTCTGATAGTCACTATTGTTACGATTATGTCCTCAGTTAATGTACATCCGAAAGCTCAGCCAGATTGGAACAACCTCAATGTCCTCCACAGAAACACCCTTCCCCCTCGAGCCAATTTCTATGTATATGACACCCAGCACGATGCTTTGAACTATGATGTTGCCAAGTCTAATACATACTGCTTGTCGGGCAAGTGGAAGTTCAACCTTGCTGCCAACCCATTCGAAGCTCCCGAAGGCTTCGAGAACCCTGATTTCAATGCGGCAGGATGGGACGACATACCTGTGCCCAGCATGTGGCAGCTTCATGGATACGGAAAAGGTCCCCATTACACCAACGTCAACTTCCCCATACCCGTAGATCCTCCCAACGTCCCATTCGAAGATAATGAAACCGGGTCATATATCAGGAAGTTCGCTGTCCCTGAATCTCTACGAGAATCACAGCTTCGCCTGAGGTTTGAAGGTGTAGACTCTGCCTTTCACGTCTGGGTGAATGGAAAAGAGATTGGATATCACCAGGGGTCACGGAACCCTAGCGAGTTTGACATCACGGACATAGTCGACAAGGAAGGCGAAAATACCCTTGCAGTTCGGGTTTATCGGTATTGCGATGGTACTTATATCGAAGACCAGGTCAGTAACACCATTGTTCACTTCCCCCGTTCAAGTTTCCCGGGGTGCGTTGACCTTGGCCCCGCCCTCTCCCCCTTTTCCATGGAACCCCTAGTGTTCATAGCTAAATTAATCATCAATCCGCAGGATCAATGGAGAATGAGCGGAATGTAAGCATCATTTCCCTTTGAGCCGTTGATCAATCTAACCTCCATAATAGTTATCGAGATGTTTATTTAGTTGCGTTTCCGGCCGAATTTCGTGTTGAAGATCTATTCGTTCAGGCTAATTTCATCGACGACGAATACGTCGACGCCATCCTCAAAGTCCGAGTAGATACCACTGGTTCTGGTATAGTCCGAGTTGACCTTTTCAACCCTGAAAAGAATGAAGTTCATGGTACCGACTTTGCAGAAACTACTGGTCGGGAAAGTAATGAGTTTGCTCTCAAGTTATATGAGCCATACAAATGGACGGCAGAATCACCAACATTGTATCACCTCGTTGTTTGCTTGGAGAATTCCAGCTACGTTAGCCAGCGAGTGGGCTTCCGACAGGTCGAAACGAAGGACGGGCTAATTAAAGTCAATGGTCAAAGAATTGTCCTTAAAGGGGCAAATCGACATGAACATCATCCTAAGTTTGGACGAGCCGTTCCGTATGAATTCATGAAACAGGACCTCCTACTCATGAAGACGCATAATATTAATGCCATACGGACTTGTCATCAGCCAAGCGATAGTCGGCTATATGACCTCGCTGATGAATTAGGCGTATGTTTCTATAATCTCCCGCACTCCCACATTTCGCTAACGAGAATAGTTCTGGGTTATGGATGAAGCCGACCTTGAATGCCACGGCTTTGAGTCTATCTGTAAGCTTGACGCCTTCGAATTCTCACATAACTATGTATTCTAACCTGAATACAGGCGATGCTGCTTTGTCGCCCGCAGATAGAGCTCTTCCTTTCCGCGAACGGCAGCTTCTGACGCGGAATAATGCAGCCAAATGGACTTCGGACAATCCGGCTTGGGAAGAGGCTTACGTGGATCGCGCTAAGCAGCTAGTCCACCGTGACCAACTTCATCCTTCCGTCATCATCTGGTCTCTCGGGAACGAGGCCTTTTTTGGCCGGAACCACAAGTCAATGTATGACTGGATCAAATCATATGATGACAGCCGGCCCATCCACTACGAAGCCGACATATACGCCGAGACCATGGATATGTATTCGATGATGTACCCGCCGGTAGAAACCATTGTTGATTTTGCCAAGGACACTTCCAAGACCAAACCCCTAGTTCTATGCGAGTTCATTCACGCGATGGGAAATGGCCCTGGCAACATTAAGGAGTACATCGATGCATTTTACGCTCATTCTAAGCTCCAAGGTGGCTTCGTCTGGGAATGGGCAAACCATGGCCTCCTGACTAAGGATAAGGAAACCGGAGAGGAATTCTACGCGTATGGTGGGGATTTCGGCGATATCCCGAACGATAGCAACTTCATAATGGATGGAGTGCTTCATTCCGATCACACACCCACCCCCGGACTAATTGAGTATAAAAAGGGGTTGGAACCGATCAAAGTCATTTCCTACACGTCCGAGACCGCTACAATTGTGAATCGGTACGATTTCAATACTCTCGATCATCTCGAATGTAGTTACATTATCATGGACGAAGGCCAACCAGTGTTCTGTGGCACCATCGATCTTCCTTCTGGCATAGAACCCGGACAGACGAGCAAATTGAGACTTCCTTCAACTCCCGCTAAATCGGTTGGGGAACTGATACTACAGCTGTCCTTTCGCCAACGGTCTGAAGACCCGTCGATACCAGTCGGATTCGAAATCGCCTTCGAAGAGATCCCGCTAAACATCTCATCACCTCTCACAACCCAACTTAAACCCTCAAGAAAACTATCCACCACCGAAACCCCGACGCTACTAACTATCACGTCTCCAACCACGACATGGACCTTCTCCCCCATCCTCGGTAAGCTACACTCTTTGACAAAGAACGGAGTCGAGTTCCTCGCCTCGAGCCCCGAATTCACCGCGTACCGCGCCCCCACCGATAACGACGCCCCGCAAGACGGCGCCGACTGGAAGAACAGGTTGCTCCATCTCGCCAAGACACACACGCGCAGCTGCACCTGGGGCCCCGCGGAAGAAGGAAACGTGTTCGTGGTGTGGACGGAGCAGCGATTCGCGCCGCCCACGCTCTCTTGGTCGATCGCGCTAGACATCACGTACACGTTCGCGGCCTCGGGCGCGCTCGCGATCCGCGTCGAAGGCATCCCGAAAGGAGAGAACCTACCGCGCACGCTGCCGCGGATAGGGCTCGCGATGGAGTTGCCCGGTTCATGGGCGGAGGGGAACGGAGACGAGGCACCTGCCGTGTCTTGGTACGGCCGCGGCCCCGGCGAGAGTTATAGGGATAAGAAGCTCTCGCAGCGCGCGGGGCTCTACGAAGTCGCTGCCGTGGACGAGCTCTGGACCGAGTACGAGTTTCCGCAGGAGGGCGGCAATAGGACAGATACGCGGTGGGTTCGGTTTGCGCACGTCGGAGGCACGGCCGTTAAGGCGCAGTTTAGGGACATGCAGACCGGCGGGAGGAAGTTGTTCGACTTCAATGCTTCGCACTACCGCGTCCGCGACGTGGAGGCGGCGAAGCACCCGCACGAGCTGAAGAGGAAGAGGACGGATAACGTGGTGCTCAGGCTGGATGCTGCGCATCATGGCTTGGGGAGCGGCTCGTGCGGGCCGAGGACTAGAGATGAGTATGCTTTGTTAACGGAGGAGTTCGAGTTTGAGGTCGTGCTAGAGTAAATTGTCATAAACTAAGCTAAGGAAATTATTTGCGCGGCTCTTATCCATATCCACTCCGTCCCTCGACGCTGAGTATGTCATGTCACAATCCCCAGCCCCTCATCCAACGTGCCATATCACTTTCGTCAATTGGCTGCAGGTTGGCTGCCGTCTCGCTTACTCGCAATAAATTACCCATCTCTACTTTAGCTAGTTCACTCTCGTCTGCCAGCATAGTCTGCTTATAGAAGTCAATGAGTTTGACGGCAGGGTTCTGGTGGAGCATATGATGTCCTCCTTCGCTCTTCTCTAGCTTTTCGACCCACTCGGAAACAGAGACGATAGCCAGAGGTCCAACTTTGACGATTGTGGGCAATAGCTTTCCCCAGCAGGTTATCGACGGGTTAACGATATTGTACACCTGGAATCCTGTTGGGTCGTCGCGGCTTGGGGTAATGCCCACAATTTCGGTGACAATGCGGCCTAGCTTATCGATGGGGACCCAGTTGATCTCAAGGCTTCCGAGAGAGTCTGGGGCGGCCCCGAGGAATTTGGAACTTAGGACAAGAGAAGGGACCCATTCTGATATGTTCCATACACCATTGCCTGAAGAAGGCCCACAGACCTGCCCTACTCGGAGAACGGCGGCCGTTTGCCCTGCAGCTGTCGTATAACTGGCCAACAGGCGCTCACATACATACTTCGCTCGAGCATAGCCTTGATGGAGCAGTGCTCTGGCTTGTTCTGTATCGAGTACGGCTTCTGGGATTGTTTGCTCTTGTGTGTTACCTACGGCTGGTATCGCAGCGGTGATACTTGAGATGAACAGTACCGCCGAACTATGTTGGCTGTCAGTAGCCAACCTGAGCAAGTTGAGTAGAGATTGGAATTGTGGCTCAAAAGACTGAAGACCGAGCAAGAAGTTAACAGGAAACGCGTTGTGGATGATGGTCGTTGTCTCCCTTAAAAGCGAATTATAGTCTTCTTTTGATAACCCTAGCTTCGGCTCCGCGAGTCTTGCTTGAAGGATGACGACCCGCTCGTCGTCGACTAGCGAACTTGGCAGCCCCTGGGACTTCAACGAGGCAGATTGTTTTCTGGTATCTCCATTTCGATTAAGACAGAACACTTTCTTGACGTCACTTCTGGCTAGCAGCGAAGACAGGATATGCGATCCAAGAGAGCCTGTCGATCCAGTCAATACGACGACCTTGGGGTTATTGTTGCTCTCTCCTATCTGCACAACCTTGTGCTTGACGAACCCCTTGAGCTCAGCGTCGTACTTTTCCAATAGATGTATCGTCAAGTCGTCGATATTGTGTTCAACAGCCCCACTCGAATGCTCTGACATAGCTAGCACCTTGGATAGGGTTTCTGCTAGTTGACGGATTGTTGGCGATGTGTATAGTAATTTGTTATTGACGAGCTGCAATTTCTGTTCTTCGACGCCGTATTTCCTCAGAGCAGCCTTTAACCGGGCCAATAGTACGAAGGCGGAGAGGGAATCGAGTCCAAATGTAAACAGACTTTCATCGACGTTGATGGTACTAACCTCGTCATTATCAAGGAGAGATTGGGAACAGACCTCCCTTAAAAAGGGGGTCAAGTCTTGAGGCTCAATCGACAGCGGAAGGGATATTCCACTGGTTAGCAGGCCGTCTTCAACTTCATCGTAACGTCTGCTGATCTCTTCCTCATAAACCTGGATAGTTAACCTGCGCTGAATAGTACCCTTGCCGGCTCTCAAAAAGGGCTTATCAGGTGTAGCAACCAAAACCAACTCCTTTGGCACTCGTCCAAACTTGGGTACCTCCATGTTTGCATCCTCAATGACTGGCCAGATTGTCTCCAATGACCGATCGTCTGCTCCTTCCTTTAGCTCAAGTAGTAGACATAGTCTAAAGCGGTGAGAACCTGCCACGATGACACCAGTGACATCCGGATGCGAAGCTATCTTGTTCTCCATTTCGGTTGGATCCATCTTGAGGCCATTCGACATGGCAATCCAGTTATCGGCTCGGCCTCTGTATATCCACCACTCATTCTTGTCGTCAATGGGAGAGAACAAATCAGAAGTGCGAAATTCCTCTTCAATATGGGGATGCGTATGGAAGAATGCGTGGGTCCGATTGATGAGCTCAGTCCGTGGGTAAACCAGCTCGTAGATCCCTGGTGTAACTTACTCCATCCGTTGACCAAGCTCGACGAACTTGAAGGAATTCCAACGAGAACTATTCCCGGAAGATACGAATCGACCAATGCCGCCTTCGGTGCTAGCTAAGAGAGAGAACAGATGCGGTAGTTTCTTTGCTAAAGCCTCACCACGGATCGGGTTTAGAGGCCCGCCTGCGTAAGCAACATGCTTTAGTCTAGCTAGCGCGTCCACCCCAGGCGAATAGCTGAGCATAGACTCTAGGATGGACGGTGGAGAGGCACTGGCTGTGCATTCGCCATGCTGGAGGATGAGTGTGCAATTCTCCGGTGTTAACTGGGTACCAGGCGCTGGGAGAACTACCGTGTTCTCACAGTAGATAGAAGCCAGCGAGGAGGCAATGCCGCCAAACTAAAGCTACTGGTCAGTAGTAGCCCATTTGCAGATATTTATACCTATGAAGCCTTACGTGAGATAATGGGAACGGAATAAATATGTTGGTGCCTTGGTAAAGGTCTAACGTCAAGTTCTCCCCACTGCCATGCTGATCTGTGATAGACGTGTCCAGGAACGATGACAGTGTGGCTAGCGCCGAATGATTCCAATAGATGGGTTTCGGATTCCCCGATGTCCCTGAAGTGTGAAGTCCCATGAAGTTGGTGGACTTGATATCATCGAAGGACTTCTCAAACTGGTAAGTCGGTGAGATGTCCTCATGCAACAATTCCGCGTATGTCGGAGTAGGAACATGTTCTACATATTCCCGCGTTGCCACCAGGAGAGGATCCAACACAACACTCGCTTCAGGGGCATAAAGGAGAGTCTTAGCTCCTACAGTTTCGATTAACCGTTGGTTTGCTGGAACTTGATTTGCCAGTGATGGAAATACAACCTAATATTTACCTACATTAGTTATCATGTCTTGTTGCCGTTCTCTTCATATTTATATTTTATAAATAGCGATCTTACTCAAGCAATATCATGAATCTTGAAAACTGGGAACCTTTGTCACTTACACACTTTCCAGTTTTGATTGCTGCAATGACCCATATCAGGTATCGGATATCGCTAGGTCCCATATAGAGGAGTTTCTCGTCCTCGATTTTTGACAGAAACCACGATGCTCTATTGGATGAATTCTCTATGTCAAAGAAGCTCAATTTCCGGAGTATAACATCAACACCAACGATAATAGCGTAAGGCCTTACCCTACGCTTCTTCCGTCTAATGACATTGGGCAGAAGGTTTTCGGTTGTCGTGAACATTTTGCCGATTTTCTTGGTACATGAGAAAGGAGCTGTTCTAATGGAGGAGGGTTAACTGGAAAGCCATAGATATTATATAGGCAGGTAAGTACGATTCTGAAGCAAATATACTGACAAAGTGGGTGTATATCCACGTCAACGCCTTACAACCAAGTTGTAACTCGAGACCAATCAGATCTCTGGAACCAGATAGACTCCACCTCACATCCATAATCTCAGGAGCGTGTCAGCGCTTGTAGATATCACTAATCACCAACTGAAGACGCACTACCCTCGGCTGATTAATAAGAACCCTGCTTGAAGCTTTATTCACGTACTATGTACGCAATATTATCATCATGATATAAGACTATTCCCTAGCAAGATGAATCAGCAATCTAATACACAGACGCCATTCAACATAGGGGGCTCATACCTAGGCAAGTTATGACATCTTATGCCCAAGTGCGTAAAAGAAATGTTAACCTAGGTACCTATGTTAAAGGGTCTAACGTTCAACTGACTAAATTAGACCGCAATCTTATGCCAGAGGGATTGTACGCCTTTTTTTATATTGAACTTAGTCTCATAATTCTATCTTTATAGAAAATATATATAATAGATATCTAGATACTTGTGGTAATTAGTCATCAGTATTTTGAAATAAGGGGAGACTCAGGTTGCAAATCCCTATTCCATCTGTGAATATGTTCAGGAATCAATATGTCCCAGAGCCAAATGACGCTCGCCGTATATTTCCACAGTGCTTACTCCAGGAATGCGATCGCCTTATATAGTCCCCGCAATTCCCATTCCGCGTTGAAGGGAAAAGCATAGTAGCTCACGCGGCTAGCGGCAAAGGGTGTAGAAAATTTCGGTGTCCGACAATCGTTCGACTTCCGTTAAAATAGTTCCGAAATTAAGGGTGGTTGGGTTGTTAAGGACCACGAAAACTCTCCTAGCTCGTACATAAATGTTAAATTACCGCCGAGCACTCCCATGCCAATGCTAAGGTGTATATGGAGGTAGGAGAGCAGGTTTGGGTGGCCATGCGACATCAGGGCCACGCTGCCTTGATAACAACAGATCACCTACCAGTTCAGGAGATACATTTTGGGATATCCCGATGAATGGCTTCTTAAAGAAGGAGTTAAATATTGTAATTACGCACCTTTCCATCTTAAGTCCTTTAAGCCCATCTGTGCCACCACAAGACATATACCCCATCTTCGTGGGTCAGTACGATGTAACCAATTACAACAGGACAATGATATGCTAAAATCGTCGCTTACATATCACCCGCGACACCGCCATACGTGATTTACAACTGGGGGGAAATCATGATCCATTCTCCGAGTCCGGTACGCACAATGAAGAGGAGTGTTTTGTGGGAACAGGCATATAAGACTGGACACTCTCCAGTCGATGAAAATTTGTGCTCACCAAAACAAGACCAACACAACAAAGTCTGAAAAAGAAATCACATCTACCTATATTATAATATCAGAAACTCATTTGAAGCACCATGGCTCCGTCTCGAGAACAACTCCTTAAACTAGTGAACCTCTTCATAGAGGCATTCAATGAGTTTACACCTGAGTCGGTGGTGAAATATCGCAGTCCCTCCTGCCGCTGGCTGTTGCTACCCGAGTCACTCGAGACTCCACCGCAAAGCAACGACGAGTATGCGAAGCTGGTGGGCCGACTTCAGACTCTGATGCCATCATTTCGCCTGTCCATGGTTGAGGGCTATGTACCAGCCGTCGACGTAGTTACCAGGAAGGTCACGCTGCACTTGAAGTCACACTCCGAAACGACACTCGGACTGTACCAAAATGAATACCTCTGGGTTGTAACGATGAACGAGGAGGGTACGGAAATAGACGAGATTCTCGAATTTGCGGATAGCTTATATACACACGAGTGGCTACCGAAGATAAAGGACCCACATAACTGATGAAGCGGCTGCGAAGAAACAAGGTTATAGAAAGGATCGAACAGTTAAGGACTGGAAGTTGAGTAGTATTTATCCACCTACCTACTTATATGTATCATTAATAGACGGAAAACCTATCGATATTTAAAGTAGGGGTTGGAAATTGTTTGGCATGTTGTGGTCGATTCTCAATATCTCACTGAGACCAGCGCCTAAGGTTATCTAATTACCTAGTTAGCTGACGGGGAAATTTTGAGCTTTCAGGAGAGATCTCACTAAGCAAGCTAGCTATAGCAATGTCGTCGAATTTGACCGCCGTCTCCTCATCTCAGCCATTGTGTTTAATCTAGTAATGGGTTGTTACTTTATTGGACTTTATTCTGGTGTGTAGGTATTCCCCATAAAGCGAGAGAAGCACGAAATTAGACCATTCTTTTTGGGCATGATCAAGCCCTGTATTTGATATGAATACTTGAATTCACGACTTAATGTTAATTGTCCGACGTTCGTATAAAAGACGACTAGAATTCCAAAGTTCTATGAGCGGAAAGGGAAGTAGTTGGTATTAACTTCGAGGATCCGCTATATATAGCACAATGGGCCCTCCGTCGGGACTAATCTAGCAACTCATGCTCGTCGACACGCACCGTAGCCGGATCCTCACCTGCTAGTAGAAAAAAGAAAAGATTCGAAGGGCCTCTTTAACAAAGATGCATCGGGAATTGAGCCCGATGCGGGGGTCGAACCCGCAATCTTGAGATTAAGAGTCTCACGCTGTTTTCGGCAGTCAGTATCGTTTGTTCGAGAAAAGGCAGTATGAAGATGAACTACCTAACCTCTACCGATTGAGCTAACCGGGCTGATTCTGGACTAACCGGACGATGAGTTACTCCTTGCCTAATCATAAATTTTATACCCTAGTTTTACGGCAAATTTTTCATGACTAATACTGTCTGCCTACTTGCCGTAGAAGAGTAGAATGCGAGAACAAATCGTCTAATTAGAAAAGGCCCTGATACTATATATACGACTTAGAATCACTCCAATATGCATAGACTCAGCAGGCTAGGTATTACACGATCACCGAATAGATACTTTAGATCACTGGTGCTCATTCCACCCTTTGATAGTTTCAGCTGATTGAATGGATAACCCGGGAATGGGGATATAACATATTGGGCAGAAGAGAAAAGTACATCACTTGGATGTTATGGAAAGGGATTGGTTTAGGCGATGCATATAGAGGTATATTTAGGTAGTAGGTAGGGAAGGAAGTTATTAAGTACCTAGGTTGGAGAAAACAATTCCAAAAGTTGAGCAATATAGGACAAAACCCAATATTGAGAAGGACCTTCTCACACTTCTCCATACTTATTTTCACAGCAAAGAGGTAGCACGTCCATTAGGATTCTAAGTGTTACAACATATATGAAACGTGGAGTAATATTTGATAAATCCTCGTTGCGAATCTTGTTGAACACGTGGATAGGTACCTATTTCTCTACATTCCTAAAGTTAGGAAGTGTTTTCCATTCGAACAGCCAGTTATTACGAGGACATATGAGAAATTCTTTGAAAGAAAGAATCAAACAAACTTTATAAGTCTCAATGAGCTTGGCGTAGTATAGGTAACGATTGCTAGATGGAGTATTCGTTGGTATTATGTTCATATATAAGACACGGTGGACTATGTTCAAGCGTTTAACTTGTATATGTGTAGGTACATTATTCATAGCAGTGACATGCATTCACTGTTTCCTTTATGGGCGTTAGTAATTCTATTTGACATTAGACCATCATGACATTTCTCTGTAACGCGAGCATACAGCTAGATATAAAATTATGATCCTATTATCCAAAAATCTGGGCGGGTAAGTTTCTAGTGGGTGGGTGATCTTCGATCTGGAAGGTCTCGTTAATATAAATATGCAAGATTCGTACTACATACTAAATATATGACATATGAAACTCGATGATTGCATAGGGGTTTTCCCACTCGTTACTCGTGGTAATTTCCAAGATGTCGGCATCGTCTACGATGGCAATATAAGGACGAGCAAGGTGTTTGTCCCTGTCGATCACGGGGGCGACAATGTGCGATGGGGTTAAGGAGAGTTGTGCGATTCGTATTTCCCATTTCCCCACGATATGTGGAGGGTGGGAATTGATTCTTGAATATCGCCACATGTGGGCCCACGTCTCCCTCTCGTGACAATGTAACACTTCAACGTCAAGGGCGCCATCACCGAGTGGAAACAAACAAGAGACTAGGTACGTATGCAGAAATATGGTTATAGCAGTGATGTTTATTATGTTTGCATGAATTAAGATAGGAGTCGTAGATGTTTCAAATATAGTGTACAGCGCCGACGAGGTTTACTAACTAGGATTGAAACATCATGCTTGGGAATTTACCAAAAGTTTTGATTGATTCGGGTATTGTCGACATTGATAATTGGAAATATACCTACCTACAGGCAAGTAATTAGATTAAATATGCCAGTATCGGCTCGATGTGTTTATTCGCAAGACTTGAAAAAGTGAGGATTTCCGCTTTTAGCGTCGTTGGTTACATAAGGAGTTCCAAGATGCCAATCAGTCTATGTGGTGAGATTATCGTGAATGGGCCGATGTAGATCCGCGAGGTTGATCCGTAAGATAGGTGCGTCACGGGCTAGCAAGGGCTGGCGACGGATGTATGATTGCTAAATTAACGAAAAGTTATAGGTGGTAGATAACGTCGATTCCCTCCAAGTCCTAGATGCGCGGACACGGCGGACACGGGCGTCTTTTATCATCGCCAGATCTCGCCGCTAGGATATCCCTTCTGGGAATTATCGTGGGTACGGAGGTTTGACAGTTGGACAATTGGACAGTTGGAGAGTTGGACATGATTCATACGGGATCCATGAATAGCCATTGTATTCTATGGGTAGCAATAAATAGGATGACATGGTGCTTGCGCAGGTTGTGCTTGATCATCTGACAGCTAGCACCTTCATCTCGACAACGTAAAAGTCGAAAAGTCGAAAACCAAAATGGCCAAAGCAGAAAAGAGCCGGGAGTGAACCGGGATTTATTAATCCGGCCTAAGCTTTCAATTGATCGCGATGACCTGCAAATCTAAGATCAGGAGATTCGCACCCCCGAGGGTGAACCCAGTGAGACACATACGCTTAACCCTCTTTGGACTGCGCATCGTATGACTAGCTACGGTGATGCTGGGTAATGCTAACAGGGGTAGAAGATTCAGGGACCATCAAAACTGCAAGGTTTGCTATCAATTCACGCCCTCTCTCTCATAGCTGAGGTGGTACAGGGCCGCAATTGGTCAAGTCTATCTTTAGATCCACACCTGGAAGTGTAACGCGCAGGGGAAGGTCTAGCCCCGACCAAAATAAGAAGAAGACCCCTAGATCGGCAAAGATACATTTGTACGATGTTAATCGTTGCTGCCGATTTCCAGAGGGTGTACTAGGGCCATCGATCGGGGACGCAACTCCCAAATCTGAGAGTGAAGCAGAGAGGCGACGCTGGGCGGTCGAAGACCCAACCCTGGGCCCCATCTGCCTTCCGTAAATCTCGATGCAAAATACGATTTTTCTCATGCGCCCCTTCTCAAAATTTAGGAATTTCTCCATATAATGGCAAGAGCAGCATCTACCGTAACTAAACGCGCGTTTATTTTTCTTAAACTGCTATTCCTTAAACGTTAGTGAAGCTGAAGGTTTTTCTTACTGCTACCATTTTCAACCCACATTCACACGATTCTACGATTTCACGATTCCCACGATCCACGATCCACGATCCAACCAAATCAAACTCATTGAACGAGTTAAAACGATTTCCCTGACGGAGCACGACCGCATCACCCGCATCAAACCTTCTATTATACATACTAATACTACCGGTCTACAAATCCTACATATTCTTTGCTACCTTACCTCTTGGACATTTGACTCTCCCACCTTCATATACATCCATACATCCATACACCCGTCTGGTCCCATTCGATAATACCCTTACTCCATTCGCCGGGACCCATCCATCGCCCAAGTCAACCAACACGAACTATACCCTAACTGCCTAGCCTCTCTAGACAGAGCTAAACTAGACCAAGGGACTTTACCGTAGGTATGACGTTGTATTGTCGACTTTTCACGAATCCAGCCCCCGTTTCGCTTACGGCGAGCCCTGCACCTCAACGACACCTCGCAGGCATGCTTCTACTGCATTCTTCTACTCCCCTAATAGTTAATTTCGTCGGCCCGTTCGCTACAACTAAATACCTATGTACATGCGCCTGTACCAGCGAGCTACCATGCGCCGTCCACCCTGCTCCTCACTTCCAAGCCTAATAATATCATTTCCCCGTTTACAAGATTCCGTTTCAATTAATCCTTCATATTTTAATAGCCACTGACTTTCTATGAAAATAGAATATACTTCGTAGCGACTATGTTGTCGCCTAATCTCTTCCACCTGTTCATATGATAAATTGAATTTTTTACTCTCCGAAATATTACCAGTAAACGAAGGTATAAGTCGATGCGAGCACGATGCCCGATTCCAAGAATGTGCCGGCGGCTTCTAGGCCTCCACCTATCACATACAAAAATCCGAGACGAACCTCGGCCGAAACTTCAATCACTCTACAAGCGCACCGCCTAGCTAGAGCACGACATGTATCTCCTGCTGCTGTTTACTCGATCCCAAGAAGAAATTCATCGGGCGACAGCAACGAAACAAAACAGAGCGCTAAGAACTGGTTTGAAGCTTCGAATCAAAACGCCATGGCCAACATGGACACTAGAGCAATGGACCTCGATCCTCCTTTTTACCAGAAAGAAACCGATGACTCCAATGAAGATGGAGTAAAGTTTGGGGTATCGTCACACAGTCCGGCATACGAGTTTATCCAGAGTCGCCTGCCAGATTTTCGACCTGGGGTAGACTCGTCTAACGAAGAGTTCCGTTCGGTCATAGACGACCTCACTGTCGAGAACAAACGCCTAAAGGAAGAATTGAGGAAATACAAACAAATGGGACCGGATTCGTTGCGGAGAGACAAACTATTTGAGGTCAAGGTCCACGGTCTATCTAGCAGGAAGAAGCGAGAATTAGAGGCTGCACTACGCGACTTTACGACCGGGCTTGAGGATTCGAGTACCGGAGCCTCTCCGGGCCGCAAGAAGACCTCTAGCAAGTCAAAGAACAATCATTCATCGCTATCTAAACATGCGTCTTCATCTTCGGGCACCGGGTCGAACTCGAAACCCGTCGATTCGGCTTACGCATCTATGTCAACCGGCCCGAGTTCGTCCGTCCCTTCGCTTCCCGGCCAGGCCAAAGCTGCGCGACAACGAAACGAGCAGAAAATTGAAAATTATCTACGGGACATCCCGGAAGGTCTATGGCCGCGACCTACTATCATGACCGAGAAGGAGAAGAAGAAGCTTGTAGTCAAGCGGCTCGAACACCTTTTTACAGGCAAGATGGGTGACCCGCCCCAACACGTTCAACTATCTCTGGTACCTGAGCTCATTGATGAAGACGTTCAAATGGAAGGAACCGACGACAAGTTTATGCCTCCAGCACCTCCAACTACTGATACTACAAGAGAGGCCAAGATCCGACCGCGCCAGCTGAGACGGAAAGAAAGCAGCTCGCGCGACAACGGGTCCGCATCAAACTCACACTCGCACTCCAATTCCCATTCGAACGGCGATCAGACCGAACCCAGGGACAACGGTAACGGCAGCGGAAGCGGTAGCGGGCATGCGAGCGGTGCAGGGCGTGGTAACAACACGTCACCTCACATGGCCATGCCACCCCCTGAGCAGCGTCCGACGAGGCCACGCGACTTGGACCCTGATCGCAGACAGGTACCATCAGAGAACATGGATTATATACGTCATCTCGGGCTGGTAGCGCCCGAATCGCAGCAGCAGTTTTCTGCAAGGGATGTATCGCCAGATGCGGAAGGTTGGGTATATCTGAACCTGCTGTGCAATTTAGCGCAGCTGCACATCCTGAATGTTACCCCGGCTTTCATTCGCAATGCAGTATCGGAGAAGAGTACCAAGTTCCAACTTTCGCCAGACGGGCGCAAGATCCGCTGGAGAGGTGGAGTCGAAGGTACAAAATTTAGCAGCGACAGTGGGAGCAATTCCCAGCGTAACCAATCAAGTGATGACACGGACGGATCGAACGATCAGGAGCAGAGGAAAAAACAGAAAACTCAAGGGTCTGGAAATGACGTCACCGCGCACAAACCTTCGAAATTCGGATTAGGCGTGCAGGATTCCAATTCATCCGAGAGTTTCCACTACAAACCCTTATTCGTCCACCAGCAAACATCTTCTTCCGACGAACAGCCATCCGCGGGCGACGAGACCGGCTCGTCCTATGGACCGCCCGAGGAGAGTAATTTGGGTATGAATTCTCGTTGGGGACAGAGTGGTATGTCGGGGGTCTCACCACGCAAGCGCCGTCGCGACGGTGCAATCATCTATTACAGTGGGGCGCCCTTCTGCACAGACCTCTCGGGAGATTTTGGCGAGGGGGAAGAGTCCCCCGCAACGTACGATATGACATCATCGGGTGACAGGGGTAACCAAAGTAATCAGGGTCCAGTCAGCCTCGGCATCAGCCGTCCACAATTTAGCCGTTCTACCTCAGGATCGTTGCTACCTTTTAGACCGCTCAGTACTCTACCCGGTTCTCGCGATGCATTGATGGATCTGGATGGACATGATCTTCCAGATCTAACCTCAGGTGAGACCGACGATGACATAGATGCCGATTTCCCCTGGTCGGAATACAGCCAGCATACATCACTAGTGAATTTAGAGGCAAGTGGTTTAGGTGGTATCTCTCCCGAAGATCATTTTGTCGTTGTCGTATCAACGCGACGACCGAAGCGGCCGCGTTATGACGAAGATAGTGGTTCCGATGACGACGATGGCGAACCTCCGACGAGGCGATCGAGGATTGTCGAGCGCCCAAGCCAAGAGACGACCGACTCAAAAGTCACGACAGAGTGTATCATTAATAAGTTAGCTACCATGACGACCGGTTCACCATTGCCATATCATATCACAGATATCGTTGCGCACCCGATTCGGATTGATTACCTTAACGGCAGGGTTCGTCGCCTACCTCCTGTACCTCTGCCACCTCCCGCCTTCTACTTCCCCGCCGGCGATTCCGACCTCGACGATGATGATGAAAGCGCCGACGATGCCTCCTCAGAAAGTCTAATGAGTAGGCGAGCCATAGTAGAGGACGACCCGGGTTCAGATGTTGATCTATCTGGGAATGATGAAGAAGATGAGCATTCTGACGATGGCCGAGGCTACGATGCTAGTGGCAGCATTTCGCCCGATAATATGGATGAACTTCCTGATGTTAGCGAGTTTCAGCGAGGTCGTAGCGGAAAGATCTCGCAAATATCGAAAATGACTACCGGGAGCTCAGCAGCCACTGCTGGTGGGGCTCCAAGTGGCTATAATAGTAGTACGGAAGAAGACACTTAAAAGTACCGCTAACTCTTGCTGGCGTGTTCACCTCTTTTCTGGGCAAGCGCCGAGTGGCCTCGATGCCTGTAATAGATTTATTTTGATTTACATCATTGCACATTTATTTGGCCGGCGCAATGGTGGGCGATTCTATTTCCATGATATCAGAGTACTTTACGTTAGGTAGCGATCAGAGGGAATTAGGTGTGGAGAGAAACCTGGGACTCAGGTTAAATGGCTCATTACGTTAGCATTCTGTGGAATTAGCAGGGGAACAATGAGACTCCAATTCATGATTCATACCATTGAAGCTTGCTTTTACATGGTTTTGGTGATTCCGCAGTAATATCACGTACCAGAGGATATGAATAGGACTAGAAATTTGACTACAGACTTCTGCACATCAGGTCCACGGATGATTTTCGATAACGACTGCTTCAACAATAGTAAGCTACCGATCCCGTAAATACTGAGCAAATTAGGAAGACAGGCGATTGATAAGTCGATTAAGTCCCAAGCTGATTTCTTAAATTCTTAGTCGCTGACTGCGGGTGCGCGTGTTAGTACCATCATCTTACCCACCGCTTCCATCTAGAATCCTACCCTCAGACTGCCATCACATTCCGCTCACGTGTCGAAGACCAGCTACTCAACAATAGCCTCTTTCCTGGATCACGTTGCTAGAGGACTTCGAATCATGGGCGACACTAAGATCTAATGCCGAGGCCTTCGCAGGCTAAACGAGGGCTGTAGGGCTGAGACCAAGCTCTTTTTAGGTATAGGATCTACATAGCACGGACACCAGACGCCGATATGGCGTATACCTAATTAGTTAAGGGCTCTCCATAGTAATAAATTAGAGAAGCAGAAAGGACTAAAGAAAGCTAGCGAAGCCAAGGGCTTGCTCTGTTTAGCTGTCGTAATTAAAGGCGAAAGAATTCGGCGTAAAAGGAACATGCATTCCAGAGTCAAAGTTTTCAGCTCCAAGTCTCCTTCAGCCGTTAATGAGGCGCTCATGCAGGACCGTTACTTAGTTTATTAGTATCGCCATGTCCTTGATAAGTTTCATGGAGGTCCTCAATAGCGGGGACTATCACGCATCGACTTTACAAGTATCTGAACTGAGTCATTCTTTAAACAATATTGAAGTTCAAAATGGTACTTCCCAAAACTCTTGCTTCGTTGCTTTTCTTGCTTGCCACCAAAGATAGCGTGGCTGCATCATCTTCAATTTTGGCGGACCAGGTCAAGATGGATTGAACAGCTTGCTCATTTATGCGGGGTTGAAGGGCCTGTAAGTTACAAGGTCCGCTCAAACATGTCGACCCCCTAAACTAGTGTAGCTTAGAGATGTGTTCACTAATACTCATACTGCATAGGACTACTGGAGGTTATCATGACCTTGTCAGTTGGGATCTGGAAGGCAATAATCACCCACTTTTTAACGTATCACATTATGTTTCAGCAAGCTAACATCCAGCACAGAGGAACGGGCAACACTCTCCGGTTCTCACGTTAGCCGAACAATACCACAGGATATTTTGACACTCTGAGGACCGCGCTAGCCGGCTCCGCCGACACGGCTGCAGGAAAGCTCCGGGCAGAGGGCCAGATCATAGCAGATCAATGCTACAAGCAGCTCAAGGACACCGGCGATAAACTCGGAATTGCATTCGCAGCCAGGGACATGATTGTCCGTCGTCGACGCCCTAGGCGAGGGCGGCAAACTGAATTACCGGGGTAAAGTCCCCTATTGCACCCGATAGGTACCTAGGTAGTCGCCTACGCGACGTTTGGCTGACGAACCAGTCGAGGGATCTCGGGTGGCACGGCGATGGGGGGGGCGACCGTTCGCCGCCATGTTCCCCGATCGCGTGGAGAGGATCGTCCTCGGTGGCGTAATGAACTCGCACCCGTACTACAACTCCTTTGTACGTCCCCTTTCCCCACCCTCCACCACGACATCCGAGAGTCCGAGCCAGCTCATCAGGTAAGTAACGAACACAAGCGGCGAGCCGGAGATGATCGCGTCCACGGGACGCCACTTAGGAAGAGTTCATGCGGGCCTGCGTCGCGGCGCCGGAAAACTGCGCGCTGGGCCGCAACAAGACAGTGATGGCATAGCTCTTCACCTTCTTCCGCAATATCCCGCCAGTGTACCGGGACGCGTAACGTAGTCGAGTACACGCTCTCCACGAGCCGGATCTACAAACGCCTCGTACCGGCCCTCGTTCTTGGCCCGGCGCTCGCCGACGCGCCCAACGACATCGTCGCGCGCGGCTCGCTCGACCGCTTCGCGGCGTTCGTGCGCGACGGCTCCGGCGGCAACGCCGTCCCGCGGCGGGACCAGGCGATCCTGGGGATCCAGTGCGGCGACAAGGTTTTACGGACGGGCGATCTGGCGACCTGGCGCCCGGACCTTGACGCGTATAAGAGGGCGAGCAGGTGGTTCTGGGATTGGGCGTGGGGATACTACCGCACGTTATGCCGTGCGCGCGGTGGAAGGTCGAGCGAGGCTAAGGAGCGGTACGAGAGCGACTTCCGCGTCAGAACCGGGTTTTCGATGTTGTTTGTCGGGAACATGTGGGATCCCGTCATGGCGCTTGTGTGGGCGAGAAATCCGGGTGATGGGTTTGAGGTGTGTGTATTGTTGATGCGTGATGGTCATGGTGTGAGTACTTCTCCTTGTACCTCTTTGCCTACCGTTCATATTTCGCCCCTTTTTTGAACTTAGTTTGGTAGGTATTGGGAATGGGTACTAATTGTCGATGACCGTTTAGCATCTGTCTCTGACACAACCGTCAAATTGCACGAACGGGTACATTCGGGACTACTTCCTTGAAGACACGTTGCCTTCGCCGGGACCAGTGTGCCAGGCTAATCTTCCCCTGTTTTCTACTAGTAGTTAGGTAGATCAGGCGATTGAGATGGTGACATTTATTCTAGAGTGTTAGCTTTGTTCCTTCTGAAGAACAGTGACCCTAAAGTCAAAGTATGTCCATAGAGCTGGATAGGTATCTGTCATCTACAAGCCATATCCCATTCGTTATGTGCTGTTTGCAATGTAAATCGATCGCATTGAATAAATCTATCTAAGTAGGAATTATCCCTGGCTCTGACCATAATGCATTTCGCATAAAACATAACGTCAAATCATCCCGCCCTGTACGTCAGATACGTCGAATGGCACATGCCATGTATCTCGTCGTTGATTTGCCATCCGTCCAACCCTTTTACGCGTCTCACGATTTCTCCTTCATTCGATTGAGGCAACACCTTAGCCCGTGTAGTCTGGGTCGTCCGAATCCTCGACCTCAATTAGACCCTGTGCCTCGTCGAGAAACGACTCCATAGCCAATTCTGTATCCGTGAACGGCTCCACGTATTCCCACGACTTGGTGCCATGACCCGTGTTTGTGGTCAGCTTCAAGGTCTCTAAAACCTTGAGATTCTGATGATAATCTGAAATATCCATCGGGTCCCAGAGACTCTCACGTAGAAAAGGGTTGGCTGGAGTTCCAGTACTTGTGTTTGGAACTTGGGCGTTGATAGTTTGCATAACTAACAAGGCATCGTCGCGGTTTGCCACCCATTTTTCATGAGTAAGGAAGGCATGGACCAAGTTTGGACGAGGCCGAATCTTCGACATGGACTCCAGCTTCCATCCTTCAGGCCAGATGATACAATGGGTGCCTTCGGTTCCCAGAAGGAGATTGTAATAATCTCCCATCGTTAACCCGTCCGGAAACTCGAACTGGGCTACAGCTGATGGTAACTCCGCGGGGATGCATGGCACCCCGGATCTTCTCACTTGCCAGCGAATCTTCGTGATCGGTGGGCGGCCGATCTGCATCTTCTTCCATGAAGCATTCGGCTCAAGCCATCGTTGCTTCAGGTGAGGACTCATAGACAAGGCGAGAGTCGACGCAGAAAAGATACTGAAAGCAGTATCTGAAATGCGTAACACCCCATTACTGAACAAAGTGTTGAAGAGGGTATCGACAACGGATGCTATCAAGAGGTTCTTGTCTCTACTTTGATGAGCGGATGACGCCGGAATTGGCTGAAGAAATAGATTGCACTGGATCTTAGCAGATCCCTCGATAACTGCTTTCCATCTTCTTGATACTCTGTGTGCGTTGACGAGGATATCACGATTGTTGAGATATAGAAGAATGCCCTCAAGGATTTTCGTGTCTTGGAAAACCTTTCTCGGAGCAGAGCCCGAAGAGACTGAAGAAGACATTTTCCTAGTCGACACAAGTATAGGTAGGGTGGGATTGTGATGTAAGAAACTTATGTGAAGTAACCATAGGATATTTATCAACGGCTTGATTTAGTGAAGTTGAGGAACTGGGATTGTGTACAGGAAAGAGAAAACTGGGAATTAAATATGTTTCGAACGTCCCTCAATGCCAGGCACACAGTTCAAGTCTACAGAGTACTTACTTGAATTCAAGCTCATCTCATATGTCATAGGAGATCCAACAGAGGAAACTTCATCTTCAATCTTTAGATGCTGAAGAGCTATTACATAAGGTGAGTCATACGCAGGAGTGTGTAGAGTCAAGATAGTTGAGGGGGTTAGTTTCTATAAGGAGCTAAAAGCTCCCCTTATTGACCTATCAGATTGCCCCGTTTTACCTGATTTAACTACCATTGGCCCATTTAGCATTAGACTCGATATTTTAAGGATGATGTTGAAAGGACAGAATACTCGGGAGCAATCATCACCAAAACCGAAGTGGGGCCGCATTTGTGGGTATTACGGATCCGGGTGGGGCAACCCGGAGACTAAGGCAACTTTAAACAACAGGTGCAACTTCCGAAATAAGCCGGGTGACCTCCCTTTTGTTCACATGAAGGAAAAATTTGCAGATTATTTATCCGCATATGAAGCAGTGAAGCAGCACTAGTTAGTTAAAATTGCTCATTAGAAAATTGCCCAATGCACTTCCCAATACTTCTGTCTCATGACTCTCAAGGGCCACTTCTCAAGGGGATAGTGCCGAAGCTAACATGTTAGGAAGATACAGAAGATGTAGCATTCATTCCTATTCACATGTCTCTCTCTCATATCTACTAGCACCGTGAAAATTCGCTCATAGATTGCTAACAAAGTACAATGGTGAAAACTCTGAGTCTTAACTCCTGTGAAAGATAAGCTTCGTAACGACCTCCGTAGAACGAAATCGCAACAGGATCGGGGAATTCTCGTAACATAAGCACTGCAGATTGTCGAGCACAGTATACGGATAATATATAGCATTATTACAGTATTAGGCCCTCTATGACCTGTTATAAATGATCACACGAGTCTACCATCGAGATCAACCCAATGAACTAGAAGCTATAGTGAACGCAGCTGCTTGTAGCGCTATGTTATTTCCTATGTATTCTCCTCCACGCTTCGGCAATCTTGCCTTCGTGAGTGATACGTCTACTTCAAGTGACCCTTTGGGTCAAATACAAACAAGCTGAACCTGATGATACTAGCAAGTCATTATATATATGGCAGATGACTTCTCGAGCTCTTTACTCTTTCTTCTCATGCGGGGTGATGGTGTGGTAAGCATCATCGGCGTCATCTCCTCTCTTCTCGTTATGCGGCGTTATAGTATGGTAGGCGTCATCCTATGTCCTCGTTAGAATGCTAAGTGGATGGGCAAACATCACGCAACTTACAGCATCATCACCACGCTTCTTATTCTCATGCGGTGTGATTGTGTGGTAAGCGTCGTCCTACACATAAGTTAGTACTTTTCTTGATTTACTTAGGTATGGAATCTTCTGAGCTCACAGCGTCATCGCCGCGCTTCTTTTTCTCATGTGGCGTAATTGTATGGTAGGCATCATCCTTAATTTGTATCAGTATTTTCCTTACAAGTTGGCCCACTGGGTACACATACAGCATCGTCGCCACGTCTCTCATGAGGAGTAATGGTATGGTAAGCGTCATCCGCATCGTCTCCCCGCCTTTCGTGGGGAGTAATGGTGTGGTAGGCATCATCAGCATCATCCCCTCTCTTTTCATGCGGCGTTATAGTGTGATAAGCATCATCCTAGATTCAAGTTAATAAGTAGCACTGGTAAAACTCCAAAGGGTTCAACTTACAGCATCGTCGCCACGCGCCACGAGGGATCCAGTGTCTATATCCAAGTCAATATCTTTGCGTCCAAAGCAGGTACTCAAAAGAAAACTTACTGGCACGAGCTACTGGTGCTGTGAGCCCCTGAGCCACCAAGGTAGTCCAAAGCGCGAGGATAACTGAGGTCTTCATCTTGAATATGTTGAACCTTTTTAGCCTTGTTTATGGCAGCTATATAATACTAGTATTTGCTTGATTATGCGTCAAACCAGACTTCTAGTCTTTGAAGCAGCGATGTGCATATTTATAATAGTTCAACTCGGATTAAACTCTTCCTTCTTCGTGAACTAAGTCAAATTACCTAAGTCAAGTCGTTGTGAATTCATCCCATCTGCCGAGTCTATCCCTCCTCGCCGTCTCTCATCTCTTACCGCTAGACGAAGGATGCATCACGATATCTGCAGTGAGACTAGAACGTGATGCGTTGAAAAATCCCGCTTGTGGAGATCTTACTTCGAGATAGCCGCCAAAACTCACTTAGGTTGGATGCAGTGGTGATCAACTAGGACTGTTTATTCAATAGGTAGGTAGTCCTGTGAGAGCCTCGTGCTATCTCACACCAGTGGTCTGATAGGAATCTATCCCCCGCATGGAGCTTATGTCAATGCAAAGGCCTTTACAATCTACAAGCATTTTCCATAACCCCGAGGGTTCGGCGAGTTACTTCGGCTTCACTAGGTATAGAATACGATGTTTGTCGACGTCTCTCTAATGCCTGCTATGATAGGACGGGTTTCTAGACGCTTACGTACGTACATGGAGATTTTATGGAGTTTTATACGGGCTACTAGATGTAAACTTAATATATCGCAGTGTATCTCGTATAATCCTTTACAGGTCACAGAAAGAGTATATCAACATTGTGTGATAGCGGACAACATCGGCCACCAATTGAACCTCGCCTGAAAATATCCACCTATCCGAGACATAGATTCGACATGTCAATCTGACACACCTACCCGGCCTGATTGGCTACCGTGAGCCTGGAGACTCCATTACCGCTACACTGCTGAGCAGCCTGTAAATGCTTAACTGAATTGCAGCATTGGATCCGTTTCCGTGATTGGTTATCCGCCAAAATACCACGCGTAGATACAGTCAGCATAGGGTTGCGGCGCTAACGAGTTCGCCCGTTTCGAAAGTATCGCTCCGCAATTCGAAGGTTTCCATGCAGGCATCCGCCAAATCACGACCGCAGATGCCGAGAGATAATAGGCCGGCACCGAGAACCCATGACATTTCCACATGCCGATCCAAAATCCTAGCTGAGAGCATCAGTCGAGACACTCCCGAAAGGGGGCTCCTCCACGTAATATCCCCGCTCGGAGGCGCGATGTCCGAGTAAAGAGCTACATCTTGATCGATATAAGCAAGTTTATACATTCCACGCCCCTCGCTGTTCGTGCCATGTTCTGACCCCGAGCAACATCAACTATGGCGGGCCTGTTCTCATCGTTCACGAAGAAGACTACCTCCTATCAGCCGGTAGTGAAGGAAGAGGAGACTCAATATCGAGACTCCGACTCCATCACTTCACCAACTGAAGGTTTCATCAGTCATGAACAGAAGTCCTTCCAGGAAGGCCCGAAGTCTAGAAGATGGCTTTGGCCCGTTGTTCACCTCTTCATCTTAACTACTTACACGATCATCTATGCTGTCTTGGTCAAGCAGGGAATTATCGCTGCAAAATCATATAAGCATACAGTATGGTCTCCTGCCTATGAAGCCGTGGTGAAAGAACCCATGGAATACCAAGGGCAGCTGAGAATAGTATCGCCGTACCAAGGTCCTCCATCCCCTGAGGTCGACAAGGCGTGGAAGGAACTTCTGCAATACTCAAATATCCGCGTATCAGGTGAAGACCTGAGGAAAGTCAATAAGACCTCGATCCCAATGCCCGGTGAGGAGGACAGCTACTGGGTCGAACTTAGTGTTGTTCATGAACTACACTGTATTGTGAGTTTTTGAGACGCGTTATTGACCACCCCCGCTATACGGATGATAAGGCTAACCTATATTATTAGAAACGACTTCGCCAGTACTGGTTCAGTGACTATTATTTCCCCAACATCACAGAGGAGGACCGTCGACTGAACTGGCTTCATAATGGTAGTTACTCCTATTTCAGAATTCATTATGTAGTCACCAGGTCTCACTAACCTTGAACCAATTCAGACCACTGCCTCGAGATTCTCCGCCAATCCGTCATGTGCCACGCCGATGTGTCCATGATCACGATGACGTGGGAGCCAACCTCCGTGTTCCCGGCCGCCGACTTCCAAAACGTGCATGAGTGCACGAACTGGGACATACTGTATGAATGGCAGAAGGAAAGATCTGTCGATCTCATGCAACCTGGCCTCTTAGTCCACCCATACCTCGGTAAGAGTTGACTGATTTCATGCTCCCTTTCCTTCGAGATGTAGTGCAGAGCTAATATTATGTTAAGGGGTACCGTTCCCTGAAGGACATTATGATGGCGTCGGAGCTGCTGACCCCGAGCACGCCATCGGCACGGATGGCGAGCTCCCTGAAGAGCTGGTGGAGATGGGTCTTCGCGAGGGCCACAAACGTATGTTGCGGGCTCGTGAAAACGATGCCTAGGCGAGCTCATATCTCACTTGGTATAGGTTTCGTGACAAGTCGAAACCAAGGAGGAAAGGTAAACCAGGCAAGGGGCCTGGAGACATGCGTTATCATAAGCGCAAGAGCAAGAGAAGGATCTAACAAGAATAATCAATTCGCATATCGCGACGGGTCTTTCTAGCAAGGTCATGGCTGGTCTAGACGACGTGAACCTGGGGTCCTTGGAGATCTATTGAAGAAGGCTGGATACGAAAGGAAGGTCGTAATTGAAAGATACCTATTTACGAACCTTGAGGAATATTAAAAGTCCTCAAGCGTTTATTTAGTAAGCCACTCCATGAAGAGTTCTAAATCCCAAGAAACATACCAGGTATCTCGTCAAGTGGCTAGTGCGGCCAAGTAATATACAACGTCTGCTTAACCAACAACTCCCTCAACGATTGGAAAGCCACTTATCAACCTCTGCAACAATGCACGGTGCTTTGCCCTTCCAATCATGCTCAGCTCCCGGGACGACGACCTGTGTTAATATATTTCGAGCGTCCTTACCCTTTAAAATGCCAGTCCATACATAATAGAATAATGCTTCAAACTGGCCCGTTACTGTGAAGACCCCGGCCACTTCCGGTTCTTTGCCGTGAAACTCGGCCGGCAGATTCTCCCATCCGAAGCCCTGTATTAGTGCTTCCACTGAGCGATAGTAAGATCCCGTCTTGTGTAGCCCGATAATAGGATTTAGGTCCACCGGGTACGATATTAGGATATAATGAGCGGGCGAAAACTGGGGGAAAGATGGACTTGGACGTGTACAGCCTGCGAATATAGCACCCGCGGAATAACCCTATGACTTTGTTAGTTATATAAAGCAGTTGTGACTGGGGATACCGAAGAAGCATACACATAGAAAGAGTGGGATGCTATGAGCATCTGGGAAATCTTTTACGTATGTAGTCATAGATTCCCGCAGCATCCGCTATATAGAGGTTACAGAATTTAGTTAGCCAAGCCATTTTCGTTCATAGCTAATGAAAAGGGGTAAAAGGTCAACGAAGTAAGAGAGTGAGAAGGAAGGGGGATATAATACGTGATAATCACTGATTCCGGCATCTCCTGTCCACGTGCCAAAATCCGTCCATTCATTCCCACCTTCACTCCGACCCATTCCCCGAGCGTTCCAGGTCACGACCCTCATCTGTCTTTTATCTCTTAGATATTCAGCGAGGAGACGGACTGGGGGTTGGTCAAATGTTCCGCCGAGTCTTCCGTGGGCAATGAGTGCGAGCCCTTGTGGTTCCTTGCCATTCGTCGGATTTTCAACTCTAGTCTCGAGCCGAACCTCCATGTGAGACGTGCCTTGACCCATGTTGATTTACTCCAATTATATTTATAAGATAATATGTTTTACGAAGTAATTATGAGAGAGTTTAGGGGCGTAGCTATGTAGATATGTGGGTCTGGTGTAAGAATGTCTCATGCCTTTAACTTCGATGGGACGGGCCACTTTCAATGCTCGAAGTATCTTCTACCCGTCTGTAGCTGTGTGGTTCTTTCTCGCATCGATGTTGCGAAGGTGAAGATGAGTAACTTCGACCTGTCATTTAGTTCGATGCTTACATGTAAAGATTAGATGTGTGAGCGGGTAGTTGCGGCCCCCTGCGTAGTTACACATCGGATGAAGGCTGTGTCTAGCAGGTAATTAACCTCAACTAGCGCTATGTCCGCTTCCGTTCAAGGTTGAAGGTATGTACGTGCATACATAGGTACATAAGTACATCCATATCAGATATACCCCTCCTTCACCTCGGTGAGCCGGTGAGCTTCAGCCTCCCCCGCCTTTAGATGGTCCATGCTCCTAAGTTAGTAGAACTTTAGAATTTATTTTTGTTTTATTTTATTTTGCTGTTCGATTAGAGCTGCACTCAGCGTCTACGCATCAACACAAGCATCGGCATCGTTCGTTAACCTTACCCCGGCTGCTTCCTTCCACAATGCGCTAAGAAGCTTTGCATTCTACAGAAAATATGTCAGCTAAAGGCAAAGAGCCAGCTGCCCAGTACGATACGAAAGCAGTTCTTCCACCCTCGAAACATGACTAACATTGAACTCGTGATCTAGAAAGGATGCTGCGCCCACGAACCCGAGAGGCATTCCCTATGCACCATTTGTCGATAAAGTCGAAGATTATGTAACCACCAGAGACGATGTGCAGTCGACTCTCCGCAGCTTCCAGGAGATGATCTCGTATGTCCAAAATTTGCAACTCGCCTTCACTACCTAAGGAACGATACACGATGCTGGCGGGGTATCGAACCATAAGCCCTACTGCAATCCATTCGCCGAGATATGGTTTTCGATGCGTTCACTCAAATTGCATCGAATGTTTGCTGATACTGGAAATCGAGCGTAGGAAATACCAATTTATGGAGTTAAATCTGCAGAGGAGAGTAGCTGGCCTGAAGGATAAGATGCCTGATATAGAAAAGACTTTGGAGACAGTCAAATTTTTAAAAACGAGGACGGTACGCTTCTCGGATAGCAGGCTACAAAGAGCAGTTAGCTGACCCTGCCTTTTCTGCAGGGAGAATCAGATCCTATCGAAACCACGTTCGAACTAAACGACACCTTGTACGCGAAAGCGTCGATACCACCTACGGACGAGGTCTATTTGTGGCTTGGTGTATGTTTGAAGAGCATCTTTCTAGCACGAATGACCAACAATCGGGACAATTTTTGACTGACGGGGACCAATACATAGGCGAACGTTATGCTGGCATATCCTATTGATGAGGCCGAGACACTCCTCACCTCTAAATTATCCGCTGCGAAGCAAAGCTATACTAATTGCGAGGAAGATTTGGATTTCCTTAGAGAACAGATTACGGTAGGTGCCCCATTCTCTTGTCCCTCGGTCCAAGACTCGTTTGGTTATTTAACTTTGTTCCCAGACTATGGAGGTTGCAATAGCACGAGTGTACAATTGGGACGTGGTGCAAAAACGGAAAGAAAAGGCGGAAGAGGAAGGCAAAGGGAAGGGCACTGAAGGTGTCGACCAGCCAAACGGATAAAGTCCTCGAATCCTTGGTGATCAAGCTCAGCCAGATAAAGTAGGACTAGACGATTTTTGGTCAGCATTCACCTTCCGTGACCGAAAGGCCTGCGAAATTACCGTATCGGAATTCGTAAATTGGCACATGTGTCTTGGTTTACCAACACCAACCAGCCAACCTCTGGATCTTACACAGTGCAGGTGATGACGCAATATTGAACCCTTCGTCTAAAAGATTATATCCCCAAGTTACGTAGTACGTAGGTGAATTAGGAGAATGATAACCTTAAAATTCATTACTCGCATTACTCTCCTAAACCTACACTTATGTATAAATCCATATACGTGTACCCCGTAATTTTATTCGAATCTTAGTGGTTTAGTTGGGTTCTATGAAGCGCAGATGTCGATGTCATAGGCTACTTGGGTACAAACATCGGATATGCGTATTGTGAGTGGCTGAGATGGCAAGGGGACCCCTGGATTACGTAAGTTTTTGGCAGGCGACCGGGAAGCGACCAGGAAGCTTGGAAGCGTGATTAAAGTTTGGGTCCCCAGATCTCACCGCTGCGCACCAATGACGATGTCCCACTTGGACATGCCCGCAATCAAACGCCGCCACTTTTATTATTATTATTATTATTTCGTATGGGCAATCAATACCTAAGAAACTCTAACCCGTTACCACCTTATCGAGTCTTTAGCAAAGAAAGCCCCGACTTTTTCATTACTATTTGCTAAGGACAACGAATCGACTTACCCACCTACAACCTACAGAACCTACAAATACAAAAACTCCTATCTACGACCGACACTTCTTAAAACATTCCTAGTACAACATTTCTTGACCCCGTCTTGTCAACTAATTTGTCAACTAACCTCCCGCCCCCCATATCCATCCATTACTCGTGTGTCTGGATAATTACGCTTGTCTACCGTCTACCGCAACATTTCTTTGAACTGCTCGATTTCGAAAGAAATCGACGCAAGCATCATCAGCAATGGAGTTAGATCCCAAGTATGACAACTATGACTACCCTACCAAGGCTCCCGTCGCCAAGCCAGGGCATCCCGGCCACTTGACCGACGCCCAACAAGCACAGGTTCATCAGCTGCGTATGATGCTCGAGACCGAAGGGTACACTAAGCGACTGGATACTTTGACGCTGGTATGTGTCCTGCAAGGCATCCGTGCCAGATAAGAGAAATTGTTATCAAACCCTATCAGAGCATCTAGAGAAAAGCGGAGATTACATCATATACTAACATATCCTTTGGGGTTATATAGCTACGTTTCCTGCGAGCTCGAAAGTTCGATGTTAACTTGGCCAAGAAAATGTGAGCCTCCTCCGCCGGGGTTGGAAAAATATTCCGGAAGTAGAAAGAATATTGGTTTGAAAGTGATCGACTGACCCTGGCTATAAAGGTTCGTCGACTGCGAAAACTGGCGGAAGACCATCCTATACGCCGGGCAGCCCCTGAAGATCGATGGTAAAACCTACAACCTCGACGAGGAGATAGCCGAGTGGGACAAGGATGGTTCCTTCAAGAGGAAGATTTCCAAGTATTACCCTCAGTATTACCATAAGACGGACAAGGTATGGAAATATCCTTCCTATTGCAGTGAGAACTAATTCCCGTGCTCACGTATGTATCTCGAAAGGATGGGCGACCGGTCTACATCGAACAGCTCGGAAAGATCGATATTACCGCCATGAAGAACGAGGGCCTCGAGTACGAGCATATGTTGGTTAACCTAGCCGTCGAGTATGAGAAGATGGCCGACCCTCGATTGCCAGCTTGTTCGCGCAAGGCCGGCCAGCTCCTCGAGACATCTTGCACCATCATGGACTTCAACGGTGTCGGTTTTAGCAACGCGCGCCAGGTCTTCGGCTACATTCAGGAAGCCTCTGGCATGAGTCAAAACTACTACCCAGAGCGTCTGGGTCGCATGTACCTCATCAACACCAATTGGCTCTTTACCGGTGTCTGGCGCATGATCCGTCCCCTTCTGGACCCTGTTACCGTCGAGAAGATTCACGTCCTAGGTGGTAACTACCAGAAGGAGCTCCTGAGCCAGATTCCCGCCGAGAACCTCCCCAAGGAGTTTGGCGGTACTTGTCAGTGCGAGGGTGGTTGCGCGCTCAGCAATGCGGGTCCTTGGTGCGATGCCGAGTATGCCAAGCCTGCTTGGTGGGAGAAGAAGGGCGATACGATTGAGAACAAGCCGTCGGAGATCGTCAGTGGCGAGGGTGCTGCTGCTGCTGCTACAGGTACTGATGTCGCTGTGGAAGGCGCCGAAGCCAAAGCCCTTGCCGCTGCGTAGAGGAAATGCTAAGTTCTAAATGTATACAAGGGGAAGCATAAGATGAGGTGAAGCGGGGAGTCAAGTCAGGCTATTCAGATAGACAGGAGCAACATAGCCCCTCGAGGGAGAGGGCCGCGGACGTTTTTATTTGATCCGGACGATCTTTCATACCCGGGCAAAATCTTATAAACGCCAGTTTTTACCTGTGGACAAAGTGACCCCATCGCGGGTACTATGTGGCCATCTTTTCTACGAAATTGTTAGAGGCATTCAGACATTGATATGATATATTTGCATTTTCCCCCATTTACATCTTCCTATATGCATCATTCTATCTCGTGATATATAAAAATGTAACACCAGTGATTATACAGTCGCTCGTAGGTCTTCATAATCCATGGATGTCTACTGAGGTGTTATTCAAACTTGTTATTTCTCAACTTTTTCTCAACTTTGAAGTCTGGATCCATCAATACATCCTTATCCACTAGACGTAGCCGTTAACCGATAAATATACTTATGCTATGGGGCAAACACCTAATTTTACATGAAGCATCATGGCAATCATCCCCTGGAAAGGCGCAGCACGTACGCTCGATATTCGCGGGATATCACCGAGCCACCGCTTCTTCGAAGTCGCAACTTCCTGGCCTTAACCCCTTAGATCGTCGCCAACTAGGTAGGCACGTGTAGCCTCTAGCCCATGTACGTATGATAACCTCGACAACTTCATAAACACCCCCTGCCTTCGTTCCCCCTCCCCCTTTTTTTTCTTTACACTGGCGCCGCACAGACGAAAAAAGGCCCCCACAGCCACTCACCGCTCACCGCTCCGTGACAACGTACTCCCCCGCGCTCCTCGCCCTCTCCATCCTAGCCACGACGGACGGCATCTCGCGCTTCAGCTTGGCCAGCCCCGCCACCGCGTCCTCGTAGCTGCCCTCGACCTCGTCCTGGCGTTCGAGGGGCTTCCGCACCTCCTCGAACAGCTTACTACCACTACTAATACTACTACCACTACCACTAATACCACCATCATCACCACCGTCCGCGGAAGCAGTGGGAGGGGCAGAGGCAGAGGCGCGCTCGTTAGCTGCGGCCAAGGCGTGCTCGTCGTCGGCGACGGACTTCCGCGCGGCGTCGGCCCAGGCCTGTGCCGCGGCGCCGGGGACGGATTTCTTCAGCGCGGCGATGTCGCGGAGCAGGTCCTCCTCCTCGCGGCTGAGCTCCTCGACGCGCGCGCGCTTGCGGGCGTCGAAGGGCTCGAAGACTTCCTCCGGCCGGAGAGCGGCGGCGGAGCCGTCACCCGAGCCCGAGAGGAAGTGCGATGCGTTGACGGGCATGCCATTGATGCTCAGGTTCGGGGAGGCGAGCTCGAAGGTTTTGGTTATGTACTGTGTGGGTTTTTGTTAGTTTTGCTGCTTACCTAAGTAATAAGATAACCGTGTCGTCCAAAAAGGGAAGTGTGTGTATAAGAGAAAATGTATAAAACCCAAAATGAGATGTAAAAAAAAACCGATAAAAAACAGAAAATAGAAATGAAGACAAAAAGCAAAACATACAACACCGGGGATTCGCTGGTCGTCACCGACCCAACTACTAATCCGGCAGTAGCCAGCTTATCTATGGGAGAGCGGACGGGATCCCGAGTATTCAAGCTCTTATGGTCGTATGTGACTATTGGCCAGACTAATGTCGGTTATATACCAACATCGCAAAGCGTAGTCCATTTCTGGTAAATTGCCAAGAAACCCGATTTGGAGGCCATGTATGCAACAAAGCAAATATGCTTGCTTATGCGATTCCGTATGGGTCCTTCCAAGCATCAAACGAAAAGGCACAATTCAAACCAATGCTATGTTTGAAGAAAATGAGAGAAAAGAAGAAAGCAATAAAACACACCTCGTTAACGAGCTCCTCGATCCTCGTCCGCAGCTCGTCGCCCTCTCCGCCGGCGTTCGCGCCGTCCACGGGCGGGAAAGCCTCGTCCAGGCGCGCGGCCGCGGCGCGTCGCACGTTGGCCAGCAGGTACGCGAGGTCCTCGGGCGCTTGGAGCTCGATCTTGCGGTGGCCCTCCATCGCCTTTGCTTCAATTCCAGCTGCAATCCCAATCCCAATCCCAAGGTTGCTCGCAGACCTCTAGCAAAAAAGTGGAAGGGGGTGCTGATATACAGATCCGTATGCGCACTTCAATTGTATATAGTGCCCGCTGCCGGAAAAGGTTCCAATGCTAAAGAGCGGAATTGGCGCGTAATGCAACAATTGAATGATTCTGGAAGTATTCCTCGTTTTGTCCGTCTCGTCGAAGTTGATTGGTTGGCTGGTTGGTTTGATTGGTTATGATGCAGAAACTTGGAATTTCTTCGATATCGAGAATGTTGACTTTGGATTATTGACTTATCGCTATCGCTTGGAGGGGCAATTTCGCTTTCGTGTCTTTTTCGCATAACTGAACTTTACTGCTGTATCCGAAATATTCTACCACATAAGTACATAACAACTTCACTTTGCTCAAGGACTGACAAACTCATTGCGCCATGTAAACATTTCTGCTTGTTATATCTGTAGAGAGTCTGAGAATAGCAACGTATACCCGCCTTACTATTGAACTACTGAATAATTTGTCAAATATAGAAAAGTAGTAACGTTCGGTTCGTATATAAGTACAAAACCAATAAGCCCATCGTCGTATACTACTTCATTCGATGCTTGTTTTTGATATTTAATAACTAGTTACCTGCCTAGGTAAGTGGATCGCAGTATAATCTCTGTGCTAGAAATCTTACCTTTAACTATCTTCCAAGACATCTTCGAGTCGTACGGTTCCGTTCTACTCACTAACGTGTATATAAGTTGCCAGTTCCTAGACCAACCCAGCTCATAAGGGATATGTGTTGTTTGGCAAGGTCGCTTCCTAATTATCCCCTACCCTTTGAGTCAGCCAACGGCTAATATTACATAGTGTTAGAAACATCTATGATAAAGATGGACTCGAATGCTGGTATAGAATCTGCCACAACGCCCCCTTCTTCAGTCGCCCTCATATTGTCCTTAGAAGTGGAACATTTGGTTCCCATATCGTTCTCATGCGATTGCCAGTCACAATAAACCTAGGTAGGTTAAGTGATGTATCTCAGCTACCTTGAGATGTGCGCCTAGACAGAAGTGCTTCGTATCTTATTTATGATGGCGCTTAGACAATAGGCTGAGATTGGTCTAGTCATCCTAGTTCTCAACCTTGGAGCCTCCGACGATGACACTGCCTTTAATTATTCTGATGTCGGAATTTGCGAAAGGCTACACCTTCTCGTCACCCTTTTCTAGCAAATATATATCGACTACCTCATCGTCGTCACCTAGCTTCGGCAGTGGAATAGATTTGAGAACACTATATCTCCATTCATCAGCTTTCAATAATCCAAACAAGGCTTGCTCAGAAGAATGGCGAGGTTTCGTCGCTAGGATGACCAAGGTCTTGGTATCTGCCTGGCTCTCGTTGTGTCTGAGATTCGCCGTGTGAAGAGCGCTTAGTGTACCGACAAGCGCCGGCAACGAATCGACATTGTACGTGCAGTCGCTAAGGATAATTAGATCCCATGGCTGAGCAGATGCCAGGGGTCCGAATTGCCCATGTTTACCGTCATCCCAATCCAAATTCTCGTATTGAAGTGACACTGTAGAGAAAGGAGTAGGTAGGCGAGAGAGCACCTTTTCCGCTCTAGAAATATTCGACCTCGCGCGCTCTTCTGCCTCTGCCAGGTCCGTTAGTAACACGGTAGTCTTACCCAGCACCTGGCCCTGAGCAGCGGCAGCCTTCTCAATGATAAGCGCCAACGTAATCCCAAGAATACCGACGCCACAGCCAAGTTCCAAGACGCTAAAAACGCCACGTCGTATAGGCAGGATATCGCGGACACCTTCCCTGGTACGGCAAGCGTCTGCAAGAAAGGAGGCTGTCACTACACCCGCGTCCCATATGTGGCGCGCGATACTCTCGCCAATATCTTCCTCTAGTTCGAGGTTTAGGTTGAGTTGATCCTCGGGCTGAGAACCGGTGTCTAGTTGAAGCGTCCGCAAAGAAACCGGCGAGCAAATACCCCTTACCACCTCCACGGACACCGGCATGATGAGCCCCCAGCCAGCGGAAGAGCTTTCGCCAATGCGCCACGGAAGTACATCTTTACTTCTCAACGCCCCCGACGGTAGAGGCTGGGTAGCCGGATGTATTTTGATGGTACACGTGACATCATCGCTCCTCATATGCGCACGCACGGGAAGCTTGATATCCAAGACCCGCATGCCCGCGGTCCATCGAAACGGCTGGCCCTGGTCCGCCTTCGATATGACGGACTGGCCGAGCGGGTCGTCGGCCGAGACGAGCAGATCAACAGGCTCGTCCGGGTAGAGGAATGAGTCACCCAAGTCCGTGGTGATGGTAATCAGGAGCGAGACGATTGGCTTCCTCCCGTCGAGCTTGGCCGGACGCAGCAGGCGGATGTAATGCATCGTGACACAAACAAGGTCGGGCTCTTGGATAGGCTGATTAGAGAAAAATGCATAAGACAAGACACCCCAAAAAATTTGTTTGTCAACTGCGGCTGGCCACGTGCATGCTGGCAACTCGCATTCCCGTGTTTCCTGCCCAATCCCGAAAAACGCCTTCGAATGGGAAGTCTTGTAAGGTTCACCGCTCAGCGCTGCTCTTTTAACCTAACATCGACGTACATGTATGTAGGATCGATCGATCCACTCCGGCCTCTGTGTTGGGTCGAGGCTGACTCTTGGGCACGCAAATGTGTGTGTTTGCGTACTTTTCAAATATTGGGATACTCGGATATTTCAATATTTGAAGTCGGGAAGTGGGATGGTGGATCTAGGGGGTTGGCTGTAACCCTATCGGAGTTTAGAATTGTTCAATATACCTACCCAGATACCTAGGTACATACTATACCTACACCTACGTACACCGTAATAAGTGTGCCTTACCTCATAGTGCGTTGCCTGACCTCCTGACCTCTATACTTACACAATTGTGTGCTAGCCGTAGGTCTCAACTGAAGTTCCCCCAATATTCCGAATAGTAACTGATTCAAGCAACCGGGACGATCTCCCGCTAGCAAACATTCTCCCTACATATAGATATGTATCTTGTTCACAAATGAGAACTCGCCTCGAGACCCCGGCTAGTGTTCGAGTGCACTAACAAGACGATAGTTGTCGAACTACTACTACACAACTGCACATAGTAGAATGCTTACATCTAAGCACTGTATACCCAAATCTTAGGCTGGCGCTAACATGACATATGCCGGTTTGGGATATTCATGTTGTCGTGATCTCGAGACAAGACTGCTGGAGGATTCAGGAGCGGTGGGAAAATGCACGATCTGCATACGGGAACTTCATCTACATGTACACGTGGCTATGAAACATCTCGATATTAATCTCCCATTTATTGGGAGGGTCGCTACATAGTATGAATGCATGTGAATATTTCCGCATAATCACCGCTGCCATTTACTAAAAAACGGTTGATGAAACGGGCAGGTAGGAAATCCATATTCCTCCTCCATCTTGACATCAAACAACTTGAAAATATATATCTAATATTATTTGTACATACTATCTCGAACTATATGCATGATCAACACTCAATGAGGTGTACTGCATACATACATAGGTATAGAAAGAACATTAAAAGCCTGTAGCATTAGTTTCTCCGTAAAGACATTAGCTCTATAAGAGTATCGAAGCCCGAAGACCGTTCGCGGCAAGCGCACTAGCCGCTAAAAGGTTGAGTTTCCTATTTCAAGCAACTAAATCCCAATTGGATTTCCAAGCGCTAACAGCCAAACTCAACCTGGCGGGGAGGATCCGATAACGCAATTCGTGGGGTAAAAAAGTGGGATTACATTCAACGTTGAAGGTGGGATGTGCTTCTATGACTGCGGCACCGTGCGAATATCGGAACAAGCCTACATAATCTGGATACTAGTAATGGATCAAATACATACATCCTGATATGCCACTATGCATATTTCGGTATCGCAGCAAGCGTGCCCAGTGGGAACGCATTGGTGCAAGCTTCAAGGAATGAGACAAGGTAGAATGTAGGTACGTCCCTACGTACATCAATGGCACGCAAAAATCGACAGTACCTTAGTACATCTCTTATAATGCCGGTCCCGCTCCATCCCGTTGGGTTGTTTGACTCTATCTAGTCTCGCCTTCCAAGGTTCATGAACGGCCCAAACTACGATGTAAGTTGCTATGCAGCAAACAAGAAACTTCATACTGAATAACTTGGGCCAATGTTTAAGCCGTTTCATCCGTTCCTGACAATTAAGCGGCAAGTCCTGATTCGCCGTCGACTTCGCAATAGACTTCCACCTCGGCATCCCACGTGTGTTTCGAGAGCAATGTTTCACTACACTTACACTGCGCCTAGCTTTGTGATTCCTACTTCGGCACAAATTTCATTTTATTGATTTAAATAATGGTAAAACTGTATAATTAGTACCGTAGAATAGAAATTGAGATCTAAAGTCGGCACACCAGGCAACGTAGGAACTAGAATATCTATATCGGTAGGCACAGAGGTGGGTATGATGGCGCACAGAATTGTCGAGTCACTTGAAGAATGTAGCCTACAAGGTGCGTGCAGTCTCTATTATGTATAAAGCTTCCCAGGGAATAACACACCCTGTCTACCAACGAATAAAACTCACTTGTCTGAGTGGAAATAAGCCAAAGGTGGGTAAAGAGTCGATTCGAAGAGAACATGAACACCGAAATGAATACCAACGCCGCAACCCCCGGATCAAAGGCTTTCATGTAAACTCATGTAATCATACAGAATCCCACGGAAACCAGCGAGAACTCCCAGGCCCTCCTCTTGTGGTATAGGTCTTCCCTCGACCTCCCGAGGTAATAATATCAATGTTCCGTTAAAAGTCGTTGCAATGCTATGATGTTGCTCCCTTCCAAGCTACGCCGCACAATAGGAAATGTCGACATCAATATCCACAATCCATCCAGGGTAGTGTCATTCCGAATCCAGACGCCGAAGTGTTGTGAAAATGGCAAAGGTATTCTCGCGAGGGGTTATGGGGTTATGTGTATCTAGGAAGAAAAGACGAGGCCGGCTTCGACCGCGGCTGATCGCCGAGGGGCAAGCCCACTCAAGATCCTGCCACGGTATCTGCCCTTGGCCATTACGGCAACATCGCCTTGATCTCCTCGTCACTGAGTCGGATCTCGTGTACGGGCTCTCGACGGTTTTCTAAGGGTACGTAGTCGCAATCGACGTAAGACGGGACGAAGAGTTCGGGGTTCCACGCAAAGCCCTGGCTCGAAGCAAGGTAGGAGATCTAGGATAGGCAATATTAGTAAAACAACGGCCTTAGTAACGATCGGTCGGTGGCGTCGATAATAACATACCAATCGAGGTGCTCCGTCCGGGTCCCCGATATTGATCACTGTGCACTCGTCCTTGCAGAAAGCAGAGCCTAGGGGATGACATGTCAGTTTAATCCGAGGGGCGACAAGACACAATTAAGGGCATCCTCGGCCCCGTAGACAGCCACGCAAAGAGGGGTTACGACATACTCAAGAGACTCTGTCTACGTTGGTGTCCCGACCCTAACTTTCGTGCGGATCGGTCTGGTGACGCAACACTGGAACTAGGGGTTTGTGGGGAGCTCGAATACGACGAGGAGGATGAGCTGCCGCCGGCCTTAGGTGATTGATCATAGGCCGTAGAGGAGGAGCGGGCCGCCGGGATTGCAATTGTATTAGACGACATGGTTACAAACACAAATTCGGAGCCTCTCCTCTTTAGTGAAGGCCTCAAAATTAATTCAGCAGCGGTGAGGCGACGAGGGACAACTATTTAAACAGGGCGATAATAGATAGACAGGTTGAACGCCAACAGAAGATAACAAGTGACGACGACGTCAAAGAGCTAAGAAAGAAAGAGGAGGTTATCTGGGGCTTCACGTCGGTGACTCCTTACTATGAGTAACAACGAAGCAACAAGGTAGAAAGATGTGATGTTGAGAGAATTGATGATATGCACAAGGCAAAAAAGGACGAAAGAAGAAAGTTGAGTTCCAAGGTTGAAGTCAGGTGCTAAGACGCTGCTGGACAAGAACCTTAGGAGCCTAGGAGGGAATCTACTCCGTGCGTATCTCTGCACAGTAGAGGTTGGACGGCGCCTGCATCGATGCGGGATAGGACAGGCTAGGCAGGGTAATGCTGTGTTGTGTTGTGCTGTGCTGTGCTGTACCTTGGGCGTTATGTGCTGTACATACGCAGATGCGGCACTGTACGTAATAATTCGGTAGTGGTAGATGTAGTGAAGTACGCCTCAAGTTATGGATTGTAGAGACAAGGATACCCACTGTATGTGAGGTACGGTGGCGTACCTAAGATAGGTGAGATACAGTTAGGTGTAGGTACAGCAGGTAAGTGCTCTCCCAACGACCTTGGAATTCACCACCTAAGACTCGATTAAACCCAGTGCGAAAGACGGAGGTATGATGACACATCGGGAGTGTTGAACTAGGGGGCACCCTTGCGGACCTTTAACGCGTGATCGATCTTAATTGGTTCGAACAAAAGACGGCCTGCTCTAATCGGGTTAGTGCGTTTACACTGTGCTGGCTCCACTATATCTGCCTGCAGCATTGGAGCCCCACATGTACAGGCTGAGGTAGGTAACTACAGCCTCCTTTGGACGACAAGAACAATAGCGTACTTCGTGCCCGGTGAAGGATGCGAAAGGAATTAGTATGATAGCTTCGATGCTCTTACTTACCTATTCGGACACCGTAATTCATGCCTAAGTTAAGTCAGGCAGCTCAGCTAACTTCCTTTCAAGTAGGGAACTCATTGGAGGCTTTCCAGGAAGGAGAGAAAAGTTCAAGGCTTACTCATTCAGGTACATACGAGGCAAGATAAGTAAAAGCCGATGGGACTGTAAGATAGATCTAGGCCAAACACAAAGTCCAGTCGGGCGATGCCGGAAGATGATCTTCAGTAGGCTGCTGGCTGGGATTGATTATTCCCTGAATTGATTGGATAAGATTTGATCTATAATATGGGGTTTGTCGCCTTGGATTTGCCGTTGCTTGTGAATAAGTGACCAATCAGATAATGTTCATGCAACTTGGGAGTCTAACCTTTGATATCATCCAAGGCAATGCAGGTGCCGGCCTTGTTAAACGCTAACAGTGGGGCTCAAAATGGGTCTGAGCTTGTAGGAAGACGGGAAAACTATTAATCCTGTACTTTCCCTAATTGACTTAGCATTGGATTAGCTCATTACGTTGCCTTGGCAGGACCCGTAATTGGAATGCTCAAGGCTGCAAGGCTGGCGTTGACATGGAAGCTGTAGGTAAGCAAGCTTAGCTGTGCCTGCTGCAAAGGGAAAACGTAACAACCGTCAACTTCCACTCAACATCACATCATTCATTGAATCTTTTCAACCTTCATCAACCACCATCCACATTAACCAATCCCATAACTCTCCCTCATCTTTCGAGTCTTTTACGATTACGCGCTCTGGGTATTTGTTTTATTTCTTCGACAAAACCAATCCACCGTCGGAGTCGCGAATATGGGTGACGTTCTCGTAGAAAACCCAGCCAACAACGTTGCACCGCATAACAAACCCATCCCGTCAAACATCCCAAACGTCGAGACCATCGAGGGTTTACCAGCGCAGGGTGGAGATGAATATGCGGTACTAAAAAAGTTACAGAGACACCTGGAATATATCCAACTACAGGAGGAGTACATCAAGGATGAGCAAAGGTACGGATTGACGAAAGCGGCGATGAAACATGGCATTAAATTTTCCTTACCCGTTACACCGTTATTTTCGTGGGCCGTTGGGACTAACCGTCGAATCTTACAGGAGTTTGAAACGCGAACTCGTTCGAGCGCAAGAGGAAATCAAGAGAATTCAGAGTGTGCCGTTGGTCATCGGCCAGTTTATGGAAGCTATTGACCAAAAGTAAGTTTTACCAGCAGTACCAACCTTAGTACAACTCTGTCGCCAGGATCTAACGGCTAACGTCTTTTCAATAGCACCGGAATAGTCCAATCTAGCACAGGATCTAACTACGTTGTTCGAATCCTATCCACCCTAGATCGTGAGAAGTTAAAGCCATCATCCTCCGTCGCCCTGCACCGTCACTCCAATGCCCTCGTCGACATCCTCCCCCCGGAGGCCGACTCCTCCATCGCCATGCTCGGCGCCGACGAGAAGCCCGACGTGACATATGCCGACGTTGGTGGTCTGGATATGCAGAAACAGGAAATCCGTGAAGCTGTCGAGTTGCCCTTAACACACTTCGACCTGTACAAGCAGATCGGTATCGACCCTCCTCGCGGTGTGCTCCTCTACGGCCCTCCCGGAACGGGAAAGACTATGCTTGTCAAGGCTGTCGCCAACTCCACGACTGCCAACTTCATCCGCGTCGTCGGCTCAGAATTCGTACAGAAGTACCTCGGTGAGGGTCCTCGCATGGTCCGCGACGTCTTCCGCATGGCCCGCGAGAACTCGCCCGCCATCATCTTCATCGACGAGATTGACGCCATCGCCACCAAGCGTTTCGACGCCCAGACCGGTGCCGATCGCGAGGTCCAGCGTATCTTGCTAGAATTGCTCAACCAGATGGACGGTTTCGACCAGACCTCCAACGTCAAGGTCATCATGGCCACGAACCGTGCCGACACCCTCGACCCCGCTCTTCTACGTCCCGGCCGTCTCGACCGAAAGATCGAGTTCCCCAGCCTGCGCGACCGCCGCGAGCGTCGTCTTATCTTCTCGACCATCGCTAGCAAGATGAGCCTGGCCCCCGAGGTCGACCTTGACAGTCTAATCGTTCGCAACGATCCCTTGTCCGGTGCTGTTATCGCCGCCATCATGCAGGAAGCCGGTCTCCGCGCCGTTCGTAAGAACAGGTACAACATCATACAGGTCGATCTCGAGGACGCCTATTCCAGCCAGGTCAAGGGTACCAGCGATGAGAACAAGTTCGACTTCTACAAATAGGCGGAAGATATCGCGCGACTTGGCTCCTTGGGGCTGGCTCTTGGATTAGATTCGAGGCTCGGGAGAGGAAGAAAAGGAGGCCGTTGCGGGATACACTTCGGGTACCCTTTGCTCCGATCTTGCTCTGGTAGGAAGGGTTCGGTGGAAATAGAGGCGTCATCCCCTTACGATTACGATAGGGGGTGGCCAGGTGTATAACTGTAACATCATTATCAATCAATACAAAGGGACTAATCACGAATTTACTTTTGCACATTGCTTTTGTTTTGAATCCTACAGCGATGTCACCGAATTTGCATTTGCGGTCATGAAATTGAATAAGTCTAGCCATATACCCATTTCTATCTATGATGGTCCCTTTCCTTGTTCCACCTAGAAAATGGGGTTAGAAGATATAGTAAGTCACCGCGAGGCTCGAAGATTCATAGTTTCATAACATAGTACACTTCCGGCGGGAAAAATATCTACCAAGAAAAAAATCCCGCCGTTCCCATCGTTTCGTCCAGTCGTTTCCTTTCCTCTCTTTGAATATAGCCTTGGGCCGATTCCCATCTACCGTTCCCTTTCTATATGAGCCCTCCTTTGCTTTTTCCTCCGGTAAATGCATTTACCCACACACCCCCTCCTGGAAACCATTTAGTCTTTTGTGCGCCTTTTAAATACGCCATGCATTTCTACGACCCTGCTAGGGTGGCACACGCATATCCTCAAGCGTAGACCCGTATCGAAAACAACAAGGGATGGGGAGGAACAAATAGCAAAACATAAAATGAAGGGGAAAAAAAAACAGAAAAACCAAGGGAACACAGAGAAGCGATAATAATACACGAGGGGTATCTTCCTTAAGCGAGGCTTGAGAAGAAAAAAGGGGAAAAAAAAGACAAAAACACACGCGAGTGCCAACGGACGGAAAGGGAGTATCAACTCGACGTGTGGGTATCATGTATGGCAAGCGTTCCGTGGGGGGAACCACCATGACCAACGACTGAGAAATTTGCAAAGGGATCGAAGGACACTTGCTAGGGTATCTCCTCCGCTCATAAAAATTAAAAAAATCAGGTATTTCCTCCGTCGATGCATCTCCGTCTCCATACTCGGACGCAGTAAGCTGATCAGCTGTTGTGCTATCTCGCAGAATTCATGTGAATGTTGCCGTGGATCAGGTCTGTTCGTGTCATATAACCACAGGCCGACCATGTTCATGAGGAGAGAACGACGCCCAACTCCAACAACAGCTGCACAAAGCGCGAATGCAACTCGATGAAGAAGTCGGGGAGGCCCACTAGCTCTGCAAGCCCGCGTGCCTTAGGCGCAAATCCACCGGGACCCATAGACCCACCCATGCGTTGCACGAAGCCGCCACGGCCACCACCAGTAAGGAAGCTGCTTGTCTCGTTCGCCCTCTCTCTTCCTCGATCCCGGTCTAGGTTCGATCCACCAAATCCACCTCCAAGACCCAGGCCAATACCACTATCACGTGGACCATCGCCACCAAATCCAGTTTGGCTATACGCCGCATTCAGCGCAGCGACGGGGCTGTTAGCCTCCTCGCGTTCGCGCTCTCGTTCGGCTTCCGCCTCGGCAAGTTCTTGGATCCAGTTTACCAGATCTCGGAATGCGGCGGATATGAAACTAAATGTCTTCATGGCGAGGCGTTCACGGTGCGTACTAAGCGCCAGAAACGCGTACACCCTCTTGCGGCCACGAGCGTGCACATCCGGGATTCGGAATATGTAAGCGGTGGTGTAACCTGCCAGAGGGTCGCCAAAAAAGATCGGACCGCCATTCGCTGCGGATTGAGGATTCGGCGTTGCAGTGATATAGCCTGGGCCATGGTTGAATGGCGCGGATGGGAACTGTGGCGGAATGCTAGATATTGGTGATGAGAGTGACGAGCCTTGCTGTGAGGTTTCCGGTCGCCGGGGAAGCGTCTCAAACGAGAGGGTCCTTAGACATGAGGCACGGACTATAGAGTAGGTAGTCGGAACGACCGGCTCATGGGTTGATGTGTAATCTAGATAGTGTGTATGTTGCGCCACGCTAGACCTGGATGAGACGCTCGAATGCGAGGTCGACGTGGTCGGCCGGCGTCGCGAGGCGGGGCGTCTAGCATCGTCTCCAGGTAAAATATCCTCTTCCACATCAGAGGGATATGAAGATTGCGGGTTCGAGCTTGGCGGACTAAACTCGCCGTTTCCCCCGAAGACACGAGCATATGGGGCGCGTGTACGCAATATAGGACCTCGTTGATCAGACTTGGAATCTGCGGTTGTACTTGTGCTCTCGTCCTTCCCACTCTTGGGGTCTTGTCTCTTGGGGAGCGTCAGAGCGCAGTTCTGACATGGATTTGCTCGCTTCGTGACGTAGTCGTCATAAGTTCGGCGAAAACTCGAGTCGCGCCGTAGGTTACCTTTGCTATTCGCTTCAGGAAACCCTTCGGGTGCATTTCGGGGGCTTTGGGGAGGCGTCTGAACGGCCGCCGTCGTAAGAGATGCGGAGTGAGCCGCGCTGCCGGGACCGAGTTTCGACCCTCGAAGTATCGATGCGCGGTGCGTCTGCGCTTCATACTCGGTAGCAGGGGTCGATGAACTACGCGGGGAGCCGAGTGTCATTTTCCGTAGAGAATCAGTAACAGTAGTCTGCACGCCATGAGCCGCGGCGCTCGTTTGTGGTCGTGCTGGATCGGTAGTTTCATCGCAGCATTGCCCACATGGTACCGGTAAACCTTCGGTGACCATTAAAGGCGTCGGTCCATGTAGATCGCAGTAATGCGCCAGACATAGCTGGATATGGGTTAGTAAGGGCAATATCGCCGGTTTTGGAGACACCGTCATGGTCGGCTAAGATAGTCAAACGCAAATGACTTGGTAAAAACGTGCGAAAACAGCGTAGTCGCGATCGAATTTATGGTGAAGCGCTCGCAACGTTTGGAATGGCCATAATAAGTTGATCTAGAGTGGGGGTCAACTTCACTAGAAGGAGTCGGTCTAGGGGCCAAGGGAGGGTAGGAGATGAGTAAGTTTTAAGAGACAAACAGGAAGGAGGCGGGAGTTTCGCAAGGCAATGCTTATGAGTGAAAACGTCACCGTCGCGCAAGGGGGGGAAATAAGGTAAGTGTAATTTCAAGTTGGCAACTTTGGCAACTTGGGCATCTGCGACAATCATGTCACCCGTACCAATCAAAGTCGACAGTTGGCTGACTTGGGGCGTAGCAACGCATCGCTTCGCTCCGTGCCGTCGCGATGGTAATAGGGGGACCGTCCAACATAAGCAGTCAAAGCAAGTAAGACCCGGGGGGACTAGGGGTGCCTTGGCCTGCTTGGGGGGGCTGATGGGAGATGGAAGATGGGAGAGTGTGGGGGACACGAGGCTTCTAGGATGGTCTGGAAAGGCGAGGCGGTGAAGGGATTAGATGAATGGATGGGAATGGTGGGAGCCAGAAGGTGTGGGACACATGTGTTTAGGGAAAGAAGCAAACCCAAGGCCTGAAAGCCAAGGTATGCAGGTCAGACTAGTGGCAACGGGCTTTGTATCTAAGCATCTAAGCTCATCCAGTTTCCGTGCGCAAGGTAGTAAATTGGGTTTTCTGATAGCTGACAAGCTGACAAGACGCGTGACGCGACAGTGGAATCAGAGATATGATACCTATGGTTTGGGTGTTCCGACTGGCCAAGATGCGACAGGGGAAAAGGGGGTAAGAGGGAATAAAACATAAAACGAAGAGGGAGAGAAAGGTAGAAGATGACGACGTTACTTACTATGGACGTCATGACGCTTCTTACAGCGCACAGCTGCTGTTTGTGGAGCGTTGCACCGCGGGGTTGTTCGACTTCCAGCAGTCCAGCAGCGAACCAGTGAGCGTGAAAATGCCCAGGCGAACCCAGAACCCAGCAGCTAGCAGCACCAATTCAGAGGACAGAGGGCCAATGAAGTGACCCCCAAAATATTCCAATCTCCCTCCCACGCGCGTCCCGCGTTTTGTCCTGGTCCTTGCTCCTTGCTCCCGTCTTCTATCCAACCTTGGAAGTCAAAGCAGGGACCTTTTGTATGAAGGTACTCGAAGGTTTAATCTCATTAGAAATCGAGCTCGGAAACGATAGGGCACCAACACCCAACCCGGACAAGCTGGTAAGGTCGGGCTCTCTCTTCCTCTCTCGGTTCCCCCCCTGCGCCCACGGTTGCCTATGCGGCTGCGTCTGCGTCTCGCTGCGTCGGCGTTATCCAGTTCCAGGAAAGCGATGCGAAACGCGAAATGGGAAATGGCTTGTGCGGTCAATCACGAGCCACAATCCAAGCAAATGCGGAACAGGATGACAAGAGACAGCAAAGATGTCACCAATCGGCTCTTAGTCCTGTAATATTGATCCTTGTGTTTCGTCCTGGTTGGCTCGCTATTTTTCAGGGCGGTCGCAAAGGAAGCCCCTCGCGGATTGGAGGAAAAAGAAATAGCGCTAGAGAACAGCTGCGAAGCTCACCTCCAACTTGTTGTGTGATGGCGGGGATCCAAGTGAAGAAGCAGGTTACGGGTAGGTGACCATGCGCGGAAAGGATGCCGGAGGTTGCAAAGGATCGCGACAGCAGATTGTCATAAATTCGGAGTGCTCGTAGAATTGGTGTGACCGGTACTGGAGAAGAGACGGCGATATTGTTAGCTATTAGAATTCCTCAGACGTTAAACATTACCTATATCGTTAATGAGGAACATTGAATGAGTGGAACATTGGAACATTGGAACACTAGAACGTTTGAACCTTGAAGTTGAATAACTCCTCATGCAGGTCGTAAGTTCCAAGGTCGTAATCCAATGTCGTACCCAAGGCAACCAAGGTTGTAACTGAATATCCTCGTGGGCTAACCTTCCAAAACTTGAAACTTGTGTATGAAATGTGACAAGTACGACGTACTTACCTAATGTCAATTATACAACTAACAGAGTTCGCGTGGTGTTGTTGCAAGTTATTGCAGTCGCAGCTGCAGTTGCTTCTTTCTTTCCTTGACCCCTTGGAACCTTAAGGAATGCCACGATGAGGCAGGTTTGAGGCAGGTAAGATCACAACTTTGGGGAAATCGAAGGCAACTGCACCCTAACGCCGAACGTCGCACATATCCCTTCTTGTTAAAATATTTTTTTCCTTCTTCTTTAACTTCCTTTCTTTCCTCTCGGTTAACCAAAACTGGCCTATAGTCGAAATTGAGGGTATTTTGGAAATATTATTCTCCCGACGACAACCGGATCGTGAAGGTCGACTCGGATTTAATCGCCAATGGGGTTCTCTG